TATACATGAAGTTTTTTGTGCTTCGAAAGATGTCCCAGTAACTAACACGCTTACATAATTTAACTATTGATAAAAAATCAATGCAGACGCCTTCTTTACCTGAACTCGTGTAACATTTAGATTTATAAATTGTGTAAGTTATTCCCTCCAATTTCTGCTCCACATGCCACCACACACACGATTGCCAGTAAACCGTCAAAACTCTTACAATTCCAAACAATGGCTTAAAAACGTGTGTCTGTTGTCCTTAGAACAATGCGAGTCAATCAAACAATTGTTAGGCTGACACTCCAGCACAAAAGTCCACAATTGAGCTGCTCATTGAAATAAAGCTTTTCAACTTCATAATAAAGAGAAAGCAGCGACGTTTCCCAAAAAAATCTCTTGATTTGCCCCTTTCACCATTTCTCCGGAATCTCTACATCACCACCCGCAATTTTTCATTGACATTTTTAATAATTCCGAAGCGAAGAGACAAAGACCGCATGGTGGGCATCCGGAATCCCGAGTAATTAAAGCTAATTGCGATAATCACTCATTTCACATGGCGGAACGAGAGGAAGCTGATCCACTTCGGTGGTTCCCTCCCAAAGTCATGCACGAACAAAATACGGCATCAAGGAGAAAGTTCTTTGGCTGTGCAATACCTCAGCCCGTGCAACACTTGACTTTTTAGACGACTGACTGATTACCTATGCCAAATGGATTCAAGTAATTAACAAAATTATTCCCCAGCTTCTTACAAAATGGGCAGATAATGATTCCCAGCGTCGCGTGGCCCCGCTCTGCCATTTGTCAAAAGAATTCTCTTAGCTCAAAATCCTGAGATTAATAAAAATAATTTATTTGTCCACATTTTGGTGATGGGGACAACTACTTTGTACGACGGGAGTCGTGGCAAAAGCGAGGGAAAACTTGATGCATTGAGTAATGGCTTAACTACCCCCTAAAGTGACGGTTCTTCTATTTATTGTTGTGCCCCTTTCATGTGGTGATCGCTTTGTGACGAGTAATGAGCAATTAAAACGTCTGCTTTATCGCAATTTCCAAAATGAATGAAATTCTGGACGTAGAATTGAATTTCTATTCCTTTTCAAACGAAATGTGAATGCCGATTTAGAATTCAAGTTGCATAATCAACATGTTTTTAGTGGGAATCGAATTACATAAATACGATTGGAATGCGAAATTCTCGTTAATTTGCTATCTCTGAAAGTCGCCCTTTGTTAATGAAATGGACAAATTTTGTGCAAATCTCTAGTTTAGGGGATTAGATAAGGAGTAATTGCATTCGCAAATTGCCACCGGCTACATATCTCGTTACGCAGCCCTTCGTGCAAAAGGAGATTCGATTTGGTTCCCACTTTGATGAAGATGAAGTGGAATGCTGCTGATATTGCGGAATCCTACTCGGTTTCATTTTCCAGTAGAGATTATATCATGCAGAGCAGAAGTTGGGGAGGATTTGCAATCAAGAGTTGGTGAATTATGAGACATGAGACAATCGCCCCTCTGCCAAAACTGAAACGACTCTGTGCAAAAATTCCTGGAGATGCGTAATCAAGAACAGTGCACCAATTAAATACTGACCGCATATGAAACATTTATCGCAAATTTTATGACATTTCTGAAACCATATAAATTTGTCAAGATTAAAATGCTGGATCTATTTAAAAACCAACATTTGCATAAATTCTAAATTTTGATGTCCCCAGATGACGTTAGCTTTCATATTAAATGCCATGCCGCCAGAAATATATAAATTCTTTTCGCACTTTCAATATACACGAGGAAAGCTTGCAATTAAATAACTGACATTAAAAACGGGTAGAGAGGAATAACAGTAAAATTTAACGAGGCGAGTGTAAAAAGAATAATATCGTAATTCGCTACACATTTCCAAGGATTACATACAGCTCCCATTCCCAAAACCAGCACCCTCCACAACGAGCCAGGGTAAGATTACAGCGATGATAACCCTGATAATAAACAGGGATCAGGAAGACAAGGACAGATTTTAATTAAGACTTTTATATTTCTGCACCCATTTTCGTATTCGGATGAATGTCAGTCATATTTCTGCCCGCCGGAATGACTTGCAATGTGTCGTAAAATGGATTTGAACTCATTTGCTTACTGTATGCATTATGTGTGTGGAAAAAGTTGGTTATATGCAATATTTCAGGGTTATCAGGTAACCTCGAATCATTCGATCCATACGGACTAATCTTAATTGAGTTTGCAATCAGTACATGATTCAAGTAATATAAATAAACCGTTGTAACGGCAGAAGTAGCTCGCCCTTTAATACTCAATGGGACATAAGTTTGACATAATCTTCAGTCAAACATAGATAGTGTAATTTAAGCATAACCATATTTAATTTGGATGCATAAGAAAATTTGAAGGATATAATGAATGAATGGAAGAAAATAATAATAATAAGAAAAAACTAAAATGAAATAAAATGAATATAAATTTCATCATTTCATTATAAGTTTTGTAACTATGCTAACGTATGCTAGACCAGACAAACAGAAACAGGAGAAAAACAAATCTTGGATTTCAATATTTATTCTGCGTCTGAATTTTCTAATTCTGAATAATCGAAACGTCTCGCTCTATATTACGCAAATTCCAAATCGGAGAAGTAACTATCAAGAGGGGGTCGTTAGAGGGGGAGTGACTTATCAAGAGGAGGAGAAATTTATCTGGAGGAGAAGGGGTGGAGCGACTTATCTGGAGGAGGAGAAATTTGTCAAGAAGTGGAGCGAAAGGTGAAGTAGCTTATCGAGTAGAGCATTGCAAATCGCTAAGTGGCTTATCGACAGGTACGTAACCTACGTTTATTGAGTTGGTGTTGCCCTTAGTTAGCGGGTAAATCATGCCTCGAAAACTAAGTATGAAAGAAAGGATGCGGAGAAAAAGGAAACACGAAGAGTTCCGTCGTTCTGAAGCAGAAAAAAACTCTATCTCGAAGAAATTACACAGGATGGATGTAGATATGCGACAACAAGAGCAAGAAAGGGACGCCGCAGCTCACGCTGAACTTAGGAAGATTGACATCTACCGAGAAGAAGAAAAAGAGCGGGACAGGATAAGCCATGCTTCCCGCCGAGAAAATGAGACTTATCGCGAAGTGGAAAAAGAGCGGAATCGGGTGGAACATGTTTCCCGCCGAGAAAATGAGTCTTACCGCGAAGTGGAAAAAGAGCGGGATCGGGTGGAACATGCTTCCCGCCGAGAAAATGAGTCTTATCGCGAAGTGGAAAAAGAGCGGAATCGGGTGGAACATGTTTCCCGCCGAGAAAATGAGTCTTACCGCGAAGTGGAAAAAGAGCGGGATCGGGTGGAACATGCTTCCCGCCGAGAAAATGAGTCTTACCGCGAAGTGGAAAAAGAGCGGGATCGGGTGGAACATGCTTCCCGCCGAGAAAATGAGTCTTACTGCGAAGTGGAAAAAGAGCGGGATCGGGTGGAACATGCTTCCCGCCGAGAAAATGAGTCTTACTGCGAAGTGGAAAAAGAGCGGGATCGGGTGGAACATGCTTCCCGCCGAGAAAATGAGACTTACCGCGAAGTGGAAAAAGAGCGGGATCGGGTGGAACATGTTTCCCGCCGAGAAAATGAGTCTTACTGCGAAGTGGAAAAAGAGCGGGATCGGGTGGAACATGCTTCCCGCCGAGAAAATGAGACTTACCGCGAAGTGGAAAAAGAGCGGGATCGGGTGGAACATGCTTCCCGCCGAGAAAATGAGACTTATCGCGAAGTGGAAAAAGAGCGGGATCGGGTGGAACATGCTTCCCGCCGAGAAAATGAGTCTTATCGCGAAGTGGAAAAAGACCGTAATCAAGTGGAGCATGCTTCCCGCCGAGAAGAAGATACTTACAGGCAGACGGAACAACCGCGGAATACAATCAGAAAAGCGGTTTCTCGTCAAAATGCCAAAAATGATTATGATATTTTGTTCAACTCATTTCAAATTGAAATAGCTGATCAACCTAAATGGATATGCAGTTCATGCGGCGGACTTTGGTATAAAACTTCTGTGCACCCAACGACAACAGAAACCGTGCGCAAACTTCATCCCAAGAAACCGTTCGCCCACATGAAAGTAGATGGGAAGTATTTCCTATGTGCCACATGTCACGACTCACTGAAGAACGGTGACGTGCCAAGATTATGTATGTCAAACGGACTGTATTTCCCCCCAATCCCACATCAACTACAGAACATGACGACTTTGGAGGAACGCCTGGTTGCATTAAGATTACCGTTCGCGCAGATACGATCTTTAGGGAGTGACCGTCAGTACGGGATCCGAGGTGGAGTGGTCAATGTTCCCAATGACATGGATATTGTTGCTAAAGTGATACCCCGCCGATTCGATGAGACAAGTACCGTTCAAGTTCAATTAAAGCGCCGAATGTCTTATAAACATCCTTTCATGTTTCAAACTATACGGCCACATAAAGTTTTTCATGCCGCCAATTACCTAGTGCGTACCGAGTTGTATAGAAAGGAAAACGTATTTCTTTCATCAGACTGGGCAAACTGTTCAACCGACACTGTACAATATATAGTAAACCCTAACGATGCTACCGAGAGCAATACAGACATTGAGAGCATTGAAGAACTATCTATCAGTGACAAACCCCAAACTGAAGATAACGATGCACCTTTAACGGAAACTCTAATGCAAGATCAACTGATTATGGCAGTAGCACCTGGAGAAGGAACGCGCCCGCTCTCATTGCTTATGGATTTGGACGCTGAGGAGCTATCCTTCCCTTCTATTTATTGCGGAATCAAAAGAAAATTTAATCCAGATGCTAACTTGTCCTATGCTGATATTGCAAAGTCGGAACTTCGAAGATTTGACCCACGTTGCAGACAAAATATTATACAGCTACCGTCTAGTTCAAACTCACAGGATTGCTAGCAACATAAACATATGTTTACGAAAAAAGAAAAGGCGCGGTATTATAACTGCTGGGAACATGCTTAACAACGAATGTGTTCAAAACTTAGTTCAACACGATGACGGGTATCGCCTTTTGTCCAATATTGTCAACTCGCCGTCCTATTTGGAAGAAAAGAAAAAGGACGTGATGGCTATGATTCGGCAGCTGGGCCTGCCCACATTCTTCATTACAACATCTGCCGCAGAGACGAAATGGCCAGAGTTGATTTCGATGCTTCACAATAGGAAATATGGAACTGAGAATGCGTTAACCGACGAAGAAGTTTCCAATCTCAAATTCGATGCTAAAGCAGATCTCATAAGAAATGACCCCATAGGATGTGTAATGGCTTACGACAGGCGAGAGAAGGCAATGGACAAATTTCTGATCAAGCCAATTGGTGGAATATTTTACCCTTACTCGCACAAGGACTTCTTTAAGAGGAAGGAAGTGCAACAACGCGGGTCGATCCACACTCACAGAATGGACTGGTTTGAGGATGCTCCGAAATTTTACAAAGAGAATTTTTTAACACACCAAGCTTGCTGTGAATTTATTGACGAATTTATAACCTGCCGGAAAGACGAATCTGACGATATGAAAGAAGTCATGGCATACCAAATCCATAATCACTCACATACTTGTGAAGACAAGAGGCGAGGTTGTAGGTTCGGTTATCCCATTCCCCCTATGAGGAAGACAAGAATACTACTTCCATTACCTGCCGATCAAGTAAAGTTACATAAAAAAGAGTTTGCCAACATTAAAGAAAAGCTTTCCACATATGGACGACATGCAGAGGAAATTGACTTTGATACCTTTCTTCAAGAGTTGGGTTTGAATGAAGAAAATTACATACTCTCGATCCGTTCCAATCTCAGAATTCCTAAAGTGTTCCTTCGGCGTGGAACCCATGAAATCTATATAAATGCATACAATAGGAAGCTTCTCTTATGCTGGCGAGCAAATATTGACATTCAATTTGTTTTGGATCCCTATGCATGTGCTACATACATTGTAAATTACATAAGCAAGGCAGATCGAGGGGTGTCGAAACTTTTACGACAAGTAAGTAAAGAAATTCGAGAGGGGAATTATGGTTTGAAAGAACGACTAAGTTCGTTTGCCAACGCCTTTGCAAAGTCTTCGGAAGTATCTGCTCAGGAAGCCGCCTGTTGTTTGCTCAAAATTCCTATGACACAAAGTTCGCGTGATGTAACATTTATAAATACAAACCGGCCCGACGACCGGGTAATTTTCGTGAAACCTGCCGAAGAACTTGAGAAAATGGATGCCGATTCATCTGATATAGCACTCAAAGGTATTTTGGAACGTTATGTCGTGCGACCAAGTACACTAGATGATCTTTGCTTAGCTGATTATGTCTCAAATTACAACTTTACAAAACTATCATGTTCTCGCCGGAAATCAGATAATCCGCCGGCAGCCGTCTTAACCTTGAGCGACAATAGTGGATACATAACTAAAAGAGCGACTCCTCGAATTATTCGATATCGAAGATTCGGCCTTTATCAAGATCCGGAAAATTTTTACAGGGAACAAATTATGTTGTATGTACCTTGGCGGGATGAAAACAAAGATGTTCTTGATATTGACCATTTTTGTGTGTATCAAGACCGCTTCGATGTAATTTCACAAAAGCGAAAGGTGTACGATCCAAGTTTTCTAGAAGATGAACTGGAGGTAGGACTCACTATGGCAGAGGGAGACGAACAGACGTTTGACAATGATTTGCTTGACCACACTCCAATAGATTTCGTTGCAGAAGATCAAGATTTTGGTATAGAGTTAGGCGATTCTAATACTTCGAAATTTATGTCTATTCGTCCTCCAAAGTTGATATCAACAAACGATTATCGCAAATTACTGATAACTTTGAACGAAGGTCAGAGGAAATATCTATTGAATCTTCTGCATAGCTTGAAGGGAAAGCTCGGGCAAAACTTTCACGTAATTCATGGCCAGGCTGGTGTAGGAAAGAGTAGACTAATTCATACATTTGTTCAATGTATATTACGGATGTTTGACAAGGAACCTGGATTAAGTGGTGAAGCTATTCCCGTGCTAGTTGCAGCAGCAACGGGCAAAGCTGCATTTAATGTTTCTGGCATGACCTTGCACTCTGCTTTTAGACTCCCACCAAATCAATACGCAGGAAAAATGTCTCCACTTGATCATGGAACATGCAATACATTGAGGTGTAAGTTTGCCGCTTTGAAGGTTCTGATCATTGACGAGATTTCCTTAGTTAGCCTTAAAATGTTCGCTCAAATTGATCAAAGGCTTAGGCAAATTTTAGGCATAGACGAACTGTTCGGAGGGGTTAGTGTGTTGGTCGTTGGCGATTTCTACCAGCTTAGTCCAGTTTTTGGGCAATTTGTTTTCGAGGATTCGAAGGAAATCTTAGGATCAATCATTGGGAATCCACTCTGGGATAGATTTCGGTTATTTGAGCTCAACGAGATCATGAGACAAAAAGATGACGCTAAATTTGCAACTGCATTAAACAGACTGTCCATAGGGATGCTTGAGGAAGAAGACATTAAGATGTTCAAAAGCAGAGAAATCGGAAAAAACTTAGTCGTTCCAGGCGATGCGACATGGTTATTTTATAGCAACGCTGATTGTGATAAATTCAATCGTGAAGCAATAAGTAGAGCAGTGGGCCCACTTTACAATTCATTTGCCATAGATAGAGTTCAGGGTGGAAACATACTAAAGTCTCAACAAGCAATGTTAGAGTCAGCCGAACATTTAACTCTGCAACAAACCGGGGGTATGCCATATCATGTTGCTTTAAGAGTCGGCCTTCGTTATATGATTACAACAAACATCGACGTAAGTGATGGGTTGTTTAATGGTGCTACAGGTAAACTAAGGGGGGTAGTGGAAAAGCCATTAACAAATGGGGGGAAAGCTGTTAAACTTGTATTTATGGAATTCTCGGAGGAATTGGTAGGACAACTTGCAAGGTCGAACAATCTAGCATTGCTAAAAAAATTAGGAATTCCGTTGCATTGGACCCCAATCTTCTCAGAAACCAAACCCTTGAATAGTTTTGGGCATTATCAAGGAATGCAAATTGTTCGACGTCAAATTCCGTTGGTGGCTGCTAATGCCATTTCTATTCATAAATCGCAAAGCCTGTCAATTCCGAATACCGTTGCTAATATTCCATCCCGAGGACTAAGACGGGATGCAATGTACGTAGCCATGAGTCGTGCACCTACTTTGTCAGGACTATATATTGGCGGGACTTTTAATGCACCACGTCCAATCGACCCTTTAAGACATCTTGTGCCTTTAGAGCTCTCCAGATTGCGTAAATTACCATTCCCATATTCATTGAGATATTTACCGGACCAAGACGAGCCCAATAGAATTGTATTCCACAATATTCAATCTTTCCGAGCACACTACGAAGACATTCTTGCTGACAGAAACTACACGGTATCCGATGTGCTCTGTTTTTGTGAAACCCGGACTTTGATTTCAGATGTAGTTGAGCTTCCTGGATTTTCGGTTTTTCATCGAATTGACTCGCCAACTATCCAGTCATCTATTGGAACACTGGTGTTTAAAAGTAACTCACACTGTTCAAGCATATCAGATTGTAAATTCTCACAAATAAATTTGAGTTTTAGTAAACATTTACAACTAGTTCAATGGGCACAGAAAAATGTTAGGATTTGTATGTTATACCGTAGTCCCCAGTATAGTGCGACAGCTTTTTTAAAGGACGTCTCAGATCTTTTGAGTGGCAAAAAAGGCACCCCGATGATCGTCTTTGGTGACTTTAATCTAAATTTCATGACCAAAGATGGATTCCAAATGAGGCAAATTTTCACCAAAATGGGCTTCAGATTAATAACTCCCTCCGAAAATAGTACCGACGGAAATACATGTATCGATGCATGTTTTTCAAATGTATTTGGTGTGTCCGCTTTTTTCTATGAAAGTTATTTCAGCTACCATAAGCCAATTTGTGTGACATGGCCAGATGACATACATATATTGCCATCACATGTGGAATCAGAAAGTTGTCCACAAGAAGCAGAACCAATGGAAGTAAGTTTGAGCGAAAGTGGTATAGGACACAATACTGAACAGTCGGAAATGGACGTACAAATAGATAACGAAGATTTATCTGCAGACAATGTACTTTGCGAGCAATCACTTTCAATTCATCTCGGTATTCCAAATTTAGGAAACACGTGCTATATTAACGCAATTCTTCACTTAATATATGAGTCTGTATCCATCCAAGACTTCCTGAAAGTTAGTCGAGACCGTCTATCTCTTTGTCTAAGAGGTTTCTTTCACGCGTTACTCACCCCAGTTCCACTTTGTCAACTAAGAACTACTAGGCAAGAGTTAGTTGCATGCATGCCTTCATATCCAATTGGAATGCAGGATGACCCTCATCTATTTCTTCTTGACCTACTACAGAACTTAAGCAACTCAGGGATGTCTCTGGAAGAATATGTTGCGACGCTAGTAACCGAAGTTACGTGTTCTTGTGGGATTAAAAGCACGAGAAACGAATCATGTACTTCTCTGTCGATCGGAAGGACAGCAACGAATTTACAGGATTGCATCATAAATCATTTCATCGGGGAACAAGAATATCTCTGTGAGACATGCAAATCGGCAGGATTAGCAAATTTCAATTCCAAATTAGTATTGGCACCACGGGCTTTGTTCGTTAATCTAAAAATTTTCACAAATCGAGGCACAAAAATTCTAGAAAAGTCATTTGCATCGGATATTCTTATGTTGCCCGGCTCAGATAATGCTTACGCCTTGACGCTTATAGTTAGTCATTTGGGGGATTCCTTAAATTCAGGCCATTATGTTGTGAATTTTAGGCGTGGGAATGATTGGATAATCTATGATGATGACGAAGTCTACATTTCTAAGCACTGCGTTGGCGATGGATACATTTTCCTATACAAATCGATATAATTCCACCTCCAAAACTAACTATCTGCTAGCACTGAAACACGCTGTTCATATGCATGTTTATCATAATCATTGAAAATTGTTCTGGTAATGTTGAAACACACATTGCCAGAACTAGCTCATAAAATAATACAAATTCATATGTATCTTTATCATAATCATTGCAAATTGTTCTGGTAATGTTGAAACACACATTACCAGAACTAGCTCATAAAACAGTACAAATTCATATGCATCTTTATCATAATCATTGAAAATTGTTCTGGTAATTAAAAATGACAATAAAATTATTTGCATCACCTCATCATCCCCTCAATAATTTTAACGTATTATCGTACTGCGGCCATAGTATGCCACTACCAGCCCTTATTTAATTTTAGTGTCATATATGTATTTAATCTTATTTAAGTTTATTCAATTTTCAGATCTTCATCTTTCTTTCATTGGTTCAATCGGAATATCCAAGTTATTTGATTGGTTCACTAATTGATTTTTTCAGATTCAAACGATACGTCAAGGTTCAAAGTTACCCAAGTTCGTCTAAAAAAGGTAGGTGTATTTTATTGCATTTTTGCAATGAAGTCATCGAGATTAGGGTGTCCCAAGTCATTAATAGTGTCTCATTTGAGTGCACTCCTGGTCGGAGTTAAGTACAAGGAAATTATTTCCCAAATGAGATACTGACTGGGACAGGTAGTGGCATCTAATGGCGGCTGGCTCATATGCATCCCTATCATACCCTTGGTTCCTATGCCCTATCATACCTCTGGTTCATATGCATCTCTATCATACCCTGGGTTCATCAAATTGCTCTGGTAATGTTGAAGTATACATTACCAGGGCCCAGATGCGATGTAAGATGTCATGGGTTCATAAATAGAAATCGCACTGGGTCGTAACCTGCTGGTTACCTGATGAACGGGAGTAGCGACCTGTCTTGGGCTTAAAGAGAGCCGAAACCCAGTTGGTGTTGTGTATAACTTTGCAATGATTTGAAAATAAATGCATGTTTTTGATATAATTTTGCATCAATAGTGAAAAATAAGCGGGGAATATAGATCCATAAAATTGACATAATTTCGACTTTTTCTTGGTAAAAAAGGGAGACAAATTGTATCCAGATACTCTGCACTTTTGGTGAGTAACATAAAAACATAAAAAAAACTTGACGTCAAAAGTCATAGGTGTTTCTTTCGGTTCTTCTGCACTTTTTGTGCGTTTTTCACCTATTCCATCAATTGTTTGGCACCATTTTGAGTCGCCGCTTGTAACCGTTGTAACGGTGGAAGTAGCTCACCCTGTGAGAATTATTTTGACATAATTGTCCACCAATGGTGCAGAATAGACGAATAAAATTGATATGCAATTTTGGTATAAGTTTGCATTAATGGTGCAGAACAAGCGGAAAAAATATATACATAATTGTGACATAATTTTGCGCCGATGGTGGAAAATAAATGAAGGAAAACAAACAGTAATTTTGACATGAAATATTGGCAAATTTATAGTAAAAATTATAGTCATTTCTTTCGGTTCTTCTGCACTTTTTGTGCGTTTTTCACCTATTCCATCAATTGTTTGGCACCATTTTGAGTCGCCGCTTGTTCGATACCAGTGGTGCTATTAAGTCTGTCACGAACGTGAATAAGTCGCAGTAATTAGCATCAATTGATGCAAAAGAGTCGTTAACAGACAGACAGACGGACAGACAGACAGACAGACGGACGGACAAGAGGAATTCAATAGCTCCTCTGCTACGCAGGGCGAGCTAATAAACCGTAGTAACGTTAGAAGTAGCTCACCCTGGAATAATAATTAGGATATAGTTTTGCACCAAAGGTGCAAAATAAGCGGACAAAATGGATACATAATTTTCATATAATTTTGCATCAATGGTACAGAATAAACGGGGGGTAACAGAAATTTGATATAATGTTGCACCAATGGTGCAGCCGAAATGGTTAAAATTGGGACTAAATTTTGACACGATTTCAAGGTTAAGTTATGGCAGCCAAGGCTAACTAGAACTTTCAGTTAATCCTAACCATTATTGCGGAATACATCGATTCCTCTAATTATTTCGCACCATTTTGCGTTAACAATTGTCGGATACCAATTGTGCTACTAATTAGGGTTGAAATGGTCGTGGGACTTATTAATTAGCATCAATTGATGCAAAAAACTCGTGAACAGACAGACAGACAGACGGACAAGAGGAATTCAATAGCTCTCATGCTACGCAGGGTGAGCTAATAATCAAATGAAGTAAATAGTGTGCACAATTTGTACATATTACATAACTGCATGCAAATGTACATAGGTTAATGTCGTCATATTTTGCACAAATTTATTCGCAAATGACGCATAGACAATACAATGCTTGAACTTGAACTATGAAATGGGAATGATGCCACTTTAATGCACTTGGTTGAGTACTTGGTTACATTTTAAATATAGTAAGATTATAATTTAAACATCAAATGACATCTGCTTTAGAAATTTTTTAATTGTGTCTCTAGTAGAGACGATACTGCAAAATCTCATGAATCTAATTTATGTAAATTATACAGGATATGATAGCGGCACTAAAATTAGTTGAAATTCGACAAAAACTTCGCCAACACCTGCGGGATCTCTTTTCGAATTAATTGTCACCTGGAATAACTAACCAATATCACCGATAGAACATTTTCTGCATGAGTTAACCTTGACAAAGCATCAAGCGTTCAATAAATAGACTAGTTCAACCTTAATTTACCTTTAGTTATTTATTTTCTTTCCCCATTTCCTAATGGAGAATTAAATACTATCGACAATTTACTCCAGGGTCTTTCCAAAATGAAGTTGTTCGTTATTATTTGCTTTGTACTTCAAGTTTCAACGGTTTTTGGCCAAGTTCCTGACCCACCACTTTCTCCTTCAAAGCTCATCTTCATCGGATTTACAGCATACGGCAAACAGTTTTATACGCAAAATGTCCTCCTCAATTTAACTCAGGCGGAAGAATTCTGTTCACAATACACGCTTAATATCGCATCTGTCGACACTTACGATGAAGGCGTCATGCTTGGCCAGTGGGCAACAACGCTAAACTATCAAGGTAAGGTTCCTGCACAAGATGTTTCCTTTAATTTAATTCTTAACCCCCATGTCGCATATCAAAAACCTATGTGTCTGATCCTAGAATACGTCATCTCATCGTACCAAGAAGGGCTGGGTGTCGTCCCATTTCAAAGTTTGAACTGTGCTGAATCTTCCCGCGTTAACCAGACTGTTTGGAATTCAGCATCTTGCGATGGCCTTGGTCATCCCTTATGTGTCACCAATTATACGAATCCCAATCCCAACCCAGCACCACCCACCTCGGAGGAACTCACATTAATCGGAATTTCTACCGTTGGTCTCATCAAGAAAGAATTTTACGGATATCGACCTCCCTCCAAATGGAGTGACGCATACGACGTTTGTAAATCACGAGGGCTGCAATTAGCAACCATTGATCGGGATGAAGATCAATTTACAATTGTACGATGGAGCGTTACAACAGCTACGGCGACATGTTAGCCTAAACAAATCTATGCGAAGCAGTGATTTCTAGAAATCCAGATCTAAAATAAAATATTTTTGCCCAGGGTCCTCCTTCTGGATCGCGGGTACTGCCAAGCTAACTGGTGACTGGCTTTGGATTTCGAATGGTCAAGATGTCCCACTTCCAAATGCGGCTTCCAATAAATTTCAGTGGTGGGCGGAAGGGCAACCACGAACTGACCCAACAGGACAAACCTGCTTGGCAACCTTCCTTGGGTCAGACCGTTCCTGGTATCCCGCCCCATGTTGGCAAGGCCGCCCTGCTCTTTGCATGCGGGTATCAAGTATTAATGGGTGAAGGTACAGTTATTTATATGATTAGTAGAAGCAGCTATGACACTATCTGAAATTTGAAATGATTGAATAATAAATAACTAAAGTTAAAAAATGCTACATTTGCATATGTAGATTTGTATATGTACCGACAAGGGTTAATTGTTACCTAGGCTACATATATATTAACGTGTGGATGCATTTGTATATCCATAATACACATTCGAATTTCTAACTCTCAAAGTATTATCCCGTGACATCAGATGGACGTTGTTACTCGTCTCTTGCCCCAGATTAAACCACTACAGGTTTTAAAATCGGGAAATATTTATTCGTTGTTGGCATTGGATGAGATTCTCTTCAAGGAACATCCTCTCTAGCTAGCACTTTTTGCGATTATGTAAGAATTTTGAAAACTATGAGCTTACTTACAATTAATTACAAGTTTTGTTGGCAAACTCATTTCCGTTCCAGTGGAAACTTGTTTACGATGGAATCGTGTATTCGTGTTGAGTTTGTTAGCGTTTTCTGTGACGTTCTTTTCAGATACATAAACTTCCTGAAAATATTTCAACGCACTATTTGTAATTCAACAGTTTTGCATCGCTGGAAACCAACTCGTTCTTAATGCACTGAGATATTTCTTCAGTTCATTTGAGAGAACATACGTATGTTCTCTAAAATGAACTGAATAAATATATGTAACGTATGCATACGTTTGTGGCTATGAAATGAATCGTTTGCGCGAATAATTATTTGTATCATCGCTTTTTAAGGATTGTGCGTCCTCGTCTTCAAAATAAATAATTCAAGTACTTACGAACACTGCTATGTAAGAACAAAAAACTTGAAGCTTAACAGTTTTTAGGCTTACTTATTTTCTCCGTATGCATGTGTATCAAGACGTAAAATTTCCTGTTGCATATTATAACATTACAAAATTAGCAATGCGGCCAGCGAAATCTGTGCTGTAATAGAATACCGTAAATTTACTGGACATCGTTTTCACACAAATTCACTAACAAAATAAATTATTAATCTCATCATGGGTTTTTGTTGCGTACGTACATATTCAATAATGCAAATAGCGTTCCATTCATTTTGGGTTTGCTTTGATCACAATATTAAATAAATTCGCCATATACACCGCACATTTCTCCATGGCAATAAAATTAATATTTCTCCACAACTTCATATTATATGGCTTACCTACATATTAGTGCAACTCGTAACCTTATAAAAAATTTATCAATTCATAGCAAAAGATAACTCTCATACTTGATTGAAACGAGCAGAACATAATAAATTATCAAACATAGGATGTCAAATTCACGTCGAGCTCTATTCTATAATATTCCTCGTTGGATGTAGGCATATACACGAAATACGAAATTTCCATCAAATTCATGAGACACTGGAATAATTAGCACTATGTATTTCCCATCAGATGGGTCACATCGTATAATATGCACGAAAATTTATGCGACCTGGTCTAATTTTTCATTCTATGCGTATGTCTGTATGTGCATATGTACATACATACATAAATACATACGCTTTTGTATGTAGGTATTTATAAATAACCAACTAGTTTAATAAGAATGTTGTCGAGAATATGCTTCCTCTTTTCAATAAAATTCAACTTTCACCCAAATTCAGGCATCATTTCGCTTTGTTTGCTGGTGTTGTCTGTTCACTCTCTCACAACTTCCAAAATGTTATCAAAAGGTCAAGCGTATTTTCGTTGGTGGGTGGGTGCCATGACATTGTGCAATTTCTGCTTTTCAGTCCCTTACAAGTGGGACAACGCTTCAAACTCTGTGAAACTAATTGGGAAATTTCATAGAAAAGCGTACATTTTGACCCTTCTGTTGCATTTCACCTATTTCATAGTGATGTGCTCGAATCTCGGTCTGCATTACCAGCTAATGACTTTGCCCGATTGTCTGAAATCACTCGTCGTGATATTCTCATACGCCTGCTGTGGAATCTCCCGACTGACTTTTTACATTTGGGAAACCGATTTCTTGCTATTGTTGAATACATTCTTGCACTTTGAGAAAAATCTGCTCCAGCGTAAGTATAATGAAATTACAAGGGCATCAGATGGAATTTTTACATTGCAATGTGTACATACTTTGTAATTTTGAAGGATTTTCTGGTATGGACCCCTTAATTCGAAAAGGGTCAATCTACACTTTCTTAGTGTTTGGCACAGGAACGGCTTCAACAGCAACGTTCGGGTTTTTAATTTTTATGCTTTTGTGTATGCAACCTTGCACACCTCCGTATATTGCATCGATGATGGATAAGTGCATGACCAGCAGGTCAACTTATCATGGAAAACTTGAGTACGCAGTGACTATGATCGGGGCAACGTTTGATGGATCCATGTGGTTTCATGTACATCTGTACACATTTAGTATAATTTGTATTTTTCATGTGTCTGGTTTCGCTAATGTGCGTCATTTGCAGGTTGCTATGCCGTGCGCAATGGCATTGGGAAATTTTATGCTTGGATTTTCTCTGTCGTTAAAGAAATATTTGACCGTGTTGTACAAGTATATAATTTACTAAATTTTGAACATGTTTCATGTAAAATCCATTTTCTAAATATTTTTCTTCTCACAAAATAGCGATGTGGCCACCATAATTATTTCAACATCTTCTCGTTCAAAGGAAGCTGACATTATTGCCGTATTTGACTATTACGCACAAATTCAACTCCTGGTAAAACAAATGAATGTAACCTTTCAAGATTTCTTCATCCCGATTGGGCTCGCATTCTTCTCCAACGCATTGATTTTTGTGCTGTACGTCTGCATCAAACTGCACGATGCAATCCCAATGCCTGGCTTCTTATTTTTTCCATTGATTCTAACCGATGCACTATTGGTTATTGGAGTTGATTTCGCGTCGGCAGGGTTCGTACATTCAAAGTCGAACGTGGTTATTGCAAAGTGGAAAATGCTGTGTGGTTTTAAGAGAAGGACGCAACTTAAGACTAAAGCGCATTCATTTCCACCCCTGAAGATAAGGTTTGGGATGAACTTTATCGATGAAATGACGTCCCTTACGATTTTGGATTTTTGTTTAAATCAGACCGTCTCATTACTGTTGATGAGTTAAATCCTGATATTTAATAAAGTTTGGTAAATCACAATATATTCAATTCAGCCTAAATTTAAGATCTGTCGCATGTTACAAAAATTTCCTTACTGATTAATTTATACGAATTAATTGTCTAATTAGCCAAGTAATTATTGAATTCAAAGTTAATAAATATATAAAACCATTTGGACATTGAGCTGTTATAAAAAAATAAAATTTATTAATTTAATATTGTGAATGCCATGAAACATACGCAAATGTTTAATTCTCATATGTCATGTCAACTATGTACATGCAGAATTATATTTATACACCAAGAAAGGTTGATACCAAAATTCACTGAATTACAGTCAGCAGTAGATTTGTACACACAAGTATTATTAATACATACTTACATAAGTATCTTTCATCGAAGACTAATCAAATGCATACATAAGTGCATATGTAAATATGTACATATGCATGTGGACCTCTTGCAATATGTTGACACATTTGATCCATGGAGTAATACACATTTTTCATCGAATACGAACTTCTTGGAAATGAGCTATCTTATCATATTTATTGCATTAACTGCAATTTCGCTAAATATGTCAAATGCATAATATGTATTTGTACACTAAAAAAGAAGGATAGTTTGACATTAGAGTTTCCTGTTTACCAAGAATGCTTCGGTCACTTATTTGGGAAAGGCATTCAAAGGTATAAATTCAGTGCATATATTAATAAATTTGCAGTGCATGATTGCCTACACTCCAACCAGTTTCGGAAAATACAATCTGCATACAAAGTTTTAACACACATTTTTCAATTTACTTTAACAATGAAGATTTCATTGCTCCTCTTTTTCGTTGGGGTATGTGTCCTGATGTCTGCACGCGAATCAGAAGCCGTGTGGGGTGCAGTCGCCAGAGGTGCGATCAATATTGGACGGAAGATTGGTGGGAGTGGAAAACCTGTTCAACATTTTAAAAATTTACCTAATCGAAAGGCTGCTGAAAATGCGGCAAGGAATGCAGGGAAAGGTTTGTACTAAAATATATAACTTGGACATGTTGCGACACTTAAATCGCACATGAATTATAAGAATGCATTAGCGAACTCTGACAAAACATTCGCATACTATGTACGTACTTTTGCTAATATATAAACACAAATAAAGTGTGGATTTGCGTGTATTCGAGATTTGTAGGAAATACTCCAGTACGCCACACCCCTCACCAACCAGGACAAACACCTCATTTCCATCCGGCTGACCGAAACGGGAACATCATCAAGGATGGGTCTCATTACGGATATCCAAACAAAGGATAATTTAATTTTAAGACCGAGTCGTTGCCAGGAACTCAAGAAATTTGTGTTATTCGGATTTACTTGTTGTAGCTTAACATTAAATGCATTATTATAAATTCACAACAATAGTGTGCAATCATTAAATAAATCCTAAAATTTTCTTCAAGCTAACTTATGCACGTATTTATGTATAGTGGCTCTGAAAAATATTAAATGTCATTTATATGTGTGTATGCATAGATAATGAGTATTCTAACGCTCATGTAGACGCATCTAGCAAAAATTAGATTAATTAATTAAATTTAGCATTAAAATTGATAGCTTGAATACAAGTAAATGCCTGTTCCCTTACAGAAATTTTCCCCTTACATACATACGTTATGCTGCCACTAATTTATTTTGTGAAATATTTCAGATTATGCTATACCCGGAAGATTAAATTATTGTTATTTACAATTAACACAAACAATTTATTAACCGACTAATGCTGAAAGCATGAATGTTATAAGTTTAATTACTACCACATAAAATGTGTAAAATACCAGCAAGATCGCGTCGACAGAAATTATCAAATTTAAAAGCAAAAACATGTCCGGCTCTTCCAAATCTACGTTTCTAAATGTAAACAAAAATCACACAATGAATTTCTTTTAGATTTTAAAATTAGTTCATAAATAATTTTCACCTCTTACTCCAGTCCAATTTTTGCCTGAATGGTTGACAAAATAGTATTAAAGTCGTAGCGAAGAAAGTCATGAGGGATATTTGCTGGCTCAAATTTTCCTTCAGAACGGGCAGCAATATCTTCGTGAAGACTGACAAAGAACCATTTCATCATATCATCAAACTCTTTCTTCGAGTGGCCCTCATAAATCCAGTTTTTATGTTCTGGAAGGTCGATTAGTTTTCCCCACGTGATCCTTTCTTCATTATGCTCCCAACTATTTTTCGCCCTCTCCTTGTCGCAGGAGCCATGCAAAAGTACACGTGTAAATTTGTTGCTACATCTCGCAAATCCCATGGGTTGATGGCAAGTGTGGTGCTTGGCTTGATCACCGCTATCGTTTTCATGACCACTGGCACCCCAACAAACCCCGGAGCACAAAGGACAATGAAAAGTACAACCCATCAAATTTTGCAAACTTTGAACCTCTGAGAGGTCCACTATAGCAATATCCGCCTCCAAATCCTGCCTTTTGTCAGGGTCCATAAATGCTTTTAGTAACGAAGTCTTTAGCTGGACAAAGTCTACCTGCTCAGGTGTCTGTTTTGGTTTGTACACCATTTCATTTGCAACGTTGAGATAGCTATCCGCAAAGCTTTTCATAGTCAAGTAATTCGCAGAGTTCTCCAGACTTTGTCTAACCGTAGCTAGTTCCGTCGTAATTGTGTCCTTAAATGCTTGAATTGATTTTTCCTTTGTGAAAGAATTAAGTTTGGTTTTAAACCAATGACTAATGGCTGCCTTAGGATTCATGAAATGTTGCAATGCTCGTTCCTTGTTTTCCTCATTTACTTCTCGTGCTAATCCAGCAAAATACTTCAACCGGACTCTTTGTCCATTTGAAAGCCAGGATTGACTCTGGACAAATGCGATTTGGTGATTGTCTGCAAATTGTTGAGCACGCTTCCTTATAGCCTCGAATAAAAGTTTACACAAGATCTTTCCTTCTGCTTCTGATCCATATCCGTTCTCCAACCGGACCTTTATCATCTGCAAAATTTTACAGATACACGGAATTTGTTTATATTCATGTCAAGTGAAACATAAAATTATTGTAACTTATGTATAGTGTATCAGCTATATTTATTTGTAGAATTTACCTCTCTATAAGTTGATATATTATTCTCCAAAATATGCAATGGGTCATTATCACGCTTCCAGAGTTTCTCCCGTTTCTCCATCTCAAATAAATATTTGTTAAGGGCAAATAAATGTGCCTCCCATTTGAAATTCGAGTTTAGCTTCTTTTTCTCCAACCTGTGTTCTTCGAATGCATTTAAAATTTCGTTTACTTTTAATCGTAAACTCCAAGTCATTCCATTTTGAAAAATTTCTTCTTTTCTTTCTTTGAGTATCTGCACAGGCAAATTTCCCAAAGTTGCTTCCAGTTCATCAATTAGATGAAGACTTAGAATACCATCGCACCCAAGTACAGCGTTTTTAAGTTTTTGATACCATTTGGGATCAATTGCTTCAATTTCGCGAAATTCTTTAAAGCGTATGTGACCACCCTTCAAGCCTTGCAGAACAGCAGTGTCATTTTCATAATACGATCTTATTTCATCGATAATTCTTGTCTTTACTGGCACTACTTTTAGCATAGATGAAGCTTCTTGTTTAACAGCTTGGAGCACAATTTCAACTTTCTGTTTGCTATAACCACCATCTCCACTTCCGGAGAGGCATCTTTGTATTATTTGATCTAACTCGGAAAATTTCCCAGATCTTATTTTTCTAGCATTCGCTTCCTGATCCAGCTGCTGAATTATTCCTTCCCGTGTCTTGATGATAAACTTTAATATTGTGGCTTTCGTGTCAGGTGCACACGGTTGGTTTTCAACCTCTTTGTAGAGTTCGTTTCTTAGAGTCAAAAGTGTTGAACAATGGTCACACGGTTGACTGGAATTGATGGACCCACACGAACTTGGGATTGACCGGAGGTCAATTTTTACAATGTTCATTAGATTTTCTTTTTCAACTCCCCATAACTCCATTCTTGAAGTGTCTTCCAACTCTTTAATTTTGGCAGAAAACATGACCTTGTGTTTCTCGGCGTGACAGTAAAATGTTTTCTCCGCTGCCTGCTTCACTTTTGCTATTTTCACGCCTCGATCAATAAATTCATTTATTGCTGCGATATTCTTGAATCGTAGTGTGAAATCTTGTTCTTCCACAGCTTCCCAGTAACTTCCAATTAAATTGTGCCACTTGCAAAACTCTCGATGCCGATCTTGAGTAGCTTTTGCTTTCACGGATTCCAAAATGATTGAATACAATTCCACAACGTCCTCGTGATACTCGGTTGACGGTGGAGCATTTACAGTCGATCCATTTTTGAAAGGACGAAACTGTTTGAGATGTGACCCATTTTGTACACGGTGAAGCAGTTTGGTGAGTGACTTGCTGTTCCTTATCCCAATATCCATGTCTTTCTTTTCCGTTAAATCAATAGCTTCCTTTATGGCATTGCAAAACTCCTCAGAACCACGCAGGGTTTTTGTTGCATCTCTCTCCGTTAAATGTTGCACCATTAAAATGTCTGGAGTCATTTCGGCCTCATCCAGTCGAGCCATTGTGACAATAACTATTTGCAGAATTTCAGTGAGGTCCCGTACGGATTCTCCAATAACGTTGACCAATGTTAGGTCGCTGATACTCATCGCAAAGGTGGCAAGTTGTCTATCCTTCCTTTCACAGTCTGGATCGTTCATCTTTTCTGGGGCCCCTAGTCCTTCAGTGTCAACCAGTAAAATGGCATCCACTCCATATTCCTCTTTCAAGTCATCTTCCAAAAACAATAGGCGCATAAAGAGTCCTCTCGTACATCGGCCAACGGAGACGGCAAACTTGCAAGCAAATAAAGCATTCAACAATGTAGACTTGCCTGAGGATTGTAGTCCAATTATGCTAATTACGAAAATCCTGATTTTGGGGTTGATTTTACAAATAGAGTGGCAAATCTGGTCAAACCACACTCCATGAAAGTGGCCATTGTCCCCATCTAATAATTCGATTGCGTGCCCTTCAACCACCAACTCACCGTAAAATCGTGGCAAAGAAATTAGCCTCGAATTGTTTAATTCTTTTGGATGACTCTGAGCCAACTCGTAAAGTTTTCCCAATTCTCTATAAAAATGTTCTAGGCCCAAACTGTTATTCTCAATTTCTTGATAAACCTGACGGATTTTCTGCTCAAGAATTGAATTTTCTTGAAGTAAGGTTTGGGTCACATTCAGACTCACGGTACTACATCGTTGTTGCAAAAGTTTGAAAAGATGCGACTTCTGTTTTTTTGTCTGATTAGCGGATAAAGTGGACGTTCCTCTATCAAGATGTGCGAAAGCGAGCTTTCTTTGACAAAGAGACAAAGTGAGGATACCGACCAGAATGTTGACTATTTGTATTAATTTTCTTGACCCATTTCCACAACTTTCCAGAAGGGACCCAACGTCCTTATGCTTTCCATAAGCATTCCTGCCCCTTGTTTGTAATTTCAGTAGTCCCCGTACAACGCCACAGGAGGTGGTTTCCAAAATATTAATAAGTCGGTTGGACAATTCTGTAGAAATATGTGCGATAGGTTCAATTTTCCCAAGGCTTTTCTGCCGTTTATTGATGTTCCTTTGTTCCATCCGCTTTAAATTTATGCATTCCATCAAACAATTTCTAACCCCGTCCAGACTGCTATCGTTGACAAGATCACTCGTATATACAATTCCGTCTGATGACTCAATGTTCTCGTCTGACGGGTCGATAATCACGGTGTAAAATTGTATTCCGTCCCACATTTCAGAGATTTGGTCAAACTCATCTTGGGTTTTTGGAAAAGCAGCATCAGTAAAAAATACAAGGAATGCGGACGCGTATTGCTTAAAGTAGTTGACGTGATCAGGTAGCTTAGCCGCATTTCCGTGTAAATTTACCAGGAGTATGGCTTCAGCGAGTTCGGAAGAGGAATAGTGGGAGGCGATTGAGTGCTGTGGTTTTTCTACATCAATCCCATTCTTCCATTTGAAAAGCCGAGGAGAGCATGTTTCCTTTGTTAAAGCGATAAGTTCGGCTGAACCTGCCAAACATTTGGGTGGCCCATGTGCAGATCCAGCATTGCTTTTTGAGGCAAATATGTCCCGTTGATTAAAAAGTTGATTAAGAATTGTGCTTTTTCCGCTTTCTCTTCCAGAACTTGTACCGATTCGGATAGCGACAATCATTTTATAAGGATCCACAAAAAGTTTGTTCTGTACCATTGAGCCAGACTTGGTTTCCCATTTTATGGAGCCTTCTTGCAAAATGAATTTCAGCGAGGTGAATCCTCTGTTGCTTGGCTCCTCGTCCAGGGAAAAATTCAGTTGGGGCATTATAAATGGCAGTGCTACTGGGAAAAAGGTTAGCGTCCTTACGATATCCTGAAGTACGAGAGGGTCACAAAGATGCACAAGGCTGGAGAATATGTCAAGTTTTGAAATTGTCGTCGAATCCCAATCTGACTTTTGCTGTTGTATTGCTGGTGGACCCGGCTCATTCAATTTACTAACGTCTCCAGCTTTGAGGAATTTCTTACCTCCACTATAAGTGGGAAGAATCTTCTGACAATTTGGAAGCATTTGATCTAGCAATCCATCCTCCAAAACAAAAACTCCCCACATCTTCAGTTTTTGTAAAATGTAGGGCAAAATCTGACAAGTAATTGCTTCACATTTGTCATTCCTGCTGAACCGTGGTTGTTGTAAAAGCTTCTGTACTTTTAAAAATCTCTTATGGTCAATTGGGGGATGGGATCCAAGAAGAAAATGAGAACCATTAGTGGCTGGTGGAACATTTGGTGCATCAGGAAGAGGAAGAGAAGAACGCTGGGGATTTTGTTCAATTACATAATTAAAGGAGTGGTTGGCTGTTGGATTTACAAGAATGATTCTATGATTTTCAAGAGGTTGAATGTTCTCTGCAGTTTTGGTTTTATCCTCCAGGTACTCTCGCATTGATGCAAGAGCAAATTTAAGCGTGTCTTTAGTAAACGGACGATTGAAAACTTTTTGCTCTTCACTGTAGCCATACTCATCGGAGGAAATCATAAGAGCAGCTTGAAATTCTTTGTTTTCTCCCAAAGAATTCAATACGAGTCGGACATAGTCGCTCGGAATACTTTCTTGGTGCAAAAGCTGTTGGGAGAGTTCAAACAGTTCCTTAACCGTTACCACTTTGTCAGGGATTTGCACAAGGTCTTCATCTCCACCAATTTGGATCGGGGTTAATTTCTCCTTTAAGAAGTCAGGCAAGAAATCAGGCACACTCTTGGAGCAAAGCTTTGTTTGAAGTAGTTCCATACAAGTGTCTGAATTTAAGACTTCCTTCAATAAATATTTCACCGAGCTCTTTTTGAAAATAAACTGTTGTTGGCTCAGGTTGAGGTTGAGAACGATATCCAGGAAATGTTTCAATTGCTTAGCTTCTAGTGTGAATGTATCGTTCATTAGAATTCGGATTTCATACAGAGACAGGTTGCCGCATGATAGATGCATAAGGTCGCTGAGCACTTCATAATACCGGTGATGTTCTAAGTTGTTCTCAAATTTTGTTACAATGCTGCTGTTCAACTTGGAAATAAGCTCGGGCATGAAGGTGTCCATGAAGTAGCCTAAGCAAATGTTTTGAAGTTTTCGGTCTACTCCTGGATTTGTTGTTGACGAGACAGAGTTAATGATGCCAAACACTGCCGAAAGAATTCGTGAATTTGGTCTATTTTCTTCGTTTTGAGCAATGCATTTCTCCAGAATTGAATGAATGAATGCCATTGTATCATCGTTTAAATTTGGATCTGCCTCTGATGCATTGTTTAGCTGTTCCTTAACCTCACTAGGGCACGAAAGATGGTTAGTGATTAGCAAAATTGATTCCTTAATTGCTGAAACCCGTTCATTGTTTTGGGGTTTGTTATTATTTTTAATGCTTTGTATTGCAATGTTGACTGCGGAATGGAACGGATTGACTGTATTTAATACAGTCAGTATTTGGGGATAATGCTGCATCAAATTAAGCTCAGTCGGATCTGCTTTTAGGACTTCTGCTTCAACTTCCCTTGACATCTGAAGTGATGGATCTTTCATTTTCAGAAGTTGCAACAAAGACGCCAAAGCCAACGACATATTATTTAACTGAACAATCAAGCAGCCTGAAAGGTAATTGGTGGCCAACTTAAACTCCTTGGCTGGATCCAAAGCAAACACTTGCTTAAATTTGTAGTTGATGAGACTTTCAGCAGTTCCTTGGTTGCGAAACAAGTTTGCAATTTCTACCTGGAAATTGTGTCTCTGTTCGTTGATTGAATATTCCCTTGCTGGCCTGAATTCTTTTAGAGTCCCTTCAAGGTTTTTCTTTTTGATGCCGTCAACTAATATTTTGAGCTCTAAGGTATCATCAGCCACAGCTAAGAGTGTTTCTCCCTTAAACAAAAACGCTAAAGGAGTTTCCTTATGAAGGCCTCTGAGTTGAAAGGATCCAACAATTAGATTCACAGATGTGTCCTCAGCCAACCAAACTGCCAAAAGATTATATGCGGCGACGCAATCAAAGTAGTTCCATCCCTCCATAGTTATAATGAAGGAATACTTGGTCTCAGATTTTAGGAGGCATTCCCGCAGTTGTATGTAATTATTTGCAATCCTAATTCCTTTAACTTGCTTCAGAATTGTTACCAGTCCAACAATATCCTTTGCATGCTTGGAGAGAGGAAAAGAAATTCCTCGGGTAGCGCAGTAGCCCGTGAAAAATCTTTTTTCAACTTCACTAACTTGGTCAACCATTAGTGAAAGTACGCGAACCACATGACCAACATCCTCAAATTCTTCTGGGTCGGATATTGTCTTTATTAGAATTTTCGGAGTAGTCGTTGGTCCATCATCTCCAACTGTTGGAAGCGATACCGAAACATCAATTTCAATTCCATTTAGAAGACCAATAATTGAATAAAGCTGAGCTAGGTCCGACGCATTTTTACAATTTCTTGAAGAAGAAAACAAAAGTTTAACAGGCAAGGATTTGGTTTGGAACCAGTTCTGTTGGGCAGCAAGGCTTGTGTGGATTTGAATTTGACATTCTCGAGTTGGATTTGCAGCTCCACAAAGTTCGGCATTTCCTTCAATAATGAAATTTTGCAGTATTTCTTGAATGATCGTTGCGCCGAATTTCTCGCTGAATTCATTCCCCAGAGTTATTAAGTCTTGGGCTGATTTCTTATGGATTTTGTATGACTGTAAGCATTCTGTGGCGACTTTGAAAAATTGTTTTCCTTCCACTAAAAGTTGATTTTCCTTTGCCCGTACCTCTCGATTGAGTTTATTTTCCACATCCTGGAGCAACCGTTTTAGCGCTGGTACTTTATAAAGAAGTTGTTTCCGGATGAAGTTTGGGGATGTGATGTCTTTCAGTGTGACGAACATGTGCTCCAAGCTGTCAGTCAGATCATCTTTAATTTTAAGGTAGAGCATTTCCAGTTTTACTTCCACAAAATGGGAAATGGGTAGGAGGAGAAAGCGAATTGGGATTCCATTATACATTTTGTCCTTTTGGAAAGTAGGGTGAAAAGTGTTGGATACAGTAGTATTAAAGGATTCAATTATCTCAAACATTGTCTTGACATCTTGAGGTTGAGAGGGAGAGTTTGGCTGGGGTCGACTAGAAATGGTGATATTTTTCTCAAAATCCTTTCCTCCCTCAGAGTCCAAAAATCCAAGCTTGACTTTTACAGCGGCACTCACAGGTCCATATACCAACTTTCCAGCTAAATTTCCATCTGCAGTAGTGTTTACATTGGATGACCGGTCGCGAATTCGTAGATTTGCGGAGATATGGGCTCCAAGTTGCACCTGCTTCACGACATGGGTTGCCTTGATTTCTCCTGTAGAACAATGTAATTTTTAATACCACGCAGACACATCCAAAAATATGCCTAATATTTAAAGCATTAAATATATTTGGAATATTCATAAAAATTTTAAGACTAAGAATCTCAATTCCCAAGAAAAAATCAAAATTTAGTTGATTTGGTGAAGATTTGATGAAGCAAAATAAAATTGTAAAGTTTTTTATTAAATTGTTCTCCTAGGCCGTTTTAAAACATCGTCATTAATAATGAGAGGATGGAAAGATATCATAGACTATAAAATTTTGTTAAGATCGCCTTGGTAAATTATTAAAGCCTTATATCTTGTAGGTGCTAAGTGGTAGGTGGGGAAAATTCATGCAATTGGACTACTTAACTTTTACAATAGGCGTACTCATGAACGTGTCTTACTAATCATCACAACTCATTTAGATATGTAGTAAATTTGTGATCGGGATTTGCTAACACATGACTAAAATTTCGTAAATCTACTTATGCAACCTACACTACAAACTTGATATAGCCCGAGTCAGGCTTAGTTAGCTGTAGTTATTACCAAGTCCAACTTTTTTGTATTAAATTTGATAAATATAAACTTATTTTTCCAATTCCAATTTATATTCTCCTATTAGTAGCCAGTATCAACCAAAGGCATACTTAATACCCCACCCACCTAGATAACCCACACATATGTAGGGCAACCACTAGACCGATTTCGCACATGCTCCAACTCATATCCTACCTTTTCTCAATATGCATATGGTAAACATTTCAAATTAATCGGTCAACTCGTTCGAGAGTTATCGACAGACAGACGGACGGATAGACATACATTGCAATTACATAAGTCCTGTCTGTTTGGGATTAAAAATTATGAAGACATACTCTCGCTAGCTTAATTTTCAGAAATCATTTAAAAAATTGTTAGGGTTTTGCACTTTTCCATGTGTGAATTAAAAATCCCAAAATTAAACCAAATATAAAACTTGCAAAACCAAATGCAACAGCAGCAATAGTTTGGAAAAGTAAAGTATGTAACCAATGGATCGAAATAAAACGAATAAAATTTTGGCAATAATGCCAATTATGGTAACCAAGCTCCCCGTATAGATTCAAATGGTAAAATAAAATTTCATGAAACAAATTGTTAATAATAATTACCTCTGAGGATTTTATCTCGGACGTGTTCATCAATCACTGCATTTGAATTCGCTTCCACTCGAAAGGTTCTGACGCTGTAGCGACAGACCAATTCTTCTTCCAGAGAGTTTGACTCATCTTTAAAATCATATTTTGCGTTGCCCTCCACTTTTATCATGCCTGACAACAACTCCAACGACAGAGATCCTTCCACGTTGAGGGACTTTATGCGATCCTTAGTGCTTTTGATGTGGGTCAGGTCATATTCATAATCTCCCAAGGGGTGGATGTCCATTTGGCCGAGAGAGGAAAATAATTTGGAGCCGACGTGGCTCGAGTCTTGGCAGTTCCATAAGTCACCAATCCATGCAGGCCCATCTTCAATGCTTGGGAGGATTATGATGTCTTCCTCAACAAACTCCTTCATTTTCCGGGCTGTAAAATATTTACAAAAATCTTAGCCAATCTTAACAAGTAAATATGTACGAGTTGTTTAAATTCACACATAACATAAATTCTAACTTTCTTCCTCTCTCAGTCACTATTGAGTAGTGACCCAGGAAAAGCTGTATAAAATGCAGGAAGTTACTAGCTACTTCAAAAATGGAAATGCTAATTATTACATACCCAAAATTATTCGCTTTTTTCTGCAAGTACTGACTCAAGACAACAAATAGCTAAGACTGTCGAAGCAGAACTGGATCTGGACAGCTTAAATATGTGAGTTTATCTATTATTGAGTTCATCAAGACACATTTAGTCCCATAATGAATACGAAACTATGCACGTACATAGTAAAATGCCGAAATAAAACTTGATCTCACTTGTAGACTGCACAGCGTACATAAGTACTTATGCGAGTTTTTATCTGACTCAGCAGGACACATTTGATCCCATAATGAAATGCACGCAGTAAAATGCAACACCGAAATAAAACTTGAACTCACTTGTGCAAATAACAAATTGCACAATCATGGATAGTATTATATGTATCTGCCTTTACCAACAAATCCTTCATGAGCAAAAGTTAAGTAATAGGATGAACTGATTTTAAGAATGGAATATAACGGACTGTGTGATTGGGTAAGAACTAAACAAAGTTTGCATGCTGTTAATGGAACCAAGTGATAAACTGAAGTTCAGAATAATTTATTGGTTTATAAGCATCGAACACCTAGACATTGAAATCACAGTGTCGAAAATGGCTCAAAATATCGACATTTAGTGCATCAAATTCACCAATGAGTTGGCCTCTTGGTATAGTTTGCTTTAATTTTCAGTTGTGGGCGTGGTCAAAAAGGGTAGTTTTCGAATTTGTAATAAGTCTATAATTCACCCAAAACAATATTCCCTAGAACGAACTCAGATTCTGGTTAAAGTGATTTTGAACATGGTTGTACATTGTTTCTGAGAAAATGCGATGAAATTTTTATATATAATTGAAACCCCATTTTTCAGCATCGTATGGAACGGAAAAATTGAAGGACAACTTTGCCTTTCAATCTAAAAAGTAGCACGAACTGACCCATATGACCTGCTTAAATTACCATCTAATGTCGAACTGATAGTGTCATCCTTGGTCAAAACTTGAGTTAATAAGTAGCTTTTATAAAGTGTCAAATTTGCCAAAAATCAAAGTTTTCAAACGTCTTTAACCTAATTCACTAGACGTTCTAGGAATTTTTGCACTTACTTATTTTTTATATATTTCTGTGCAGATGCTCTGCCAAAAATCGCGAATAGCACGCGCACTACACAAAGACAAGCTTAAATATACACGTAACCTATACACATACATATATTTGGATATGCTTCATTGGCATGGTCTACAACATTCCACTAATCTTAGGGTATATGGATTCAATGAGAAATCCACTCCACATAACGATTACATAAAATTTGTAGACATTGAATGAAAGCGTTCTGGTTAATACCAAAATGTTATGTAATCTTAAAAACATAAGCAAAGCGTATCGTACACCAAATACCATCTCTAAATTTAAGGACGTATGCGTTTATTTAATTTCGCTATTTAATTCTGTGTTTATACAGCTCTTACTATGACTCAACGGTTATTGCAACTAGAATTTCTTCTGAACATTATACATAGTACTTATTCCAAAGCTTTATGACCCCATAAGAAGACTCATGGAATGCTCCCTATTATTTAACTGGTCTATTGTCGTAGATAATAAAAATACTTGTACTTAAATATAAATGTGAAAATCCCACCTAACTGAAAAATAGGAAGGACATTTCACTTGACAGTTTAAATTAATTTATGATGGCTTGTTTGTTTCGCCTGTTTCATCTGTACTCAAACCATCATGAGTTAATTGAAAATGCCATGTGCTATGTTAGTTTTTATTGTGACTTATTTTATTGGTTAGAATTTGATACACAAGAATCAGATTAATTTATGAAATGTATGTACTCTCATTTCATGAGTTTCGCTAATAAGTATGTCATCGGAGGGGTGGTCCTACACTCGATGAGTATATATTCAGATTTCACTGGTTGGCATTTTTTTCTAGTTTAGCATGTGTCCATTTACTAACAATGCGATGACGCCAGCGGTCTCGCTCCGATTTTGACGAAATAACGATAATTATGTAACCTTACACAAATAATTGAATACGTGTTTCGGGATTTTTCATAATGCTCAACTTAAACGAAATTATGACGTGATCCGTGAGCGAGAATTCCCATTTCCACCGTGACACTTTTCTCGTGAGGGAGAAAAATTCAGATTCACGCTTAACGATTCCATCATAATTTCGTTTAAACTTAAAATGCGTGAGCATGAAGTGGTTTTCTCCCGATTTCAAATTGCTCGCACAAATTTTGAAAAATTTTGAAAATGCAACAGACTAGAAATTTCGAAAAATTAAAATTTTTGAAAACGAGATTTTTCTTAAGTTACTCAATTCTGTGCAAAAATCTTTATGCATTTTTGAAACCGGATAAAAATTTGAAAATTTACCGCATTTCGATAAGTCCTTAATTCGGGTTAAAATTTATTCCAAAATTTATTCCACTCAATTTCCGCCACAACCGAAATAACTCTACCCGTATTTTTACTTTTTCATGAAGACGCGTGATTTCGGTTGTAGCGGAAATTGAGTGACTTAAGAAAATTCGATCGAGTAACTTAAGAAAAATCTGGTTTTCAAAAATTTTGATTTTTCAAAATTTCTGGTTTGTTGAATTTTCAAAATTTTCAAAATTTTCAAAATTTTCAAAATTTTCAAAATTTTTCAAAATTTGTGCGAGCAATTTGAAATTGGTAGAAAACCACTTCATGCCCACGCATTTTAAGTTTAAACGAAATTATGATGGAATCGTTAAGCGTGAATCTGAATTTTTCTCCCTCACGAGAAAAGTGTCACGGTGGAAATGGGAATTCTCGCTCACGGATCACGTCATAATTTCGTTTAAGTTGAGCATTATGAAAAATCCCGAAACACGTATTCAATTATTGTTACATAATTATCGTTATTTCGTCAAAATCGGAGCGAGACCGCTGGCGTCATCGCATTGTAAATATGTACGTAGCGGTTGTATTTTTAAGAAAGGAAATCTTAAATTGCTCGAGTGCGACAATTACAATAATATAAAAAATAGTGTCAGCGGGTATTAATGACAAAATGACAAAGACGATTATTACACTACTTAACCTTTTTTAAGTTATATGCTGCTTTCAAGTTAAATACTTGTGTAAGTTAAGAAAATGCCAGTCTTTCTCCAAAATTTTCCGTGTCAAGTTCGGATCCAGCAATATTTTTTAATGAAATATGGAGGGTCGGTTTCTCTGGCTAGGAAATGCTAACTAGCAAATTCCACCACTTTTGTTAGTCATTTATGTATGTATGTACCTAAATATGTGTACACTGTCAAGGATAATTACTACTTAAATGACTGCCAAAATCACACAGAGAAAGGGGTACGTGAAATATCTAATCTACAAATCGAATGCGAAATTCATGTAGTTCTACGAGGAAAATATAGATATAGTAAAAATATGTATATGTGTCAAAAAATATATAACTTCTAAGGATCAAGTACATAGGTATCAACTGCGGTGAAAATGTATGTATGCTTAACTACCCCGATAAGCATTTCTCTGACATAATTTAAAAATGTATATTGCATTTATACATATGCATACATTACATTGGTATTTGCAAACCTACTTGCTGTATAAAAAAATGAGCAATGAATTTCCAGCTTCATGGGATTTGAGAGGATCCATATAATTAATCTAAATAGATACAAACTAGGATGAAGATATCACAGTTCATCACGCATAAATATAAGCCTATCGTGGAAAAGTTTATCAACTACTGAATTGGGTCTTAATGACACATGTATGAACTCATCCTCATACATATGTATAGAAAGACTTAAATATTTCTTGAGAATAAGTTATTAATTGAATGAGGCACTTATCAACTATTTATTATGGCCTGCAAGCAGAACAATTACTATATCCACTAGCTAGCTGGAAATGTATGATGCTGAAGTTTGTCCTATTTATATAGTACCTAAATTAAATTCGTATAGAAATCGATGTAATTGATTCACATGTACGAAGAAAAAGTCATCTCAAAATATTTCCTGGAAAAGTAACAACGTCTTTTTAGCAGTACGCGTAAATATATAAATCTGCATCAACCACGATACCACTCAATCCATCTGAAGTTTTTAAACCGATAAAATGAATAACGTCGCTGTACCGATTTTCCTGTCCTTCCTCATTTTCTCTGCGCATGGCTGCTGCCACCGAAAATCGGATTGGAACGAGTACCCCCATCCCGAATTAAAATTCCCAGGAGTTGAAGACTACGCTGTGGGCCAAGGCTCATCAGCCGCATTGTCCCAGTTGGATTTAGTAATTGGAGCTACGACTGGTGTCATTCCTGGTGGTGGGCAATTCATCGGTCCTATTTTAACGGTTTGCACCTTTCTACGAGATCTCATATCGGGGGCGGAGGACGGACTATCTAAATTTATCGAGAGGCATCTTGCAGTTGCAACAATTGCAAATGTTAAATCCAAAGTGTATACTATTGAGAACAGATTGAGGGACGTGCAGAGTAATATGGAACAGGTAAATAGGTACTGGTTACGTTCATTCGTTGCCTTAATGTCTGCACAAATTTGCTTTATTTTGAAGCAGATACTCATTTTCTGCCAACAAATTATTAAAACTTGTACATATGTACATACTCTCAACAATTTTGTGCTACGATTGTTACCGGCGGAGGTACTATGCAATTTTACCGCGTGGTGACACTATATTAACAAGTTATCCTTTTGAAGGGAATAAATTACCTGTAATATTTTTATTACCAGAGCGTTGGCATTGGGGGTTAAGCAGGATTTGTATATATGTTTCCCTTACCTCCGCGGGTAACAATCACATCCCAAAATTTTTGAGGGTGTATATATACATAATTGATTACCAAGATAATAATGATCAACTAACTGAATGACTTGCTTACATTTCCACAGAATCGCCTGTTCTTGAATACTAATTACAATGAAAATTGTGTCCTTGTCCTTCAGCGTTCCAGTTACAACATTCCGCTTTCAATTGCGATGGATAAGTGTGAAGAAATTCTGGACAAATACGCAACCGAATGGGGTCCTCTATTTAAGGGTGGAAGCACCTTGGTCTCATCTCCCTCACTGATTTCCTTCGCCTCCATACACTCAGCAGTTGCAGCACTCGGATGGAACCAGTGGCCTGAAAAGAGATCACAAATATTGGGACAAATGGATCGTTTGCAATCCACGCTAGAAAAGTATCGAGATGCTGCGATTGACAAAAGGTTATCGTACGCACGGACGGGTGCACTTTTTAGGTCCACTTGTGATCAGGACTGTTATGACAGATTTTCCCAAGTTATGCCCTGTGCTTCTTGTGATCGCGTGGGGTGCGATGCAGCCACAGTTTTCAATTCTGCGTATGAGCTCTCGCTATTTGAAAGGTACAGAAGAGAGCTGGAGGACCAATACCGTGATTATTTTAACAGGCCAATTAACAAGTTGGCAGAGTTTAGATCTCGACTGCGGAATCAAATGGGATAAGAACTTTGGGAAGGGCTGATAAGTAGTCGAAGGGTAAAAATTTATCAAAGCTGATGCATGGTCATATAATTGCGTACAAAAATTAACAAATTTGTTTTATTAAATCACACATTGAATTAAATAATACTTACGTTTAATTGTGTATACACTTCAGATTTTATTATTTCTCATGATCAGAATGATGTGGTGAGGTCATCGTGCCATCATAAATATGCACATATTAATGGGCCCGACTGGCTACTAATGGTTTAAAAACTTTATCTCACACTCTACAGATATTTTGTGAATAGTGTTTTCTATCTAGTTGGATATGAAATTAATAAAACTCAGATTGAAAATTACACCCGGCCTAGATAAGTCCATATAAAGACAAAATGTAAGTATTACCTTACCAAACCTGGAATTTGTATGCTTATTCATAATTTTCCTGCTTCCGTTATAAATTAAGTAATAAATATGTATGTTCATACATAGGTCCATACATAGAGTTATAGTACATATATATCCATTTGCAAATCATGTGAGAAATAACTAATTGACTTATTAAATTGCTTATGTATGTATGTATACAATAAATTAAGATAGATGATTTAATAAGAGATAAGTCGTTTGTAAATGACTTAATTTCTATTAGTATTGCAGGTTGTAAATTTCTTACATGGATACAAGTTTGATTGTAAGGAAGTCCAGTGTGAACTAAACAATTTGCCTAAAAATCAAAACACATAGAGTGAACCAGTTAGGCATATTAATTTGTTCATAAATAAAATGGTTTAGTTATATCAAATTATATTCGAATTTGTCGCTTGATGTCCAGGGCTGAAAACCAGCACTTGTGCTGACGCTCGTACGACACCGTTAATAAAAACTTATATCAATCAATCAATCAATCAATCAATCAAAATGCTGTATTTAAACCGAAGTGCGTTTCGATGCACTATAGCTTTGAATTTGTACAATACAGATAAATTTATTTAGGTATGCTTTTGCTTAGTGACATCTAAAAGCTGAATGAAAGTTCTGGCACCAACCTGTTTTATGCACTATGCATTTATTTACACTACATGAATATCTGTAAAATGATAAGTTTTTCGGACATTTATTCCCTAATATGAACAGTGATAGTGTTTGCATATTAAATTCTGCTTCGCAATTTTGCTTCGCAAAAATTGGTGATGTGAGACTACGATGCTCTTACATGTGGCGGTAATATCACGAGTTGTGAAACGGAGTTTAGTACCTACATATTCAATTTGCACAGGTTGCCCCATAAATTTTCACGTATGCATGCACTCTGGAAGTCCTTATTTATTCAAGGTTATCATCTAGAATTATTTATTTTTCACATTTGCTACCCGATACCAAAAATGATTAAAATTGCTTAATATGTATGGCAGCTTATATAATTGGTACTAACTAAATAAGTATGTACGAATACCTCAACCACAAATATATATGCATAAAAGAAATAATCATATTTACTGGCTTTTAATTCAATTTTCCAGGCATAACATAAAATTATTTCACAATAAATCTACTATAAACTTTGAACTTCCCATCATATTTGATTGCAACATAATTTAATAATTGTGTATAAATTCTTACATATGTATATGTACGTGTACGTATGTGCCATTTGTTGTATACGTTGTGGCAGGTATTAATTATGTACACATTTGTTGCACATATATCACAAGATAACACGAGTACTCGTACCTGATCATGGTCAAGTTCGAAAATGATAAACATACATGACCATCCCCAACCTTGGTAGAAGTTTGACGTTAAAGTATTTCCTATGAGAACCGATCACACTTGATGAACAAATATTGATAAAGACGAAACATTGTAAGTTCTTTAGCGAAATATAAAATAATTATGAGGAGATGCCACATCCTGTGTGCTTTAGTATGAATCCAGTTAAAATGGGTATTTTGGAAATTTGATGATTTTTTTGTCAGGTACTACTCAACTTTTCTGACACGTAGTACATATTTATGAAGCAATATCTGCAAATTAACCCAGGTTTAGATCTCTTCAGGTCTTTAAGAGGATGCATATTTGCATTATTTCTTCGATATATCTACATAAGTAGGCATGAAAATCGTGAGAAAGTCGCCCTATCATAAATCACTTTGAGTTTGTCATGATGTTAATTAGTCTTGTAATAAGTGTTAAACTGGATATAGCTTGACGGAAAAATTTTGGAAAAATTATTAGAGTATGGATTTAAGCATGGATTTATCTTTTGGAGAGGTTCCTCCTTTAAAGTTAATTGCGGCAAGGAAATCTTACTCGGACGGTGCTCCTGTATTAAACGGAGTTAATCTCGGCGTGGATAAGGGAACGATGTGGGTTAAGTTAAATTTATGTACATACCAGTGGAAAATGTGCATATTTAGATTAGCTAAAAATGCTACAATGAATTTTATGTAAAACAGATATGCCTTACTTGGTCCGAGTGGATGTGGGTAAGAGTAAAACTTCAAAAAATTGTAACTCCTCTGAATGTAATGGCATGTTGATCTTCAATTAACTTATAACAAATATATTTAAATTTAGGAAAACGACTCTTCTATCCTGCATAGGTTATTTTTTAAACTTTTATTTATTGTTTTTCGGGGTTGACTTAAGATCAAAATTTAATTTCACAGTTGGACTCCAACACTTGAACTCTGGGAAGATTGAAATATTTGGTAGAGACATTTCTGATTATAGAAATGGCGTTGCGGGCAGTGTGATAGGATACATGCCACAGGTTTATAAATACCTATGTTATGCCTTAGCATTTTTACGACGTTACATTTACAAATGTTCATATCCAGGAAATCTCACTTTACGAGCTATTCACGCTCAAGGAAACATTTTTCTACTATGGCATGTTACACTCGATGTCAAAAATCTGTATAAATGATCAGTTGGAAAAGCTGCAAACCTTACTAGACTTGCCACATTTGAACAAATATATTAATGAAATCAGGTAATAATAATAGTTATCGTAAACAGGTGCTTATATTTATGTCCATTTATTTGTGGCCATTTATCAACATTACTTGTGTTTGATTTGGATTCAGTGGAGGAGAACGTCGCCGAGTTTCGCTGGGAGTCGCGTTATTACATAATCCCGAACTTTTAATCCTTGGTAGTAAAATTATTAAAACAATCAATGGCCTACATCAATTCAAAGATAACAAAATTATACATCTGCAGATGAACCAAGCGTAGGGATTGACCCGCTTTTAAGGCTAAAGTAATCACAACTAAATTTGAAGAATTTTGTCTGTAATGTCATCCAAAGGAGAATTTTTGGTCTGACTAACTTTATGCATTCGCATTTTCACCAGGATATGGGGATACCTCACAAGCTTGGTTAAAACTCAACAAACCACGATACTAATCACGACACATTACGTGGAAGAAACAAAGCAATGCGATAAAGTATTACAACATTGTACAATTGTTAAGAGCCAGATGGAAAATTAATTTCATGCAAACTATGCATAATTACAGATCGGTTATTTACGAGATGGAACAATTTTGATCGAAGATTCTCCAAGCAGATTATTAGAAGCGTATAAAGTTACATTACTGGATGATGCCATTCTTGCAGCGTGCAAAGCCAAACAGGAACCAGAAAATAGTTCTGAATTATTTATCTCCAAACCGAAAAGAACAAGTAGCCTCCAAAATAACGTCCAACTCACAGCATTTCGTAAATTAGAGAAATATTTGAAGGAGTCGAGTATCCATGAGGAAATTGTACTTGACAAGATGGCGGCTAATTATTTACCCGATATGAATCAAATTAATTGGGTTTCGCTTAGGAGGGAATTTAGCAGCCTGAAAGCACTTGCAAAGCGCAACTGGATAATCAACATACGATTTAAGACGTATGACATTTCATTATTCCTAATTACATATGTACATAGAGATTTGGCGGTTAATGATAATAACGAAAAAATGACAGGATGTGTGCAATCCAAATAATGACCACACTAATGGGCTGCTTCCTTGCCATTCACGGTATTGGACATGATCCTATCGGGCTTCAAATAGGTGTCGTGAATTATGACAGACCATGTCGAAATGATGTCGCATCCTTTTATGAAAAAATTCAAAATTTTCGAACTAAGTATAGATCTGGAAATAGTGATGGCACGGTCAATAATTTTGGCTGTCAGTTTTTACACATTTTAGTAGGTGACGGCACAATTGTGAACTCGGTATGCATGTTTACTCATATTATTCAAAATTAGGATAAATTACGCATATTTATTAATTTTGTGTGACCTACAGGTGCACAAGGATTCAGAACTTGAAGCTTTAAAATCTTTGAAAATGGGTCACATTCTTGGCTACATTGTGATTCCAAGGAATTACTCGGATTACTTGAGAGACCGAATCGTGTTTAATATTCATGCCGGTAATGAGACCCTGGATGGATCAACAATGTCTGTGCAGCTAGATAACTCAAGTGTGTTATGGGATTTGACATATGAAAATTTGTGTATACTTTGTTGAAAATTTATAATTTTATAATTTTTAGATTATCTCATCTCTTACTACGCTAGAGAATACATTGTATCAAGCATGTCACAATTATTTGAAAACCTTGCCGTCTGGTTTGGCGTGGATAAACGTGTGGTCAATCTTCCTTTAAAGGTATAAGAATAATATTGTTGGCAAATCTGTAAATAATTTTATGTTCTAAATTATTCTACTTTCTAGTTCAACCCAATCCATGGATCTTTGACAGATACTTGGAATCATTATCTAGCACCGGTGTATCTCTTAATGTAAGTAAATGCATAGTTACATAAATATTTTTTTCCAAATTTTTAAGGATCTCGACACCTAACTATTGTAGGGTTTGGGGAATCAATTCGACAATGTCCTCCTTATTTCACAGTCTCGATAAGACTCAAAGTAGTCTTTCCAGAACGCTGGCGACGGGTGTGAGATATCACACGGTCTTATTCTCCTATTACATCGCTGACCTTTCGATAATGCTACCGCAAGCTGTGGTAATTTTCACGCATCTCTGGTGGTATCGAGGCGATGTAATCGTTGGAAGCTGGATTTCTATTTTCGTCATTTTCTACGTCCTCCGTGTAAACATCATAGCTTTGACGACCTTAGTTTCAGAATGTTGCAGAACTATCATAAATTCCATTTTCGTCCAAGTATCGATAGTGATGCTTGGCATATATGCGTCAGGTAATTAAATCTGATCAACTTTTTTTAGTTCTGGAATATTTATAGTGTGGTTACTATCCACTTTTCTCTTTCAGACACATTTTGGCCAATAGAAAGTGTGGCGTGGTGGTACAAACCATTCTGCTATTGTCTGCCCCCGACGAATCCGAACGGAGCGTTGCGCAGCATTATGACGAGAGGCTGGGGGGTGACAAATCCGAAAGTGTTTTACTATGGGATTTTCATCCCTCTGCTGGTATCCGTAATTGCGTTTTTTATAACTGTTCGAGTTGCAATGAGAAGGAAATTGTAATTTTGCGTGAAGAAATCTGTAAATCCACTGTCTTATAAATATGTTTGAATGGGATGATCCCACTAAGCATTAAGCAGATAGAGAGCAATAATTTTAAATCGAATAAAATTTCGAAATAAAGATTTTAGTAAATATTACTCCCGAATGCAATTATATTCATCTGTAAAACTTTCAGAAAATTTGGTTATATATAGGGACACAAATATATAGCTCAAAATACTCATAATTAAAATTTGATGTCAGACTCAAAATATTTATTCACTTTTCTTAAAATTCTTTACATAAAAACGCTAAATTTTTATTTAGCGTCCTTCCGTGTAATAAAATCATTTTACATACATTTATTTCGAAAAAGCTAAACGACCAGCGCCGTACATTTGTGTCCCTATCTGAATATTTAAAAAATTCTTCTGATTGTTGTCGTCCTAAGGCTAAATTTTAGTTTCTACATATGCAACTACTATTAATAATTAATTAACAATTATTGTTCGGTCAATTTAAAATAAGTTAGATCATCAAAACCAAGTCGCTTAATATACGGATCTCGTCTTATCTTAAAGTTAACAATGCTCGCATAATTCCACGCGTTACCCCTTTGATGAAAAACAAAAGTGACAAATTATTAATCTTGAAACGACTTTGATCCCCAATTTTAAGAGCTTTACACGATCTTGCAAAAAGCTTAATGTACAAAATATCTTCTTTGCACCCCTCAAAGTGTTTCCAAGATTTTATAGTTCTTGTGCACTGAGTGAAATAAAATCCCCCAAAGATTAAAACTATTGCCCAAAATATAACAGTAACAAATGCCAAGAAAGCAAGTACGCTAATAAAAGTAACATTCAAAACGGTCCAGTATCGTGTAGCAACGTAGCTTGTAAATATAGCGATCAGCATAAATACGGTGTGAAACGGCAGTATTAACGGTCCATAATTTTCCACCGCCATCGCATGAATTATCTCAATAGATCGGTACTCGTGGGTCAAATTAATCTTAGACCGAAGTTCAGCGGCAGTGCGATATGAGGGTAAATTAAGTCTCAAATCCTTCCAAAGTATTGGCGTCAAGAAAAATATGTAGGTTAGAACGATTTGGAAATGAAGGATATACACTGTGACAATTCCAATGCACGCGAATAGATACAAAATTATTATTGGGAGTAGGATGACGAGTTGCAGAACTTGATGTGTATTGAGCCATTGTTCTGAAAATAGCGACGTCACGTACATTTTGGACATCGGTTGAAAAAACAAATGGCATGGCGCAAAAAAAACGCACATAAATGAAATAGGTACAAATGTGACTAATATCTTGTCCAGTAGCTGACTCGTTTTTCGAGTGTATACGTCCAATTGAGGTAACATCCAGTTATCTGCATACATAAAAATGTTACAAATCTGGAATAATCTCAACTATTACGAGTCGTCATACCATAATATGATTTCAAGTAGAGAATCAAACCATTTACTGCAATTACGACATCTTCCGGCGACATAATTAATAACCAAATTGACAAAGCTGAAAGAAGTTGAAAGCTAAAAGCCAATAAAAGCTGTCCTACATCCAACATGGTCCCCAGATGATAACTGTACGCCGCTTGAACTGCTGTAAATAAAATGTGTTCAATGATTACGGAGTAAACAGCGTAACACTTCCAGTGCAAGTGTTTATTTGTTGAGACAAACAATCTCCCATTGACGGGATCCCATTTAATTGGGGTCACTCCAAATATATTCGATAAATATAGCAGTGATCTTAGAACACTGAAATAAACTTCGGAAAATACATTATTTTGATGAGCTGTGTCTTTAACTTTTGCTCGTTTTCGATGTAACGATGCAATTGATTTGCAACTGCAATTGATTTGCAATTGCGATTTTGCATTGAGCAAAAGGAGAAATGTATCTTTAATTTTCATTCTGAAAATTGTTCCTATTTAGTGGCTACGTTTGAAGCTGTTCTGGACAATAGAACCTGGCTGTCTAGAAATTGGTCACCTTTTATAACAAAATAGTGGTGCTGTTTAATACGAAATCACTTTGACATTAGCGGTAGTAAAGGGTAGCAATTATGTGAATTACACTCGATTCCGGATTAGAATCCGGTCAAAATTCTCCATGGATGATTAGATTACTTTTCACAAACAAATTACGGCCTAAATGCACGATCATTTTGGATTATATGTAGGTATCAATTATTATCGAGATTATTTATTTATCGGTTTTTTTCAAAGAAATTTTAACAGAGAAATGACCGCGCCATTACTACAATTGACTTCCATATTTTGTTTGCTGAAAGAAAATAAATCCTAGTTTAATTGATTGGAGAGATAGTCTGTCCACTCACAGTTCCGCTTTAAACTGGTAATCGATTATAATTACGTCTTCAGTTTAAATTAAATTTTCCGTACTTTTGAGTACCAATTCTTTCGGTTGAATTTCCATTTGCAGAAAGAAAGTCACTGAAAGAACACTTCTACTTAATCACGAATCACAATTTTTTAAACGCACAACCAAACTTTATCGTCCATTTAGAAGTCACTTACAAAATAGGTTAGATGCATGTATAGATTACAGAATATTATGCATATTCCACCCCTTATCCTAAGTTGGAAATGTAATGATTTTTAATATTTGGTCAGACACGTAAGCATATGTACATATGTATATGCAGACATGTAGACATAATTTAACTAATTTTTAATTTATACAAGCTCAAATTGCACATTTCTGACTAATAACTATGAAGTTGCAAATGAGTATATAATTTCTGCTTCGGTTAAAATGTTACATATGTTATGACATAACATATTTAAGTTCAATAAAGGTAGACAATACTTGCAATCGATTCAATTTCAGTTTGGTCCATCATTATTTGCTATACTGCCAAACCTAAAACAAAGGTTTAGAAAAATCCGGTGAACCCTTCGCCCCACTTTCAGCTTATTGCTTAAAAGTACATTTAAGCCATATTTATGTAAAGAGTTAGTTAAATGTACAACTTTATACTTATCGAAATGTGGAAGCTAATTTATTTTTTATAAATGTATAATTATGGTAGGGTTGATGGTCCATTATTTTGCTACCTTAAATCCATGAAACTGAACAGGATGTAAGTAAGGAGTGCAAATGTCAATTGGGACACTAAAAACCCCAAACACATGCAATTTTAAAAAATACTGAACGATTATGCCAGCTAGTTTATTTATTATTAACAATTCGGAACAGACAACTCCTCTTAATCATCAGACCAGATCATAAATACCTGTTTATTTCACGTACTTATTAATTTCCCGTGATCTGATCGTGACGAAGCACAAAAGTATGCATGCTAATAGCCATACAAGGCTTAGGATAGCAGGCATACTAATAGCTTAGGCTTATCCTTACAATGCGATGGTGTGAAGTGTAACCCTCCGATTAGGCTTAAATTTTAAAATTAGGTGGTCCAAGCCAATACAACTAACGTTTCTTCAGGCAGTTTGTGCGATGGTGAGAGTTACTCAAAATATTTGAGGTCAAAGTTCAAAAAACGGCCAACTTTTTTCAGGCGGAGTGAGAAAACTCCACTTCCAGTCTCTTCCCCTCGCTTTGATTTTCACTCCGAAAAATAATTCATTTCAACAATTTTAAATTTAATTTTTTTTGTAGAAAAATATTAATTATTCATTGTACATGTGACCGTATGATTATTTTCATAAAAGTCCACGAAACAATACGATAAACTGCACCAGCTGAATTTGATGAATGTGGGATTGCCACAATTCAGGTCGCAACTAATATTTTTTTTTCTCTAAGACATACGTCGTTTACATTTTTAAACTCGGGCTTTTCTTCATCACCTCATAATCCGCTCGAGTACCAACAATATCGAATCATTGGAACAAACACAGGAGCACTTAAAATATAAATTAATTGGATATTAGAACCAACGCGTTCGAAATGGAAAGCAAGTTAAGTTTTTCCATGTTTATTTACCGTTGGCGAATTTATAAATTAACTTTTATGTAAATTTGTACTAGAAATAAGTAAAAATCGCACTTATTTAAGCATGAAGGCGTATGCGTGAGCGAGACACCTGCAAATCAAAGCGAGGGGAAGAGACTGGAAGTGGAGTTTTCTCACTCCGCCTGAAAAAAGTCGGCCGTTTTTTGAACTTTGACCTCAAATATATTGAGTAACTCTCACCATCGCACAAACTGCCTGAAGAAACGTTAGTTGTATTGGCTTGGACCACCTAATTTTAAAATTTAAGCCAAATCGGAGGGTTACACTTCACACCATCGCATTGTTAGTCTGGTATCGAGTAATTGCTTGCACAGCCTTGCCACTTGCTCATGTATTACGTAAAGTACTTAACTTTTTACATAATAACGTAAAGTTATGCTTTTGATTCTCTTCTGTGTCTCATTTCTTTATCCAGTAAAGTGACACTCTTAAACTATTTTCCTTTACTCTTTATACGGTATTATAATAAGAAAAATAGACAAATGAGTTATCCCTCAAATCTCCGCAAGAACGCATTTTCGTTTAATATGCTCGTAATCTCAGCATGATTCCGCTTTCATCCCAATTTTCCCTTTTGTCGAATCTCTCCAATGTTGTTTATCAATTTTGTTGTCTTCTGGTCACACAAAGTTAGACTCAGCACGAGACCGCAAAATATTATCTCGTTTGTATAGTCTTGTAATATATGAACCTGTTGAACCTGGTTGAGGCATGATTTATAAGCCTCATCTTAGCCTCAACTCTACAAGAATAAATCAGATTATCGGTTTTTTCTTAGATGAGGCTAGATGAAATCATTTAAGTATGCAGTCGTCCAGGTTTTTAGGTAAAAGGTAATCATGGGTCATGCATCCCTAATTGAACGTCCAGAATGAATTATTCGAATCAGTATTTGGCTTGGCCCTTGATGTAGAAGGCTTCGAGAGGAATGTGCGCGAGTTAAAAGTTGATGCTTATTTAGTTTTAAGTAAAATTAAGAATTTAGACCGGCAGAATCCATGAAGGAATGAGAAAGTTTTTTTAAGTTATGGTGAAAGTTCACCACACTCACCAACTTCCAACATGATAAGATCAACCAAACTGTCTGTGTCCCTGTTCAAACCTCCTCGCTTAGAATTTGTTTTTTATAACTCAACATCTCTGCTTAGAGCATCCAGAGCAGAGCAGCTGACGTGTTCTCCTTCGCTCTCTTCTCTTTATTTTTTTTGTTTACATAAAATTTGAAAGTTTTTCGCCACTCCCAACACTACAAAGTGTAGTAACCCCTCCCTATCTGGCCAAAGTGGATAGTGGTAGATGAGATTTTGGATCCTGACCGTGGGTGACCGTTTTTCTTGGGGATTTCTTTCTCTGCGTTTTTTACATTAATCGGACTTCACCTTGGCTGGCGTAATTGACTTTCCCAAATGCAGCTCTCATGTTCCTGCATCATTTGGACTCGGAGGAGATGAACCCTACATGATGCGCTCTGGGGGTGCTCCTCTTTTTTGCACTGAATAGTGCCAAACGTGGCAAGTTTTATTTTTAGTCCATGAAATTTAGAGACGTTTTAGAGTTATCCTAATTCTGTTTTTTAAGAAAAATTGTTTTGCTATTTATGTGCCTTGCTGATCTGTGAACCCGTTATCAATTCATCATCTAATGGAAATGGCGATCCCACCTATGTCCGTCGACGACTTTATTCGTCAAGCCGAGCCCGAGACAAACGTAATAATTCTGGACGGGAAATTAGATCAGCACAAATACCGGACCGTCTATTTTAAGTTGGATTACATAGTTTGGGATGACGATGAATCACTCGGTCCAGTCTGCTATCTTTGTGAAGAAATCATTGAGGACATCACGGATTCGCTTACTAATAAAGGAATAACGTACTCTATTGTCCTCAAGGATCATTTTAACTTGGACGACCCGAATAAATGTGCCCTTCAATGCGTACATTGTTTAAATTATTTTCACAAAAATAAGTGTAACATTTCTATTTCCAATCAATCATATCTCAATATTCTACTTTCTAAAAATTGGACTTGTCCGAAATGTGTGCCTTCATTTGTAATTGCTAGAAAAGATGATGCTGTAACTATAAATTATGACAAGCTATTATTGAAATTAGTAAGAATATTGAACCATTTATGTTATCAAGATACCTTTAGCATGGATATAACCACCTTTCTTATGGAAATTCAAGTTTCATTTAACAGACTTTTTGATAACTTCGGTATTGGATAATTTTTAATTTATTGATTGACTCGTTTTATCGTTTTTGATTTGGAATGTAATGGATTTTAACTGTTGGTTTTATGAGATGGTTACTTTATACCTGATCTATGATGTGTTTTGTGTGTTTTTATATATTTGGTTACATATTTGTTTATTTTTTATGCGTCATTTGTGGAAGAGTATGGTTTTGTGTAGACAGAGTTTTTATTTTGTAATGTGTTATAACTTGTATACCAGTCTTACCAGACTGAATGTGACTAACACTTGAATAAAGGTAAATTGATTGACTGCTATTATCTCATTTTTCAAGTTTTGCTCATTTATTCGTCTCACCACACCTGCTGTTATTGAACGAACAATTAGATTTGGAGTGCAGGCGCAAAATGCGCAACAGCCAATAACAGATACACATATTAAATAGAAAATAATGAGCGTATTTGTACAACGCGTTTATTGGAATTATATAGAAACTTATGGTAAATATAATTTGTTTTGGTTTGAAATTGATTTGGTGGATTCAAGAGAAAATATGATAAAGATGTATGAAAGAACTTTTGAGTGAATTGCCTATATGTTATTAGATTGGTCCAGTATAGAAATTAAATCATTTTATTTACGTGCACTTATTTTTTCTGCTGATATGTACGAACTTTGTATTTATGTACATATATGCATATCAGCTTTTAGTTAGGGAATGCAATTCTTTAGTTAGTGCAAATAAGTATATTTTAACTCAAAATCACAGAGCGGTACATATATAAAATGCTCAAAATTGATGACCATCTCCGTAGTCTGGAAGAATTTCGTAGTGCATGAAATATGTATGAATGGGTGTTTTTCTTTTGTCTCTATCTACGTCACGTGTAAGTACATGTATACGGTACTATTTAATCAAGAAAGTGCTCTGCGAAAAGCCAAATACGTCTAGCTTTCACCAAGGATATATAAACTATTATTATAACTCTGACAATGCTCGTCCCTGTTAGTAGGTAGGCCAATAACTCGCATCGTCAAAAAATCCTCTTGCGTTTTTTCGCACTGGCTGCCATAATTGTAATTATGTATTGTCTGCATAAATATATGCGAATTTTTCTCGGTGACCATAGAGGACGAATTTTCAGGTTGAAAAATATCCAAACCGAACCGAATGATTAGGTTCGGATGGATACTTTATCCGAATGCCGGATAATGACTCTACCGGAATTGTCACAGCTACCGTGGATCGACTTTGACCATGTGCTACACATTTTGTGAGATAAGAGTGAGTGAAAGCATCTTTCAGCTTGCTCATTATAACTGCACGCTTAATAAAAAAACATATGTCCTGTTGTTTGTCCAGAGAAACCATACACCTACTCTGGTCTGGTCAGTTAATGATAATGTCATCCTCAGATTGATTGATCGATCTCTCCAAAAACTTGATCTAGTTGCTACTGGTCACTTCCTAGTTTAGTCTCAGCGATGGAGGTTCAAAATTTTGATGCAATTTCTCAAAGTCAGAGTCAATTTTCAAATATACATTTCGAAAATTTCCCAAAAGGCTATTCTGCAGAATCAGTGGATGAACTGATTTGCAAATTATTTGACCCATTACTACGAGTTGGTTATTATTTACTGTTGATACCATTCCGGCTTAAGGAGAGGAATGGGATTTACCACATTCATACCAATTCAGTGCAGAGGGTGAGTTGTTTTGCAAAATCATTGGTAACCATGGTAAAGAAATATTTCTGAAATTATTGGCTAATGTTTCACTAGATTATGAGCACCCTTGTCTTCACCCTAGTATTTTTATCTGGGGTGTCGGATTTACGTCATCATTTTGAAAAGGGACTGATGCCACATCCCGAGAAAGCATTTGTTTGGAGCTACTCACTAATTCTAGAAATAGGATATACTCCAATTTGGTTTAAGACTTTTTGGGGAGGAAAAAAATATTTTGAGAAATTAATCAGGAAACAAAAAATTAATGTAAATCAAGTAGAATCTAAATCACTGGTGAGATTATATTTTACACAATTTCTATCCATGTAAAAGTATGTAAGTGTATTTCCATCTTTAAATTTTTCTACATTTAGTGTCCCAAAATTATAATGGGGGTCGTAATCTACACAGAAATGAAATTACTACTTGAGCAAATTTATAGCGACATAGTTGTCAAAGGATGGGTTGGGATGTTACAATATTACGGTGGAATTGGACTGTATAACATTCACTTTCGAGACGACGAACAATTGGAAGAAGAGGAACTATTTTCACATTGGAGTATTTTCATTTTCTCAATTGGTAGCACGCTGCTAATGAACTTGTTGCGACAAGTTGAACATTTAGTCGAAGTTATGGCTATCGTTGGAGCAGTGGCGATGTATTGGACAAGTTGTAATTTTATTAAGTGTTTGAATCGATATGATTCATTTACTGGGAATAATAATTATTATTATTCTGATGAGGTATGGAAATTCTTATGCAGTTGAGTGCTAATAAGGAAATACATTCGATTATTATGTATTTTTCCAGATAATAAGAACGTACTTGAGTTTTGTTGAAATGATGTCTACCATAAATTTTATTTGTGGATGCATCGTACTCATTTACATGTTGGGAATGGTTCCCACATTCGTTTGGTGTGTGTTTGGAATTTTTGAACTAAATTCATTTGAATATTTACTGTATTACGTGCATAAATTTATCATGCACTCGAGTTTGCTGATTATTGCGGCGGAGGCCAATGCAGAGGTACTTACATCAATATTTGCTAAATATTTTGAGAAAATAAAGGGTGAATGATTAATAGGCTAGTAAATTTACTGAATGGATTATGAGATTCGTCACTGGTCGTCATAGAAGAAATGATAACGAAAGCATTGCGGAGTTGGATCAAGATAGAAGAAAAGATGATGAATTTTCAACATTTCTCAATTTTTCACATAGAGAAATGTGTACAAATCCTGTTGGATTGAAGGGTGCTGACTTCTTTACTATTTCGTACGGATTTATTGGAACGGTAATTGAACAGTATTATTTATTTATTTATTTAGAAATTTAATGGAGTAACATTTGGTAATAATTTAACCGCAGACCGTGAGTGTCATCGTGACATATGCCGTTATCATGTTACAATTTCAAGTTGAAAAATATCAAAAATTAAATAAACTTAATTCAACAATGGGATGCAATTGTTCCGAGTGAAAATATGAAGCAAAATAAAGAACAAGATTGTCTTAAATGAGAAAGTTTAATTGTACGCGAAAAAAGTAATTTAATAACACCAATGCTAATCACTAAATGCACAAAAATTGTCCAATTACACAAGCCTATTGCATATTCTGTTACATAACCATGTACGCAACTACCCAAGGCAGGGCAACTACTGGATAAATACATTTGCCCATTCTCCATCAGAGTTCGGAAAAACTCCGGAACCTTTCTAGAAAAATTCAACCCCAGAGGTTTTTGCTGGGTTTTTAGGGTTTTTGTAGGGTCGGTATTTATGTGGGGTTTAAAGCACTCAAAGCTATGAAAATTTTGGTATATAGATAGTACATTCTATTTCTGAAATAAGCATATTTTCAAGGATGCCCCTGTGTTATCATGGTGGCATACCTGAAAATTCATATGTCAAAATGTTCAGAAACCAGAGGAGATTACTAAAACTTATAAACTTATAAACTAAATAAACTTTACATAATATAAAACCGAAACATTGAGGAATAAGTGTACATACATACCTAAGTTTCAATTCAAACTAAATACCAATATGCAAGTAACTAACTAACTATATATGTAAATTCCCAAATTATGTCAACCAAATTTTTATCAAGTATGTAAAATGTTTACAAACTGTTGTATTGCTAATGTTTCTATTGATCGATGAGAACTCGACGTGAATACCCCCATTATTTAACAGAATCTTTTCAGATGTTACCTCTTAATTGCGCAAGCTAAAAATTGTATAATCCAGTCTAGCCTTTCTTATTTTCCAGAGATATGAAGTGGATATTATGAAGGATGTTTAAGTTAGAAGGGGGAAATTTTAGGCGTTGTATCATCTTATGATACAACGCAAAAATTTATCGAAATTATATAAACGACTTATGTAAATACGATGAACTGAATCGTACTTAACTAGCCGTTTAGAATTACGTTTAGAATCCCATGCTTCTGATGTACATATTTCATATTACATAAGAAATATGCATATCCACATACATGCGAGGAGTGAAAAACTTGTTTTGACCATGCACTTAGTCTATGGATTTCATTTATTTGGGTTAATCTACGAAGTAACTTGCTAGATGCTATAGGGGTTTAATCAAACAATAGCCTTGTTTCCCTGCAGATAAATTGCACTTGCATAATTTCTCCCACAGACCTCCCAAAGTACCTATTGCGGTGGAAATTTTGTTGCAAAACGAGGCCTGGTTTTAGCCTATCTCGTCTCATCCCACAAGGAAATACGATATAAAATTATCACGATATTATCCCTTTGGTTTAGTAGCACTTGCATTTTCCAGCAGACCAACAATGCCGATTCAACACCCCACTCGTTCAATTTTGCGGTCCATCTTGGACTTCGTTATGCTAATTGTTGTTTTAATTTTCACCGGACCGTTTGTTAAAATATTTGATTATTTCAGCATGAGTAGTCGAAATTGTTTTACAACTCACAAAAGACATGCCAAAAAGGTTGCAAACGTCCAAGCCCAAGTTCGACGATGGATTCAGGGTGGGAGAAAAGGTCAAATGTGCTCGGCGAGACCAGGGTGGAAGAGCTTCTCGATCCATAAAGTTGACAAACGAGGCTTCTACCAAGTGGAGGTGGATTTAAATGACATCATTGAAATCGACGTGGTAAAAAAGGTGAGAAAAGGCTTTAAGGGTTTCCTTATCTAGTTAGCAGAGAAGCAAATCCTTTTTGGTTTTATATGCTCAGAGGTTAACCATTGAGCCTGGAATGATGATGGGACAACTAACCAAAATACTTACTGATAAGGGATTTACCATTCCGGTGGTTCCAGAATTGGATACTTTAACAGTCGGTAAGACGCTATCTCATAGTTTTATGGGTGGCCTCATTTATTTATGCAAGTCATTGGCAATTTTTCAGGTGGACTAATATGTGGGGGAGGTATTGAGACGAGTAGTCATCACCATGGATTATTTTCAGATGTTGTGACCTCTTTCGAGTTGGTTACGGCTGATGGCGACGTTCTGAATTGTTCAGAGGTTATAAATCCTCAAATTTATTCGAGAGGAATACGTTCCAAATTTTAACGATTCGAAAAAAATTATACCTATAAACTTCAATTTCAGACTGAAAACTCGGATTATTTCTACGCTGTCCCTGGTTCTTCAGGGACGGTTGGGTTTCTCACTTCCGCCACGATACCTCTCATCCCTGCTGGAAAGTAAGTCTGTAAACACATTCGAGAAAACCCGTCTATCGTCTATTATCACTAATTTCATCCAAACCCATATTCCCAGGTACATGCAAATCGAGTACGTCCATGTCGATTCGATCCCCAACGCCGTGAAGCTAATGCAGCAAAGGAATAAGAACCACGCGTACGTGGAAGGCATTATTTACTCGATGACCGACGTAATGCTCATGTTTGGCGACATGACCTCCAATCCGTCCGACCCTTCTCGCATAAATTATATTAATCGATGGTACAAACCGTTTTTTCACAATATCGTGGAAAATGTGATGAACAATATAAAATCGTCCAAAAATAATGCCAAATACATTGAATACTTTCCTCTCCGTGACTATTTTCATCGACATTCGCGAGGAATGTTTTGGCAAGCGGAGAATACATTGCCTGCGTTGAGTAACCCACTAATTTTGCTTCTCTTTGGGTGGTTGCACCCCCTAAATACGCATGCCGTTTGGAGACTGCTTCCAAAATTTGTGATCAGATTTATTACTGGTGATCAACTCCTTCAAGATTTTTGTGTCCCAACTGTAAAATTGGACGAATTTCTGCAAAAATGTGACACGATTTTCAAGGTTGCTTAAGAATTATTAATTAGCCAGTACTATTTACTAAAAAATTACACTGACCCAGGTTTACCCGATTTGGCTTTGTCCCGTGAAAATGCAAAACAAATCAATGGCAAAGACGCCAGAGATTTACGGTGGGGATTACATGGATCTTGGATTTTATGGACCTCCTATCAACTCAGAGCACAGCATTTCTGATAGAATTCGCGAATGTGAACAGTACATGTTAAAAAATAATGGGTAACATTTCCCCACAAACTAATGATGAAATTGCAATTTTTTCAAAATAGTTAAAAAAATTTATTATTATTAAGATTCCTTGGAATATATGCGGAAATATTTTTGACCAAAGGAGAATTGCGCCAAATCCATTGTACAGCTGCGTACGATAAAGTTCGTAATTCATCGAGCAGTTGCAGGCAAGGTTTTCCAGATGTTTTCGACAAGATTACGAGACGAATTAAATAGTTTTTTGAAGCAATTCATGCTAATTCATATGTACATCATGTGAAAAATAAAACCATCTTTGCCCAAATAAATTTTTTTAATGTGAAGTCCCGGATTTCATCAAGTTTAATATTTGTCATACTCGTACATGTACATACATATGCACCCATATCTTTGTAGATAATTAGGTAAATATAGTTCATTTTGTTGCGTTAAAGACGTTAAAGGTGTATATAATTTGCAAGAAATTGTAAAAAAAAGTGAGATTGTCCTTGCATGCATGTCTTGCCAAAGTCATGTCTGTACTCCAGTCAGTAATGAATGTATGTAAATATGTAAGTGAACGATTGTCAAGTTAAAAATCTTAAGGCGATGATGAATGTACATGTGCATGTACCAAAACAGTCTCAACTTAGAAGTATGTAACAATCGCAAATAAAGCTTACAAGAAATCGTTAGCAAATTGCACGAGTAATTTATAAATTATTCATAAATACGTTAGTGCACGTGTACGCGTACTGTAGTTATTATAATTTTCATGGCCCTTCTCCTGCAAAACTACACAAATTCTTTAAAACGGATGCAGTAATAATCAATATAAACTTTGAGTACATTAAACCTTAGGATTATGTAGTTCTAAGCTACACGTAAACATATGTATATTACTTATGTAAAAAATAGTATCAAGTGTTCAGAAAATCAAATCGTCATGTTAATTTTTTTTACTTTGAACTTCATGAGACAAGTATATCCATACATGATGTGTAATTATATGCCCAAATACATATATTGTAGAATACCTTCATTTCATCTGGTAGAAAGTCAAGCAGAAATACTCCTTGATTTAGAGCTATGTAATTTATATATTTTTCCGGATAAATTAAACAGGAAATTGAATATATTTAGTTTCGATTTCGTCATTTCGACTAGGGATTCCAATCCCGGACGATTTTTTAAATCCCGGGAATCGGGAATCCCGGTTTTCGCCGTGACAAATCCCGGGATTTTTTCCCGAAATTCAAATATTACCGGATAACTTAGTCAAATTATGGTGCACATGGCTCTAAAAGTACCGAGCCTGAGCATATTTATAATACTTACATTACATATTACATAATATTTACATATCTACTGATGTGTGTTTTCCAAATATGTGCATTCATAAGTATTATTATAAAGTATGCTATTTTCTGGCATACACATGATAGTAACACAAATTAGCGAGCATATTGTTTTGCCTGCTATGATAAATGCAAAATTTCGATGTATTGTGGTAGCTCAATTTTCGTCATCTATCTTGGAGAGGTGATGAGAAAAAGTTTGATAATTTCATTCCAGAAAACATAAATAATTAATCAAGTGTTCGCCACCATGTTAACCAGAAATGCACAAACTTAAGTTTAGCAGTATTATTTGGCCTAAATCGCGAACAATTATTCAAAAACTACAATTGGACATGGAATTTGGCAATTCAAAAATTTCAAGCTCAAATATACGAACTACCTCGTTCAGTCAAAAAGCTTTTCATTCAGCCTTAAATTCATCGACTAAAATTTGGAATCACTTGTAACGTTTTAGTGTTTTTGGGCATACGTGATTTCGGATTCCATAATTATGCCGAAAATACGGCGTTCTTTTTGCTTCAATTTAATATCTGACATCTAAATTAGAAAATTTTAAGTTCCATGTTGTATTAAAAATTGTATTTGTGAATTAAATACAAAATTTGGATGAATATTCGAAAAATACGGCTACCAATATTGTTTAGAATGTAAATTTTCGACTTTAGGATCAATTTTGACTGGTTATGCTCTTCAAAGCTTTTTCTTACCAATCATATAACCGAAAATTATATAGAACTGCTATTAAAATAGTAAATTACAAGTAATTTCACTTCTGAATGACAAATTGAAAAATCCCGAAATTCCGGGATTTCAGTCATTCAAATCCCGGGAATTCCCGGGAATTAAATCCCGAAAAATCCCGGGACTGGAACCCCTAATTTCGACAAATATCTATCTACATTTGCATAATTTAAGATGTATTTCCATTCCTATTCGTACTGATGTGCGTTTTGTGAAGTTTTCCATATACTGATTCAACTTTAGGTTTTGCTTATGCAGGGAAGGGGAACTACTTATTTATTTAAAGACTTTTATGATATCTTACACAATGTACTTATCTATCCAATAAATTTTGAGTTCCTTTGCAATATTGATTCATTTCGATTGGGACGACAAGGTTAAAGTTTGTTTCAAACGGGTCACAGAAAGTGGTCAATCAGTTACTACTACGTCCAAAAACTCCTGGAAAATCATCATGGTGGTTACTCCGTTAATGTGGAAATCTTTAGACCAACTCGAAAAATTGTTTAGTTACATGTGGACAAATCCCATCGAGTGGAATTCTAAAAATGGCAGAATGGAATACACTAACAGCTACGTTCAACTTGTCCCTTGGCTGGGATCTATTACCTGCACTTTCACAATTGTCATAATTCCTTCGTTCATCATCACGTGTTCCGAGTTTTATGGTGTTGTGGACATACCATTATCCGAATTAATACTAACTTTGGCCCTCCTCCTGTTATTCATCTTAGGTTGTATCTTGGAAATTATTTTACTCCTGTTTTGTGAAAGAATAACTTGCTCGGCTAACTGTCTAACATATTTGGAAAGAGAACTGAGATTAAGTAAGTTGCATATTTATGTATGTATCGAATAGATATGCCCGTCTGCCTTTTTTGCACTATGATAACTGGCGTAAAACGGTAGGATAGGACGGACCCCATGCCGTATTGGCCCCATGCCAAACATCAGAGTTGACCGGTGAGGGTCATTTAAATATTCAGTCGATCATCAAATTTGGTGAATTGATGCGAAACTTGACATCAAGGGAAAAGTGGGCTCATATCATATCTAAGGAGTACTAAAGAGTTTCATGAAAACTGAAAGAAGAAAAAGAAAGTACAAGAAAAATTATTTTAAATACGGTAGAATGGCCAATGGGCCTCACCGGTTTTATTTAGGATTTAAGAGTAACTGGCTCGAGGTTATTTTAATTTTTTCGTGTAGATTTTACTCCTCACTCATTATGAATTAATATTCGTGGACTCACATATTACTATATTTTCAGAATCCTACTTCAGTGGTCACCGTGACTTCCTTGGCATCACATTAAACGCATGTGTTACTGCACTTGCAATCTACCCAATCACATCAATATTCTTCATTTATGAAGGATTGGATCCTTTGTACTTGCTGGCAAAATATATGATTTTTTCCTCTAGGTCAAATTCACAATTTGTAATTATTGTCACGCTTTTTCGACTCCTCATAATTATTTCGTTCATTCAAATATGTCGCTTGTTCGCGTTAATATTTTGCGCAATCACCGTTTTGTGTCATGTTGTCCTCAGCTGCATTAATTGGATGACACGCACCTCCCGTAAGCTAATTTTTGGGCGCGATTCAGCAAGGAGAATTTTACTGGGTCACGACAAGTTACAAATAATAATACAAAACGTACAGACTGAAATTAGTAGTTTGCAAGCAGTGGTATTGCTTACTGGACTCGTGCTCAGCATTTGTTTTAATTTTGTGACGATTAAAATGTACCACGTGATACCGATGCCGTTGTATTTGTTCTTCCCCGCGGTGGGGATCACAATTCCAATTATCATTCAAATAATGCTCCCCATGCTGATTGACGTGTACGAGGAGGGAGTGGTGCTTGACTGGAGGTGGAGATGTACCCTTTTGGCAACGAAGGATAGAAAACATTTAAAGAAGAAATTGAAAGGGATTAAAATTCTAAGATTATATGCCGGATTGAACGATCATCTGTTTTTCTTTACGAAAATGTCCACAAAGTCGATGTATTATTATACAATTTTGAGCTATACGATTTCATCATTGTTGTCCATGCAGGTTGGCGTTGGTTACTTTAACTGACGCCAAACTATGGGGAAATAGTCACCTTTGTAAGTGTTTTTAGTTTATTATTTGAAATGTGATTTACTTATTCCGTAAGGATACCATTTGATAATTCCATGCTCTTTGGTTTTACTTATGATAAATCAATAAACTTATGATAAATAAATGTATTTGCTTATGTACGCATGCACTAAATTTCTTGGTCAAATGTTCTTAATCATCATTACGTCGTGCATCCAGTGTTGCTCATTTCTAGCTCCACAATATGTGCATGTGAGTTATACAAACACAAATATCCGGTCCTAAGTTTAGTCAATTGTAAAAACAAGTAACAAGTAAAAATATGTGCTTACGAGTTGATGACTTTTCCAGTAGAAGGATTAAATAAAAACTGTATGAGCATAAGTACATACATACGTTACAGGGAACTCCTGTAATTTGCGAAATATGTGCTATGTTACTTTTATTTGCATCCGACATCACTACACTCATGTGACTTATGCATAAATTCATAATATTAAAGACTTGACATACTTGACATAATTTGTTTGCCGAATCTCAATTTCGGTAAGCACACCAAAATGGATTCCTAGGCTCAGTTATCTTTCCACTTCCTTTGTTGTGAAGCCGATAAGAAAATACTAATATTGACCCAATAAACAGTATACCCGCTACTGCTGCACAAACGACAATAATTCTGTCTACAGGAAGTGATGACTGGTGCACAAGTGGGTCGACATCATACTCATCCTCGGCGTCTGCAGGCAGCGGGGGGCACACATCGGTTACTTGTGAATTTCTTAAGTCTACCCCAGTAATATTTTCTATAGGATCTCCCACCCTTTGTTGAACCATTTTAAAGTAGAAGTCATTAAATGTGACAAAAGCCTGGATTTCCTAAATGTGGAAAAAATATTTTTTTGAAATTCATATTTATGCATTGAGGATAATTATGATAACGTACAGATGAAGATGGACTATTGCCGCTCCAGGTCGTTTCCGCACAAAGACTACTATTGCCGATGTGAGCGGGTATTAAACTGTATGTGGAAGCGTCTCGCTTCAATTGCTTTGAAACAAAATGTGTAATTTGAATTTTTAAATTTATTATTAAAATTGTAAAATGTGTGTGAAAACTATGTATGCATTTCTACTCACCGTTACCACTAAACTGTAAACGTCTTCGGGAAACGCTCCCTCAATGCCGACACCGTAAAGCAAGTATTCCTCACTTTCCGGATCAAATGCAAATTTAATTCGAATGGTTTTTTGTGAATCTAAAATATCACGAATTTCTCGTGGTATTTGGAATGCAACTTCGAGAATGTAAATTCCTCCGTCTCCCCAAAGCTTGATCGGCTCCTCAATAGTGTCACGTTTCTCTCGGGATGAAGTGTCAGAGTTGGCAGCGGTCATGGGACAATTAGAAAATTGCTGATTTTCTTCGTGTGCAAATGTTTGGATGAACTCGACGGGTTGAACATTTTTTGTTTTAACCGAGATAATTATTTTACAAGAAATTGTGATGGAGAGGCAACTGGAATTGTCCCATTGCTGGGTTGGTCTTTGGATTTGCACATCTGGTTCAGTTAAGGTCTCGTCGTTAATATTTTCGTCTGAAGCGAAAAATTTATCAAATGGATCTTGAAATTCGGTCGTGTCGATTACTGAATTTTCAATGCAAGGCAAACTAACTGAACTAAGAAATAGAAATATGGCAAATGCAGGATGAAAAATATTCATTTTTTGTAAAAAAAAACGTGAGAAACTGGAGTTGAACTTTATGTATGAGAGTTTTTGAGGAAGTGAAAGCTTGATGTGGTCAGAAGTTTAAATGAAATGAAATTGAAAGTGGGGCAGTGGAGATGTTCCTTATTTAAGTACATATTTTAGTGTTTACATGAATAACAAAATTGTACTCATACGAAGGGATCTGAGCTCGTTTGTTTTGTTAACATACTCCTTATCGGGATTCACCTGGATTCTGGTTTGTGACATGATACCTCAATGACGGATCACGAATCGGTCAGTCACACCATACATACATATTTGCATTCTACAACGGTTGCAATTTAACCCAAATACGAAGAATTTATTTTTGTTGGCCATTCAACTCACGCACATGGAACGCGTGTATGAATCATATCCTGCATTTTCGCAGGATTTTTTTAAATGTTCCTGAGTAACTGGAAGAATACTGATAAATTGATGTTTTTCAACATGTTTATTTACTACAAATTTACTTCAAGTATTTAACAAATATAAAAACAGGTAATAAAAACAATTTGTAATTTAATTACGAGATTTACAGGAATTAAAACAGGTGCATTTTGTACAGAGTTAAACGAACAATGTAATGGTTATGATTTAACAGCATTTTGCTTGTAACTCTTTCTTATCGAATAATGCTGCATGGTTGTTGAATGTAGTTGAGGCAATAACCACGATTTCCAGTATCACCTGTCTCATTTCCATCGGTGTGGTAGTGGATTCGAAACGGTTTTACGTAACCTGTAAAAAATGAAACACATAACCGTTAGCCTAATTAAGATAGATATGAATTCATATCTACAGAAACACCTGTTTGAGACGTCTTTGGAAATATTGCAAAATATATAAATTGTACTAAATACCCAAATTAGCTTATAATTTACAAAATTAGTAGACGCGTAGTGTAACCGTCCAACCAAAAGTGTTATTCAACCTAATGACACATTAGAAATTAGAAACTCACTGTAAACTGGACTTGGGTTTGTGCTGGTCTCGGAATTGAAAACATCGCCACAAATTCTGTCCTGACAGACGGCCCCACCCGACTGCTGAGTCCGACCAGAGTTTGTTGCGCATGGAATGGTAATCCTGGAATAAACACATAAAGATGCTAATTTTTTGCCAAGGAGAGACACAATTACAATTTGGCAATAGTATAGTTTTATACGGAAAGCATTTCAGGTGGTTGGATGATAATGGATATTGTTTTATTGAAGTACAGCATATTTTCTACTCACCAATCAGTCGGACACTGGTTTGCCCCCGTGACCGAACCAGTTTGACCTTGTCCCGTTAGGAAGAACGCCCTCGACCTTTGAGTCGTCGTTGGCTGTATGTTGCTGAATTGAACTGAAAATAATTATAAGTAGTTTTATGATTAATTTGAGCTACATGTAATTCATGCATAGATTTACAAGTAATTTTCCTCACCATTATCATTGCAAGCAGTGTACCGAATCCCGCAGAAGTTTCGTTCAACACGGACACATGAAGTGTAATCCTGATTGGAGAGCTGTTGGCCTGACGTGAAGTCGAAATTGTAAGAACGAATGACTCCACTGACTCCCCGGTAGTATTGCAGACACCCTTCCGGAGCTAAAAATATTTCAAATTCTCAGTAAACTGGTTTTATGTAGTAGATAGATTTTAAGTTAAATTTGACACCTTTTCCCAAATCTCTGCATTTAATCTGAGTAATTTTTATTTTCCAAGATCTAGAATATGTGGGTCCACTGGTCACCATGCTTATCGTAACGGGGCTGTTGTCCACGCCCACGTCGATGTACACTGTACATAACGAAGATTATGGTAGTAATATGTTTTGCATGCTTAAAATATGTTTGTCCTACTGTGATTTCCAGTATTCACGCCGCAAATGATTGGAACGGCTGTCGAAGCACCGGAAACAATGAACTGATCGTTGTTGCATATTCCGTTAATTGACGGTTGGGCAAGCACGAAAGAGTCAAAGTCGAGTCTGGAAATTGTATGCTTTTTGTCATTAAATTTGTTCTAGCATGGTTCCGTCTTGGAATTATGTATGTACCTTAATTGACACACATCTGGGGAACACTTGTACACCGTAAGTTGACAACTGCCAGTTCCATCGAAAGAACCACCCGGGTTAGTGAGTCCATTATGGGTGAAATAAGTACCATTTTGGTTGGTTGAGGCTCCACAGGTTTTCGAGACTGAAATTTGAAATTTCACAATAATACGAAATATCGTCGGAGAAATGACAAGTTGTCATAAATTATTTAACAGTGGTTACATCAAGAAAATTCAGTATAATTAGCAAAGACTATCGATAAGATTACGTGCATAAATTGCACAACAACTACATAAGTGCATATATAATTTATTGCGTCAAGTGTTTTCCTACGTAAAATACGCTTTATATAAAATGCATGCATACATTAGTATGGCTGTACTCATACCATACGACTTTTATCTTGTTGACAAAAACTAAGCTCATCACACGATGGAAATAACTTTTTTAATCGACTTAGCAGTAAGTACATGCGACAAAAAATTTAATCTTGGGATGATTATTATCTGACATAAGTAAAAATGTGAGTTTTGACATTTACACATGTCAGGAGGAAAATCCATTGAACGTCAATCATTTTGCAGTGCACTTCACACTGCACTCGTCACGTCTCATTACCAACAATTGGGAATTTAGTATAGATAATCATTATGTATCACTTACACACACAGCATGCACCGTACCCTTTCGCACACCTGTGTATATAAATCATGTCAAGAAAAATGCACTAAAATTTGCTCCAACAAAAATTTGCGATGAAAATGGCAAACCTTCCATTTACAGCGCCACCCCGTCGGTAACACTCCGCTTGTGGAAAGCACGTCCCATTGTCCCCACTGGTCGAGAGACACTCCGAGTTGTCGAATTTTACCAGCGTGAAGAGCGACAAAACTGTAAAAAGTTAAATATGCATATAATTCCTCTTTTAGCTTTCTTCTTGGCTGAAATTTCCCTACATCTCGAGTCCCGCTCGGAAACTCCCTTCCCGTTATTGGTACTGGTACTCCGATTTTGATAAGACGGCAGCTTATCGGGAAGGAATGAGACGTACGAATTTGAACTATGTCCCTGTTTTGAGCTGCCATGGTAACTACTTCTTCTCACATTATCCGGTTTATTTGTCGAACTGGATCCCCACCAACTACTAAAAAATGGGATTTGTCGTTTCCATCTGCTAACACTGCTTCTGAAACTGTCGACCCCATCAATTTTTAAAGTCAGATGCACCGCGATGATAAAATAGACCAGGATCAGTCCGACAACAAGAGGTTTGGATGTCATGATGATGAACAAATAACACTAACGATCGCTTTGGCGACACTTAAAGACACTGAATGTACCGACGAGAGCTCATGACATCAACTAAAGGGAAACCGACAACTTAATTGAATTTTATTAAAAAACAATCATCACAAAAGTTAGAAACTGTGACTTATGCAATATTTCATTGTCGTAAATTGTATATGAAATGAGATGTTAGTTTACTACGTACTTGTCGGATGCGAATGCTCATCGGTCATCCTCGTAAATAAATATGTATGTATTGTTGGAGAAAGTCCATTTCGACAATAAAGGAATGAGGCTTCGGAATAATATGACTTGATCACTCAGTGTGACAACAATTAGCAGTCATAAGTTTCATATCAGGGATGCATTTAGTCAACCTTTGATGACACGCATTTTCGCTCAAGCAGCGTGACCACGTAGGTACATATGTACTAACGTAAGTGCAATGACGAGATCAGACTACTGTCTCATTCTACGGTACTGGCGGTGTTTATGTTCCGCCGTGTTACTTGGTACGCAAGTCATGACATGAAAAATATTTGTAGTAATGAAATTATTTTTTATTAGCTAAATTGGACTACGAGTTCATACACCTTGTCATCATCCTGGCGTGACTTTGCTCAAATAATGGAGTCGTTGGGTTAGAAATTTGTCGCAGTTTGTGCAAAATGAAGATAACAATAATGAAAAGTGATGGAAAGTGTGAGTGAGAAACAAAGAATATGAAAGTCATCATAAAAGTGAACTTTGTATTGACTCAGATAATGAATAGGTACACATGCATACTTTGGATATGCAGACATTTTACTGGTGGCTGATTGATAATCCAGTCTGTTCTTGATAATGATATATGTACACTTTAACTGTGTAATCAGATTACATACGCAGATATGCTACTAAATGCTTGTTGGATTGAGATGGAATTATCACCGGATAATGTTGCTCGTCACATCAATTACACAAACACAATCATTAATCACTCACACTTGGAATGAATTTAATTTATTTTGCGTGATGCGGAACGAATGCCCGATATGGAATGTTCCTTGAACTACAAATAATCAAAACCAAGGTTAGTGTGAAAAGTCATGATTTTCATGCGATTTAAGGAGAAAAACGTGCCAAGATGATAATAAAGTGGTAATTTAATTTAATAGCAAGTTGTCGTCACTGGGTTAATTTTTTAGTGGTTTGGCACCTTTATTGACGATTGAATGTGAATTTGGTGCATTGTTTAGCCTAACTCCGATTTTTCGATGAACTGGTTTATGAGGAATGTGCAACACAGAAATATTTATGTACACATACATATTTTTTCTAAAGGATTGGAAATATCCACAATCCAAGTAATTAATAGTAACACTGTTATGCAATACCAGAATGAGGTGTTTATTACACGATCATCGCTTATAAATCGTACCTGTCAAGATTATTATGTAAAGCTGAGATAATCATGAGTGCACGTATGTCAAAGTCAGGGTTAATAGATAACAACAAATCTAAATACCTATGTCCAGTTGGATAAGGCATCATCTCCACACTCATTCCCTCAAATGTTATACGGATTGGATTGCAATAATCCTCGCAAAAAAACAGGACAAAATATTACACATTTCCATACAAATAGTTCTAGTAAAATTAATTACTGCGGGAAAACTACATATAAAATTATCCCAATGGGTATCAAGCTCTAAAAAAAGTCGACTTTAATACCATCCTCAAGAATGAAATGTAATTGTGTCCGAGCCCTAGTTTCCCTCGTTTGTATCCATCTGTGTGCGATCTCTGGTGCGAGACACGTCGACTTTGAGCCGAGTAATAAAGCTAAGAATTTGGAAGAACATTTACAAGTGGGAGATTGGTTATCGTTATCGACTGGCCTAATTTCCCAGTACGGACTCGATTATCGGAACACTTTACGAGAATGTGAAAGGTACAAGGAACCCGGACACGAGGATGAATTAGATGCATTAGTTGAGCAAAGAACGGCGTATCTCCTCACGGCGCCTACGTTGACGCAAAGCCCCCCAGAATTGAGTGAGAGTGATAATGACGTCACGGAAGAATGCAGTATGCTCTACGGCACCCGTGACGTCGAGGAGGACAAAGCCACAAGTGGTGAAAGTGAGGATAGTCGCATAATTAACGACGGATTTGCCCCCGTTGGCTGCTATTTTGACCAAATAACAAAGCGCAGACTAATCTGCAATGATTACCAGATGCGAGAAATCCCTCGACTTCCGACCGCCTTGGATCGACTATACTTGACCGGGACGAAAATCAGTGGGGTTAGTAGGGCAGATTTTGGCGATATTTCTATCGGAAATATTCAGGTAATTAATTTATCGTAAATCGGCTCGTTTTCACTGTTTAAATTAAATTAAGTACTAAATTATTTTATAAAATCAATTTATTTCAATGTTCAGATGGTTCAAAATGGAATTTCGGACCTGGCTCCGGGGGCTTTTTCTAATGTTAAAAATATCTTCACGCTTGAAATTATGGATAGTTTGTTGACCCATTTGTCATTTGATATTTGCATTGGACTCACTGAGCTGATATCACTCCACCTGGATGGGAACAGGATATCGTTAAAATCGTATGAGAATTGTCCGATCAAAACTGACGTTGCCGACATACCCACTGCGCTCCCCAGTTTGAAATTCTTAAGTTTGAAGAGAAATCCACTTCAAATTATTCCAGAGCAATTGTGGGCTAGTCTTCGTGAGACTAATTTGACCATGCTGGACATGAGCTATTGTGTTTTGGAATCTATTCATCCAGGTATTACAGCTAAATAATATGCTATTTTTAGAGGCAAAAATATATCGTAAGAAGATTCGCAAAATATGACTTCGCAAATCTCGCCAATCTCGTAAATCTACTAAAAACACCTATTTTGTTTCCATCGATTTCTGTAATTTCTCTTACTGGCAATGGTGAGGATGAAATATTCTTGCGAAATATGAACATGAAAAATTCCTGGGCAAATTTTCGAACAAAAATCCCACGGTTTTCCAGAGAAAGTTATGCGAAATCTCGCAAATTTCGCAATTTATTTTGCAATGCTTATGTGGGAGATACATATGCGAAGGTTAACGTGAGTTGTAAAAATGTCAAAAGTCGATGGGACAAGTGAAAATTTGAAAATTCGTTCTTTTATTTTTGCCTTATGTTTGCAGAATCTTTCAAGTTCCTGAAGTCTCTGAAAACGCTTTATTTAAACGGAAATCCAAGACTCATGCCAAAACTGGCCAGCGCTTTCAAAGGATTACGAACCACGCCATTGGCGGTTCTACAGCTACGCGACAACTCTCTGCATAGATTTCCCACAGACGCGATATCAAATGTTGCCGAGAACTTGGAAACTTTGGACCTATCCTCGAACCCGATCTCATACTTGAGCAATTCCGATTTGCCCCCAAACCTGACAAAATTAAAAATCCTTACTCTCAGCAACTGTAACATGATCGATATTCAAGATGGCGCGCTGGATTTGATGCCAAATTTGGTACAACTTTGGTTGAACGGCAATTTCCTTACTAAAGTGCCGCAAATGACTAACCTAACGAAACTTACGCATCTGTACTTAAACGACAACACTCTTCTGCCCAATGCGAAAGAAGACGAGAATGGAGGTGTCCAGAGAAGGTTTATTATTACGGACACTGATTTTGCTAATCTGCCCAGTTTGCGCGAACTATACTTGTCAAACACAAAGGTGAAGAAATTTTCAAAACATGCATTTTCCAAACTCGTCAAATTAGATACTTTATCAATGCACAACACAGAACTGGAGGGAATTGAAGATCAAAGTAAGTCAAAATTTTACAAAATTTACTCAAAATAAACTCTCAATTCTTCTCGTCCGAATAAATTTTAATTGTTTAATTGAAATTTGTACAGCTTTCACTGGCTTAGAATCCTTAAAGTGGCTTGGTCTGAATAACAATCCGCAACTTACATCGATTTCCCCTTTGACCTCGTTCACATTTTACGGCTTGCATAACTTACAGTATTTATACATGGCCAACTGCAGAATAAATTTCAGAAAATTACCAACCGATTATGAGCCGCCGACTGAGCAAAGTTGGAAGCCAGACGAAGTCCGACCCTTCCTGTACCTTCTGGACCTTCGGAAATTGATTCTCTCCAATAACAGCATTGTTTACATTTATCCACAACTATTTGAGACCAATTTGAACATCACAGAACTTCATTTGGATGGAAATGATCTCCAGTCCTGGATCAAACCAATTCTTCCAACGAACTATGCTAAAAACAGGGCGCTTAATGCTGGTGAAAATCTCACTGCTGGACTATTCGAGACAAAATTTGTTATTTCCTTTAATAAATTTATCTTCATTACGGAAGCCATGTTGGAAGGTTGGTAACATTGGGTGGAAATTGGTACAGAATTTTTTAGTAAAACGTAACGTCTTAAATTCCAGACATCATCAGTTTCCAACCTCACCAAGTGGACTTGTCCAGCAACGTCTTCATGTGCGACAAGCAGGCTTGTAAGGCTCGAGACTTAATCATCGATGATGACAATGACGCTGAAATATTTGCATATCGCGTTACCTGGGTAAAAATGGAGTCGTACAGGTGCCTTAACCCCACTTCTGACGACCTTGTCCCCCTCGTTAATGTTACGGATGAGACGTGTATCTCATTCGGGAAAAACGTCCAACCAGTTGACGAGCCTCCACCTGGTGAAAGTTCGCACAACTGGACGACAATCACAATAGTGAGCACGGTATCGTTCGCATGTGTGATAGCAATTGTCGCGGTGGGTTACAAGCAGCGCGACCAAATCCGATACCTCCTTTTCCGAGCGCAGCTTAACATTTCGGTCCCACGAAAGGCGAAAACATCGCTTGGAGACTTAATCCAATATGATTATGACATATTTATCTCATATCATAACGAAGATCGTAGTTTTATTCAGGATAAATTTCTCCCGGAAGTGGAAGACCCTTCGTTTCGGAGGGTTGGTACGGATTCTGATGGGATAAAATCGCCTGGATTTAGGGTATGTTTGCACGAGCGAGATTTCGAAGCAGGGATGCCAATAACGGAAAATATTTTGGATGCGGTCGACCGTTCCAAGAAAGTTGTGATAGTGGTATCCAAGAAATACTTGGAGTCACAGTGGTGCACTTTTGAAATGAATTTGGCATACCATCGTCTCGTTGAGTCGAGGAGAAAGTCATTTGTTGTCATTATATTAGAAGTGATACCACCAAATTTGCGTACAAAAGTCTTAAATTATTTGATGAGGACAAAGACATATTTAGAATGGCCTGGAGTGAATGGATCACAGCAAGACTTGCAGAGATTTTGGACCAGGTTGAGAACTAGTTTTTTGGCGACGGAGTAAATTTTGATGTGGGAGGTGGTTAAATAATTTTGTACTGAATGGGGATAGATATTGGAATGACATAAATATGTATCAAAGATGCACGTAATTAGATATGTCTAATTTGCGAGGTGGAATGACCGATACTCTTAATACTGTTTGCATTTATGTAATTATGCATATGTATGTACATATTCGTATGCTCACTGTATATATCTACTTACTTAATTTAAGATTTATAAGATAATGAACTAGTAGTGTTACACAGGACAATGATTGCAATAAAATTGACTCGACAATCTCGTACTAAAAATACAGTTTTCAAACACAATTTTATAATTTAGTGTAATTTTACTAACTCAAAATTAGTTGTTGCTTTTCTCCCAAGAGCCGCAATTATCATGACATTCACATTATGGTTCTCTTAGATAAATCTGTTCCTACCTCATCAAAGTATTTAACAAAGACGTTACGGATTATTAATCTTTGCGAGGGAATATTGCATGCACTCACATGTTTCCTAATGTTGCGATTTCAAATTTTCATAGTAACAATTTCCTGTCCCAAGTTTGAAGTTTTGGTACGCACATTATTTAGAAAATGGGTTGGATCAAGCAAATTTTATAAGGAACAAGGATATTCTCGTGATCCTTTACCTTTAATTTCTTCATTGTTCAATTCATCATGATAATAATGTCCATCTAATCTACATACATAGATATTTATTCCACTATTTTTTTCTAATTCTATTCTTAACTATAGTTTTAATCAAGATTACACCATCTGCAAAAAATGCCACCAGAGATATCAATAATCCACATAACAAAATGTAAAACACGGTTTGCACACTATCCTGTAGAGCTACAGGTTTTATCCTGCTCGACGACTTTGGTTTATTTTGCAAAGTGTAGTTCAATCTGTTCTGATAATGCGATAAAGTGAAATGCTCCTCCGCTTTGTGGTATATTCCGGATGCCATAAATTGTTTCATTGCACTCGATGTTGATCTGGTGTCAGGAATTTCAAGGAAACTGGTCGACATAAATTCCCATGCTTCCTCTTTCTTTTTTATGATTTCCTTCCCCTCGGACCACGGCAGATTGTAATAGTGTTGTTTTAAATAATTAAGTTCATGTTTTATCACCCCAGTCGGTGCGACAAGGACGGTTTTTCGACATAATGTCAACTCTTTCTCGACAGCAGAATCGTGTGGCAATGAATTATTCGATAGGTTAAAATCTGGTGGTTTTATGAAATGCAATGGTTCTGAGAGCCGCTGCAATGTGGTATCTTCGGGCAAGTATATTCTGTAGTCTTCCCAATATTTTGCGAATTCCAGAGGTGATAGCCATCCTTGCATTGGTAATAATCCGTCAAACGCGAACCAATCCTCCCAGAAGAGACGTGGGAGCTCGTAAGCTTGCCAGACAAACATCCAAGGTTGTTTCCCAGGTCTGAAAAGGTCGTAGGCAGGCTTTAATTTTGAGAGAATGGTAAAGTCTTCCGACGTCCAGGATGAGTGGGGACGAATTGTGAAGTTTTCAGTACGTAAGTTAATTGTACCGTTGAAATATCTTAATAAATAAAAAAAGTAGAATGAATGTTAATTCTTTCAAATATTAAAAAAAATACGAACATGTGCATTTTCAGATTTTTTAAAAAACCAAAATGGTTAAAATTTACTACCCACCTTTTGGACACGTTATGGCACAATGGATCCATAAAATAGCACGAGTATCTCCGACTACTCAAATTTCTACAATAATCTGGCGTGTATCCAGGCAAGGGTGCAACCAACCCAGTAATTGCGAGACCTTTGTACGCATTAGGAATCAATAAAGTGAGTAAATTCCACCCACATATGACCCACATTAATTTGCTACTCCTTCGAAAAAGGGGATGGTCATTAACCGACTGTTCCAGAAGGGACGCCATAATCATGTAGTACGACGCAACGGGCGAAATTCTAGACCTGCTCGTCTTATCATGAGCGTCATAGGAAAATGGGGTCACAATCAGCAAAATACCAAACGTCAGGATTGAAATTAACAAAAAAATCCACAAACTTTTATCAAACGGGTCCAAATAGCTTTGGAACGATAGCCGTTTTTCAGCATAACACGTAATGAATTTGTGTCCCTCTACTTTCGTAAATACAACTTGGTCGACATAATTCGTGAGCATGAATCCAAAGAGAAGATGTGTTTCGTGAACGTTTCCCTCAATGAATATATTTGCAGGATATCCGGCATCACACTCATTCGAGGTGAACCTGCGCCCATTCAACTCCAAAGTGTCATTCGTCCTGGAGGTAATTTCTCGGAGAATATAGTATTTTAATTCGGGATCATTACTCACATCCCTTGTTCGAAGGTATGGATGGGTTTTTCTGGCATATCTCTCATATTTTAATTCACAACTTAAACAATTCGAAATCTCAACACGCCAGGTTTTAGGAAGCTGGTTAATTTTCGCGATATCTGAAATCATTTGATTTCTTGGCGTAGTGAGGTAGTTCCAATTTAAGGAAACTTCTGTAAACTTCCGGCAATAGTATGACAGATGTGTAAATGTTTGGGAACTTTCCAAGTATATAATTACGTGCATTCCGTTCTCATATGGATTAAGTGCGTCTCGAATAGGTACCTGTTTCCTGATCCATGTGATTAACACTTGTTGAGATGACTCGGGTAGACTTGGTACTTTGAACATGACGAAAGAATACCGCATGCAAAGCTTCTGACGCATGACTGGATCAGCGTACATAAATCCTTCCGGTATTGGGAATTTATAGTCAAGTATGAAGGTTTCACTCCTGACATGGATTGTCTGTAGGTATGTTAAGGGGTTTTTTTCTGTCGAGGTGCAACGATCATAGTCAGTGCACAGAGACACTTTTTCAGGTTGGAAGATAAAGAGGGTCACCATGCAGGGGGGAAGTTTAGTTTGCAGTATTGAAATTTTAAATTGGTCCTTTTTTACGGTTACAAAACCATTATAGTCCAAGTGTGCGGGAATGAGGCGAAGAGTTAGGACTCTGTTCAGGAATTCGTGCCGAGGAATTGAAGCACCTTGGTGGTAAACTATGTGGGTGTGACAATTGTCCCAGTAGGCGAAGCAGCTGGAAAATTTGACGAGAAATACAGAGACGAAGGGAACAAAAAGTTGATTGTGAGCCATACTGATTTGAGTTGTAATAATTATTAATTTAAACGTGGAGAGGTTGTTTTTTTATTTTCTTAGGAAATGCTAACGTGACTGTTTCAATAGAAGTTATGTTTAAATTTGTACCTGAGAATTGTCAGGCAAACCTTGAAATGTAAATATGCGTGAGGCAGGGAAGAAGAGCAGGAAGAGGTATTTTACAAGTAATCAGTATAATGTGAAGTTTTTATTACGAGTAAAAGCTAGACCAAGGTTTTGCATAACTATTTATAAGTACATATTTAATTAATTACACGCAACATATATACTCTCATGTCCATTACATTAATAAAGTAGGAACAAAATGTGTACCAACATGCACACAAGTAAATACATGCATATAAATATTTATTGTACATATGCATAATCCACGATAGGTTTTGAATGACTTCAGCATCTTGCATAGTATAATATCCGAAATTTGCAAAGGTAGTGACGTGGTGACCAAGTATGGAAGTAATTCTGTGCATACACAAATTATCGGAAAACTATGTCTTTGCATTACAAGAAGCAACCCCAACATGAAACACACGTAAAATTGTCTTCTTTGATTGCAAACACCCTAAAACATGATAAAATGTGTACAAATTATGAAAAATTTGTATTTCTATGCACATAAATATTTTACACGAACGTTTTATTATCACAAGAACGCACCAATATTTTATTGCAACAAAAACTTGTAGTTGAGCTCTATGTATATATGTGCATAATTGTTCTCACTTAATCAACAATAGAGAATAATTTAAAAGTAAATGCAATTTTCAGAATAAAGTAGGGAGATTCGCACGACTCGTCCGATACGAGCCACAAGTCTTTATTCCTTTCCTATTCTTACAGCGTGAAATATGTGATACCGTATCACTGATACGTAATTCGATGAACCTTTTTGAATGCAATTAGCTTTTATTTTAATCGTAAAATTTCTGATGATACTGTCAACATATTTTTAAGGAATTGCTGCTTTCTCAACGGATATGTTCACCTTGGTCTGTCTGAGATCAGCTATGTCAACCAGTCTAGGGCAGCGTCCTTACCATATCGCTAAGAAATTGTATAAAATTATCAATAACGTCACCTCGCATGGTCTTATCCTAGTAATAAAACTTACAAAAAGTCCCCAAACCGTTCCAAAATAGGATGAAATTGCTTGTGATAGAAGGACATCGACTTCTTCGATCAGAGTCTCATAGTCCACCTTGAACTTTGCACTGTACGCCATCCACTCCGTGTTGGACCAAAGGTTTCCATTTTCTTTAAAGTTTTCAGCCCAGAGGACGCAATTCTGAAAACTGAGTTGAGAATGGACATCGGACACAATCGCTCGTTTTCCGTCTACAGTTTCCGACACGGTGAATTGCATTGACATTTCGACATTGTAAAATGTATGGTTGTAGATTCCTTCGCCTTGGAAGTTATTGAGCGGACCGCCGATAAGGTACTGGGTTATGTTAAGGTTGTAAGATCCCGTTAAGGTTGCAATTGGAATAGCAAGACGTAAGTTGACGTTATAAGTGGTATTGTCAGCCTCGATGGTGAAAATGGATTGGTTGAGTCCATGAAGTTGTGGATTGCTGCATAAACATGGATTGGTATCAACTAGTCAGTAGGGAGTTTGCATGTATACTTCCGTAAATAATTTCCGTGACGTAGCAACGTGATTCCGTAGCTTTTCACGGAAATTTTTCACGTCTTCACGTTGCGGAGGGCGACAGTTTGCATAAAAACACGCAACGTGACCCGTAGTAAGACATCCGTAATTTTTCACGTATTTACGATGTTTTCTCTGTCGCTACGTTTAAAAATCAACGTGAAAAACTAATTTTCACGGACGTTCTACGGACTCAACCATTTCTACAAAATTGGTTCAAATAATAGCGTAAATACATATACAAAATAATTCCTTAACCTTAAACAAATATTTTAACAGCTTTCTTTCGAATGTTTTAATATGTTAGGAGCAATACTATCACAATTAAGAATAATAATTTGACTTTATCTCCTCACTATTTGCATAATTAGTTATTTATTGCTTGAATTTACTTACAATGAGGAGGTGTTACGTGTTTATTTCCGATTTTGACAGGAGTAATTTTAAATTGTCACGCTCAGAAATATGCCGACCCATATTTATGCGTTTTTTTAGAATGCGCATGTTTTCGCCCGTAGCGGAATTTAAAAAAATTGACGAAAATAAGAATTTGTCAAAACGCTGTCACTTTCGAATTTTAACCCGATTTCAAAAATTATACACAGTTTGTGCTCAGAATTAGTCTGAAATTATAAAAAAAAACCATTTAAAAAACTTATAATTTTCAAAAAATTAACGGTTTTGCGTTTTAAAAAAAACTTAGAAATAGCATGAAAATATTTAAAATTTTATAAAATGAATTTTTATAGTACTTCTTATTAAAAATTATGTTTGTTCAAATTCGAAAAGTGGCAGCGTTTTGAAAAATTCTGATTTTTTCAAATTCTGTAACTGGCGTAAACATTCGCATTTTGGAAAACCCCTGGATAAATTGGCGATAACCACCTCACACCTCCTCAGTGTTAGATTGACTAACAATGGAGGTCTCCTAACGCACCTATTCTTACAGATTTCTAACAAAGTATCAATCGATCAAAAATTTAACTAGTATGAAATTTGCAATATTTGCATCCGAAACGGACAAAACGGAGAGTAAAATCGGTGCATTTTGCAGATGAATTTATTAATATTAATTAAGATAAACTAATCCAAGGACTTTGGTTAACGATTTTATAATTGGCATTAATTAGTAATTAGAAAGATGTGGAAGAAGGACTGAAATTGTTGAAATTAATTAGTTAACTAATTTTCTAAATGCAACTCGGATTTGGTGAAATACAATCTTTAAAAAAAGCTTAAAAATGAAAAGTGTGGGGTGCAAAGTGTCTGGTGCAACCGCCCCCAGGTTGCTTATCTCCGTCAAGTTAATGCTGGGAAGGGTTTTGAAATTTAAACAAAAACTTTTGTTGATAATTCTAAAATAATTCACAACTAAAAATTGTAAAGTAAAAATTGGAAGAATAGAAAACATAATTACGTATTTATTTATTTGTGGAATTGCAAACTATAATTCCGTAACCGTGCAACGTATAAAAAAGATGCATTTTTACGTTACGGTTTACGACACGGACGTCAATTTGCAAACTGTCACAACGCAACGTCGACGTAGTTTCAAAATCTACGGTTCTACGTCACGTTCAGGGTCCACGGAAACATTCATGCAAACTCCCTAGTATTTATTTATAAATTGGCGAACTTACAACGTGTGTGATTCTCCACTGGTAAAGACCAAGAAATGGTCAAGCGTAAAGTTATCAAATGTCATCGGGTCGGAGAGAGGAGAATTAAGGTTATTCATGTTCATGTTAACGAATAGGAGTTCGACGACGATTTTGTTAACTACCTCGGACTTTTGTATCATGGCCCGGAGGAGGTGAAGAGCTGAGGTACATGCATATATGTATTTAATAGTTCAGAATTTAAGAAAGGAGGACGCACCCTTCTTATGAGAAAATCCCCCCCCGTGATATTTGCCCCAAATTTTGATATGTTGTACACCTCGAGGTGCTTATCAAAAAATGTATTGGTCCCTAAGCCCTTTGGAGGTCAGCTATTTGGGCAAGGTGACCGTTTATGGACCTTACGGACTTCCGCTGCACTCCGGTCAGCCGAGTGCATGGCAACAAGCTTAGTCGACTCTATGGCTGTTGTGTGTGCAACTGTGTTGCAACAGCAACACACATTTGCAACTTTTTGCTTGACCTCGAAAGGTCAAGACTTGACTTCGAAAGGTCAAGACTTGACCTTTGACCCTATTATGGTGTATATTCGGACTCATGAGGTCCGTAGCTTTCCAAAAATATACGGTTTGTGGGGTTTCGAGGGAAAAAGTGCACTGACCTTTGACCTCGGTTTCCAGTCGAACCAGGTCACTTAGGGCTTAGGGACCAATACATTTTTTGATAAGCACCTCAAGGTGTACAACATATCAAAATTTGGGGCAAATATCACGGGGGGGGATTTTCTCATAAGAAGGGTGCGTCCTCCTTAAAGAACAATTTAAAAGTTTAAAATTTGTCACAATTTGAGTTTCTTACCCACGTCTGGGTCAACTTGTGCGCTATAAGACGTAACAAGTACGAGACTTGCCACAGCAATCGTTATGAAATTGTAAGAAAATTTCATTTCAATTACGATTTTAAAATTATTTGTACTTGTGTCTCGGTTTCTAGTCAGAATCAATATTGGTAATTCGGATGGAAAGGCAAATAAGTTTATATGTGATTTCCTTATCTTGACCTGACATTATTATGTAGGAAATGTCTAAATTTGCGCTTTTGATGGTACAATCTGAACATTTATCTATGGGATGTCAAGTCACGTAGACCATGAATAATTGTACCACAAATAGATACAGATTAATTGTCAAAGTGTTGAAATCTACGAGTTATGAAGTAAAGCATCATCACTTGAGTCTTTGGGTTCAATTTAGTCCGTGAGAATTGAATGATGATGACGCTTTGGAATTGGAACTCGCATCGATCTATCGACCTCGGATCATTCGATAGGAGAGAGATATAGAATTAAGTTCAGTGAATTTTGTATCTCATCCTAGATCAGGTGAGTATTTACAGATTATGGCGTGGGGAATACGTCATAAATGGTGGAATTTTATTTAGAATGACGCTTACTTGATCCAGTGATTGTTGAACTTGTGGGACGCCACCAGACATACAGATTTAGCCACAGCTGCTGCCTATTTACAAAACCCAGGGTATGAAAATTTATAGTGAACGCAGTAATATACCTGTCAATTGCTTCATTTTAAAACTCTAATTACCGTTGCCCTCAAATACATACATATGTTTACGATCTAGACAAAATATTGTCTGTTTATATATACATATTATTATGGATGTTCATAAAGGACATTTAACCACAAATTCCCAATTTCCGATTTATGGATAATAGGTTAACAAGTACGTATGTACACCATACACTCCTTGAATATTGTTTAAATTCATTAGATATGTGCATATCATTGTTATATAGTACATGAAAGCGTTATCTACTTTTACTCATTTTACTTCATGCATGCAAACTGAATATATGCTTATAAATACTTCGTAACTTAACGCCATTGGTGATTATCTCCTAATCTAATTATTTCTATTAAATTGGGAGATATATGTATGTAAATATGCAGCTTCAAAACCTGTCACGTTTGGTTAATGTTTAAGAGCTTCGTTGTGCTGGCATCGTCCAATTCTGTTTATCATTTTCCGTTTTGTCGTGGAAAACCCTGCAGCCTTAATAACATTTCGACATGGTTAGTACATTAATGATTACACCGTACGATCTGCATACACTTATTCTAATCTTATCTACCTCATCATGTAAAGTTTCTTATTGCAAATCTCGTGGTGTGAGTGGAAAATCCGTACATTTCGGGCAATACAACATTCAAACAAATATATAAGACTGGTACGTTGATAAACGAAACGACGTATCACACATAAATACCCTTCACTTCACTCGAAATTGTCATTCGTACTATGCTTGTGGAACATTTTGAAAAAATCGTCCAACTTAATTTGCCAGGTAAGTGTCTGCATCATCATTCCTATAATTTTGTTAAATTTACAAATTTTTTCTTGCAGATACCATGTCCTTCAAAATAGTCGCTTTTCTCCTGTCAACGATCGCCATTGCAATCAGCACAATATGACGAAGTTTGCAGCAGCGCCGATCAATGCGAAAAATACACAAACACTTACGACCAAAGCGTAATTTGCATGCTCAGAATCCTTGGTAAAGACAATGAAACCGAACAAATTAATGCTGGGCTTTGCTCGGTAGTCAGCGTACCGACGGGTCGCTGTCAATGCGCCAGAAATTGTGGACCTGTAAATGGATATTTCGATTATGGTGAATTTGACGTGGCTGAACAACGCTGTCGTGGCTTCGCAGGGTCCCCTTGTTACGATAGGTGGGCCCTTAACGATTGCGTAGAAAATGCGTATTGTCCACAGAATGTGCGAAAGTGCACTTGTAATTTGGGATACGTCGAGTCGGAGGATGGCAAATACTATGTCCCATCGAATTAAGCATTGGAATGAATACCGATATGTATGTTTTTAAGCGATTTATGGAAAAATAAATATAATGCATTGTACGTTTTGAGATAATTTCTATTATTATCGCTTATATGTTTCTGGACATATTTATTTACTGAAAAATATCCATGCTGTTATGCGCTACTATATGCATGCTGAAAACTAAGGAAATAACGGTTTGGAACATTAGAACATTTTTATGAATCGCATTTTGTCTGTATTAAATAAATACATATACTCCTAGAGAGACTTACGGTGTGCAATAACTAGTTTAGTTTGTCTGCAATAATACGAGAAAATTGAAGCTTTCCCTTCCCTAAAATAAGTTTACCTTCCTCTTCCCAGTGTTAGCAGCGCTCTGAAAGTTCCTTTTACAATGCCTCTCAGAAACTTTAGCACGGTCATCCTCTTAATAACGAAGATGCCTTTCTCGCCAAAAGAAAAAGGACGGCAGCTCTTTCTAACTTTCGACATTAGTTTCTTCTCCTCTTTTCCCCTGTGCTCCAGAAATTTCCAAGAGTCCAAAGTTTTCTTTGATTCTGCATTGTACCGCCCACAAATCTCTAGGATCCAGGCCCAAATTATTTGAATCATAAGCGACCAGCTGCCAAGTGCTATCTGAAATATTAAATAATTTCATAAATTTTGGAGTTTGAAGTAGAATAATGGGTGATGTAATAAAGAAAGTTTGGACTGTAATTGAATTGAGAACTGATTTTGGAAAATTTGTCTCTAATTTTTACAAATATTATCTAATGTCCAAAATTTGTATAAATTCATATTATGAAACTCACACTTGTAAATTTGGGTATATGATTCCAATTTTTTATAACGACAAAGTTACAATACAAACCTGCAATGGGAGCATAATTTCAATACATATCGACATGATCATATTCAGTATTTAAAATGTAGGTGTGAAATTTTGTTTACAAAGCTGTGAAAATGCTCCGTGAAGCACGACGATTGCGACTCCCACAATTTTCGTCAATTCTTTCTGCATAAGTTGAAGACATCGTATTTCATGTGAGAGAAAGTCCACCCTTCGAAAATCGTTGCTACTTTTATACACGTATCGGTTATTCCTGTGCTTGCCAGGGCCACGCATTTCCAAGAGGAACATCCACGTCGTGACTAATCAGACAATTTACGCGAACTTAAATAATGATTACTAATTGATTACTAATTATCAAACTAGTAAAAAATATATAATCTTACAAATATACACGCTGCCAACTGCGAGTAAATTTAGAAGGCCGTAGAACCCCATTTGCCCTAATTATAAATAATTATAATTACCGCAAAAGTATAATTGATATAATGCAGCAATATAACCGCAAAATAATGTATAATTACCCCCTAAAGTGACTAACCACATATCTACGAGATAAATGGTCCAGTCCATCCCGATCTCAAGCCAAGTCCCATTTACTCTTTGCACATTTATGTAAATGAATCCCAACTCAGTTAAGCGACCATGCATAAAAATAGGCGTGGCTGGGAATAAAATGTAGAAAACCGTTGCCGACAGAGGTGCTAGTATTCCTAGAAAGAGAAGTTGGGAGCCAAGTTGAAAGGTCATAAATAGTGATAACGATTCTTTGCTCGGGTTCCATTTTGGAATCCAATTCCCTGTAAATGTAGATTAGTTAGGATTTTCTTAAATTAAAAACTAGCGAAAAATTTGAATTGAAGTAATAAGTACGTACTTTGAAATTGTCGAACGTAATTGAGAAACCAATTAAAAGCTGTGACAATATCGTCCTGTCTCAGATTAACAAGAATTAATCCTCCACACATAAGAATTTCTATGAAGGCGAAAGAGTATGCAATTAAGAAGTCCTTATTTGCATATCCTCCTTCATACTTCAACATATAAATGGATTTTGAAGTGCCGTGTAGGGCGAAAATGGTGCTTGTCCAGCACAACGTTAAGCATTTTTTTCGACTCTTATTAGTTATGTAGCAAATCCTCTTGTTCCTATCGAAATGGATGCTGGTCACTCCGACGTGCGTAAGCAGGAGGGATATGGCCCAGTAAATGTTGTAAAATGTTTTGGAATACATGGTGGATTTCTGAATTCCCTTATTTCAATCCTTTTTGCAAGATATCGGGTCAAGTTTCTGGAAGGTTTGTTCGCCATAAGAGACTAATGTCAACTAAGGTCATGACATATATTGTCAAAAATACTTGTATTACAAATTTTCCAATCCTGTTTATTTCCACAAGCGCATAAGTGGACAATTTTGTTGCTGGTTTGAAAAATAATTGAGCGATTTATAATTTTATGATTTATAATTTTATGCGAATTACTTTCAACAGAGTTGTCATTTGTGTTGTATGAGCTTAAACGTGCACAAGAAATTTAAAATGACACATGTAAATTGCATAATTGCCAAAATTAATTTGTCTGACATTTCTGGGAGATGAAATTTCAGGATGTCACTTACAATTTGTATTTATATTTTGGACGCAAACCAAAATATGAAACTCTAAAAGGATTTATCCGTGCTTTGAAGGACGTGTTCAGCATTTAAAATATTCCTCTGAAAAGGGATTTCTAAATTGCATCCATACATAATTATATTATTATAAATATTACAACTGTATTGCATGTACATATTTATTTATGATTTGTATTATTATGCAATAAATATTTGAATACTTGCTGGCCTCCAACTTTACTATTTTAAGAATATGTGCACATTTATTATATGTATGTATATATGCATAAATACCTAAACTACAGTGTAGTGTATTTTTACAAAGATATTTAAAATATTTAGAACTATAGCTTATATTTATCCGTAATTGGATATATGTATTTATGATTGGTTGTCGCATGCAGTTTTTCGGTGTTCTTATGATTGCATAATATTTTAGCTAATTACCTTATTTCAGCGAGTCAAAAATTCGCATAAATTATAGCGTTATTGATGTACTGAAGTGCTTTGATCATACCTAATTTATAAATTACAAATTCTATCGGCAAACACGAAACTTGGAATTGGGATTTGCTTATAAGCAAATCCCTCAATTATGTGCAAATATTGTAAAATTGTGCATGTAATTATTAGTCTGGAGAAAAACGTATGTATTTGCTCAAAACATTACAGAAAATTATAAGCATTTATCCATGTATCGCCAAGTCAATTCGTTAAATTGTTTCAATTTCTACCTCATAGAAATATATGTACATAGAAAGAACACCACATGCTTTCCGTTTCATGCAGGAAATGAAACGCCAAGTTTTTATCTTTCCGTCCGAATAGGCATTTAGATTTTTTAATGTCAAAAAATTACGGGTCTATGACGGGTGAAGGTTTTCGGAAACATTTGGCGCCATATTTACACACGCTCTAATAAACCGTTACAAACGAATTGTTAACAAGAGGTGAAACATGACACCGGTAAGGGAATGTTTTTTTCTCTTAGGTTCCATTATTTATTCAAATTTGAATGTCATTTAAAATCTTAGATTTAATTGTGTTGTCATATTCTACACACTAGATACTACATACATACATACTTACATACATCTGTACAAGGCTTGAAATTTATGCAAATGCTTTTTTTATCATTCCTAGCGATTTCAAAATGTTACATTTTATGTGTTATATTATATTACAATATTAATATTGTCATTTATGTAGGTAATGGGCATATGTATAGCACCGTGTAACGTCCTATGAAAAGGTTGAAGTACATAATTCGTTTTTTTATTGCTAGGAATTATTTTCCAGAGGGCAGTAAACCGATTAATCTGATACAGAGATTACTCTTCAATCCTTCAATATAACGATCAAAATCCCATAATCCTTTGCGCATTGGAAGGTTATCGTGTATCATTGGACAATAAAAAAAATTATTCTCGTTTTTTATTGTAACGAATACGTTTAAATATTTGCTAAATGTAAATAAATCGAGTTAAACAATAAAAACAAGCTCAACATAGGTGATCTAAATATTTAATCGTTATTTTTAATTATGACTCTATCTATAATTCCACAGAAGCTTATTTGTGTAAGGTTCGATGGCAGTGAACTAAAGTAAAGAGGATTACGGCAAACCTCCAGGTTTAATCCGAAGCTTTTTTACCATTCATTTGCCATCCGTCCCCCCGTAACATAGGTTGTGCATACGATGGGGCTGCTGCAAATTGTTCTCATCTCTCTCGCCACAGCCATGGTCGCTGGCTGGGGAAATTTCCAATCCTACAATTTGGAAGAACGCGACCTCGACTTTCGTGACGTCGATTTGAACAAACTCGTCTCAAAATTACCTTTAGAGCAGCAAAAAACTGTAAATGGTTCCATTCTCTACGACCCGAACTGGGAAAGTCTTGACGCTCGTCCGCTGCCATCTTGGTATGATGAAGCGAAAATTGGTATTTTCATCCATTGGGGAGTATTTTCCGTCCCGGCCGTGAGAACTGAGTGGTTCTGGAACGTTTGGAAACGTTAGTCGTATAATTACTATATTCTAAATTGAATTTCTTTAATGCTTGATTTTGATACACAAATTTGTAGGTGGAAACAGCAACGAGTGTGAAATGTACGTTTTGAACAACTTCAAACCAAACTTTACTTATCAAGAGTTTGCTCCTGATTTCACGGCAGAGTTTTACGATCCGTTTGCGTGGGCAAACTTATTCGCCAGGTCAGGAGCCAAGTACGTCGTGTTGACTTCAAAACACCAGTAAGCTCTTACAAATAATTTGTAATACACTATTTATAACCAAAGATCAGAGGAAGCATCTTCAAATTTGACATGCATTATAGTGAAGGTTACACCCTCTGGCCCTCGCGATACTCGTGGTCCTGGAATTCTATGGATGTTGGGTCCAAACGAGATTTATTGGGTAAAATAAATACCCATAAATCTAAAAATCTCCCAAGTATTATCTAATCTTTCTCCGTAATTCATTCTGTAGGGGATCTTGCCACTGCGATTAGGGAAAATACCACTCTAAAATTTGGCCTTTATCACTCCCTCTACGAATGGTATAATCCACAATGGATGCGCGATTTCGCTAACAATTTTACCACGACGGAGTTTGTAGATAACAAGATAACGCCATCGCTTTACGAATTGGTGAACACGTACGAACCCGAGATATTTTGGTCGGATGGAGAATGGGACGCTCCTTCGGAATATTGGCACGCACAAGAATTTTTAGCCTGGCTGTACAACACGTCCCCAGTAAAGGACACCGTCGTCACGAACGACCGGTGGGGTGGGGATACATTATGCAAGCATGGAGGCTACTACACGTGTGCGGACAGATATAATCCTGGAGTGCTGCAACCTCACAAGTGGGAAAATTGCATGACCCTTGATAAATCTTGGGGGTATAGAAAAAATGCCAATATTGAGGATTACATGACGCCGGAGAAGTTAATTCAAACGATTGTGGAAAGCGTGTCTTGTGGAGGAAACGTCTTGGTGAATGTCGGGCCGACGAAGGAGGGCATAATTTCTCCGGTGCAGCAGGAGCGTCTCCTCCAAATGGGGGAGTGGTTGGGAATTAATGGGGAAGCGATTTATGAGAGTGTGCCGTGGCTTTATCAAAACGATACTGTGACTCCGGATGTGTGGTATACGACGAATAAGAACGAAACCAAGGTTTACGCAGTTTTGATCAACTGGAGCCAGGAGGTTAATCTTGGTGCGGTTGAGATGCAGACCGTATCAGCCGTGAGGATGTTGGGAGCGGAGGGGATGTTGCTCTGGAGTGGGGCGGAGGTGGGGATTAATGTAATTCTACCTGCTCTTGATAAGGTTGATTCCAAGTGGGCGTGGACTCTGGTTATTGAAAAAGTGTAAAAAGAAATAATGAGGATCATGTTGTACATATTTATTACTAAATAAAAATATTTGGGGTTGAAATTAGTTTCCAACTGTAGAAATGATTAAATTATTTATCTATTTATTTATGTAATCGTTCTTATGCATTTATTTACATTTTATGTCGCTGGGAAGGAGTATGGTATATGCTTACGGATAATCATGAAAAATCCATGATACTAAGGCAGAATCCACAAAAATTCTCGTCACCCTACATAAATTACCGAAATAAGTATGAATAAATATATATATAGGTATATTTGCATATGTGCGTATTTGTCATCTGTGTACACTAACGGATCTTTAATATTGGTAAAAAGTAGGACCAAATACTTAGGATTAGCACACCTACATATATGTATATGTATAGCTACATACCTTACATGTAAGTTAGAGGTGAGCTGGATATCCATTTTTTTGGATAATGCATGGCCCGATCCAATCCAACTGGATTTGGATGGATTGGATCTGCAATTTTTTGGGCCAAATGGATTTGGATGGATTGGATCTGCAATTTTTTGGGCCAAATGGATTTGGATGGATTGGATCTGAAACTTTTTGGGCCAAATGGATTTGGATGGATTGGATCTGAACAATTTTGGGTGAATTGGATTTGGATGGATTGGATCTCAAAGTTTTTGGGTGAAATGGATTTGGATGAATAGGATCTGGGTGGATTGGATTTGGTCGAATTGGATAAATTTCGTCACCATAAAGAATATCAGGAAGTGTTCTTTTTAGCACTCCGATCTCATCCTAACAGTAACTGGGCCATACTTTTGTTGCATGGACACATATACAGTCCAATCAGATTTACCCCGGACACTAACCATGAGTTTATATATATAATTCTTTGGATAATCCATGCCCTGATCCGATCCAACTGGATTTGGATGAATTGGATCTGATATTTTTTGGGCCAAATGGATTTGGATGGATTGGATCTGAAATTTTTTGGGTCAAATGGATTTGGATGGATTGGATCTGAATTTTTTTGGGCCAAATGGATTTGGATGGATTGGATCCGAAATTTTTTGGGTGAAATGGATTTGGACGGATTGGATCTCAAAAAAATGACGATCCAGCTCACCTCTAATGTAAGTACTTACATGTGCATCCAGCATCTAAATCCATCCAGCTACATACATTTATTTATATTTGTATATTTGTGTTTTTCAGTTGTACGTCATGGTCAATCTTTCCTGCTCCATGCAAATTGGGTGCTGCTGTAATGACATAATGTTCTCTTCGTCTTTATCTTGACTACATACAGCTTAATCAAAACTACGCATAGATTCATACCTATTCATTATGTGAACTGTAATGAATAAACAAGTATTTATGTACGTATTTATCTAGCTTAACAAATGTTGCGTCACTCGTAAATACGTACATATAAATATGTAAATATATATGTGTGTTCCCATCATCAGCACTCTAACCTTAACTTATTTTATTGACCTTCCCCACGATGGTCACGTCACGTTCACAATTATTTATCCACATATATAACTTGATTTCCATGAACTTGATCGTGTGCTTCAATTTTTCCTGATTAAATATTGTCACAAAATCTTAACCCATTTGAAATGTACAAAATAGGATTCTCATTTTCAACCATAGCCCTTATAATAGTTATAATTTCAAACCATGAAACCAAAGCTACCACCTCTGCTAAAACTGCCGGATGGTTCACCACCGACAAAGAATGTGTTCGATCTTCAGTAAGTAATTCAACAATTTTTTTATATTGAACAGCAGCTAAATAATTGATTCCCTAATTTAGATGGATATCCAACGAAAAAATTTTGAATACATTTGGACGATAGAGAAATTCAACGAATATTTTGACATCGTTAAAAGATACCATGCAGAAAAAATCTTAACCCAACAGAGATCTTTATCTAGTGGAAATTCTGGAAATCTAAACATGTTAGTCGCAATAAATCAAAGAAATTTCCTAATCAAAATTTAATCTCTCTTTCCCTTTTTAATCTCAGCGAATCCACTCTTCAATTAATGGAATCAGGTGATCTGAAAGCAACTTTAACACTAAAACTGCCCTGGTCAATACCGAAGGATGTAGAAATTCGTGTAGAATTAACAATCTGTAGCAATTTGGGAAATCTCACGGTGGCAAAAGCACCCATGCTGAGGTCGTTGGGGAACGCTGCAAGTTCCATGTTGTCATTTACATGGGACAAGATTAATTCGGATGAAATTTACAGGGCTGATAGCCTTGGCGAAATTGACTTGGTGTATAATGTTGTGCAGTTTAATTATTCTCAGGGAGTGGAGAAGAGAGAATGCGTTAGTTTAGGGGGATTAACACATGGGGAAGAACCTCATTCTGCGTTTAGACATGGCTAGAGAACATTTACTTATTTATTAATGTTATTTACGTACAAAATAGCTAATCGAATTTTAACTTTAAATTAAATATATTGATGCATAAATAACTCGTAAATAGCATAAATGTTAGAAATGTACATAAATCCAGAGTTAAAAAGTCGTATGTTGTCCGACTTGTCCTTGATAATAAAATTACAAATGGATTTTTTTATTCATGATGACATTGGCGTGTCGATACATACCGACACATCATAAAGCTTCCCTATTTTTGCATTATATCCCCACCCCATTCTATTTCATGTTTAAACCTAAATCACCTTCAAATAAACTGCGTAAATTATAGTTCTATTAATCTAGTAAACGCATCAAATCACAAATTATCTGCACGAATTAGTAACTTAAATAAATCTGTATCCAATGGGGAACCTCGTGATCCTAACTTTTTTAGCCCTCCAAGGAATCGTCTTCGCAGATAGTCACAAGGACAAGAGAGATGATACCAGTAATTGGAACTGGTTTCCTAAGGGGAAAGATTGTAGTCATTCTACTGTAAAAATACACACTCATAATCTTATTAAGTTTTAATTTTAATAAACAAAATCTCTCAACAGGTCGACATTGCAAAGCAAGACTATCAAATGATATGGACGGTCGCCAACTTTCAAAAATATTACGAATACGCGTCAAGATTCCACGAACCAAAGTCCTTAACAAGACAGGTTATTCATTCTTCCGTACCGAGATCGATGAACACGGCAATTACCATGTACAAAATTATCACATTCTTAACTAATTATTGCTTTATTAAGGTTACCAATTTTTTGTACAGCGACGCCACCATTTCTGCCATTCCGGTCACGGACTCAAAACCTGATGTGATAACCACCCTGAAAATAAAGTACCCTTGGCGAATAACAGATGCGGAATTTGATGTTGATCTCGACATATCTACCACAACGGGAAGAATCAACAACCTTTCACCAATTTACCGGAAGAGATGGGTGGAAAGTTCCTTTATTGGAGGAGATAAAGAGTTTTTCTTGTACAAGTGGCAACTGAATAACTCAAATTCCACTAAATTTAAAACACTTACAAGAATTGGGGAGACTGGAAAAGCGATGAAAGACGAAACTGATCCTGAAATTACGTTAATTTTTACAATTACACAATTTCTTACAGTAGGGCCAGCGGTTTCGGTGGGGAAGTGTCCAACTAAGTTCAACTTTATATAAATATATAAGAAAAAATTTTGAAATTTTTATTTTGGAATTTTGGAATTTGTGAATAAAAGAATAACAAATTATGAAAATTTGAGAAACAAAGATTCAACGGTTGATCATCATCATCATCGCTCAGAGCCGGCCGTTTAACCGCCAACCACTGTCAACCAGTTGTATTGACTGTCAGCACAAGATAAAACGGAATTTGTTGTCCAAGTGTTGAACTGAAACACACTGTGTATCTACTGTAAGTTGAGTTCAACACTTGGACAAGGAATTTGGAATAATTTTTGTCCGTTTAATTAATTAATTTAAATAAAGTAATACACTGGAAGGTTGGTGCTGCTGGTTTCCTTGAATTTCGATAACAATCAGAATTTGTTATATGTAAGTAGGTGAAATTAGATCTATTATATTTTTCAATAGGTAAAAAATTACGAATAACCATAAGCTTGTTATTAAAACGTATAAGAAACGTATTTAAAATTAAATGAACTTCTTATTGGTGATTTTTTAAGGTCTATTTGTTGTGAAAGATGGAAGTGGAACAAGAACAACTTGTCCAGGAAGTTACTCGATGTGAACTAATTGTCGAAAACGGGCGAATCTACCTCCGTCCAATTAGCGTATGCAGATATTTGTTTAATTGAATCCAAATTAATTGCGTCAACTTTCTGTTAATATATTTATTCATAGGGCGCCGCTATCTTTGTAAATGACCATCCAGCTATTTCCCAAATTAAGGACGAATATAATGGAAGGCTCGCGTTACGCGATAATGACAGATTGGGAATCGGGTTAAATGAAGAATGTGCCGAACCGTCAGCAAGATTTCGGATGAGGGTAATAATTAATCGTATTCGTACAGGCATTAGTTAAACTATAATTCTATACTTTCTGCAGGTGAAGGATTTATATCTGCGAGACAATGACGATAGTAGCCAAGAATCTTGTGACGAAAGTGTATATGAACTTAGCACCAGCGATTTTTCTGATAACAGTGAAGATACTACAATGCATACCAGTATGGAATTAGAGAGTTGTCTCCCTTTGCAGAAAGTCTGGAAAGAACCAGGAGTAAGAAAATGATTGAGACTGTTACTATTTCTTTCAGCTATTAAATAAAAATAACAATTGTCTTTTTTAATCAGATCCTCTCCAACATTTTAAGTTTCCTCCCTCACGCCGACCTAAAATCCACCCGCCTGGTCTCTCAAAGTTGGAAAAAAGAATCTCAGAAGTATTTCATCCCCCTCTCCACAAGTTCATTACAACCATCTCCCTGGATTTCAGATTGGGAAAAAGAATTTCGCGACTACTCGGATAACGTAATGACCTACGGCCACCAAAACTTTAAAATCTGTTATAGCGGACATCCTTCTGACGGATTTATAGAAGAAGACGTATTACTCTTCATCCGAAAATATGGGCAACAGATCAAAAATCTTGAATTAACAATTATGCCTGGGAGAAATGATTTTGCCTTTATGCGAGATATTTTGTCGGATCCAAGCCTTCATAATTTAGTGGAGCTCTCTCTCACTCTTGTATCAAACGATTCGGATTATACGACGAAATACTTTCCCACTGGAATTATCCTGGCATCAGTGAAATCAATAATATTGAATTTCGGTTTTGAACATGAACCACCAAAACAACTTGTCTCATTTGCATCTCAATTTGTAAAAAGTTTTCCAAACATTATAAAATTCTTTATCGCCGCGGATGATAGTATGGAGGGTATTTTGGAAAAAGCTGTGCTGCAAGAATTTGTGAATTCACCATCGGATGGAGGGGTCGCGTTTAAAAATTTGCAAGAAATCCGCTTACAATGGGCGACATCAGAAGTGGTGGATATTTTGATTGATTTTCCACACCAACTCAAAATAATTGAAACCCATTTCGACCGGTATGATGTGGATACTCATCGAATTCAGAATCTATTGGATAAACACGGTCCAGTCTTGAAAGAATTGAGTTTGGCTATTCATTGTGATTCGAAAGAATATGAAACGCTGTTTGAACCACCGGTAGACATGCCGACATGTCCAAACTTGAAGAAACTTTCGTACACTTTTTATTTGAAGGATGATGGGATGGAATATGTAGAGTCAATTGATGTCAGCGACGTGGATTTATTAGGATTTTCTCAGGTTTTTAAGGTGCACTGCAAATAATAATTTGTAGTACATAATAATATTGATGGGGGACAATGTTTATACAATTTGAACGAATTTTTTTTTACTTACAGAATGGTGGTAACCTTTTCCACGCCAAATTTCCATTGCTACACTCCTTACAAATAATCATAACACGTCATGTGGCGAATTTCTTTGAACAACTCTTCCCAGCAATGGATTCTCAAGGGAAGGAGATTGTGATACCACAAATAACTCAATTTCGTACTACTTTTCCGTATGAATCGAATCCATTGAATACTTGGAAGGCTCGGATTTCTTCAATTTTCCCTAATGCTAGTAATCATGAAATGCAAGTTGTCAGTGAGAAGGCAGAAGAAATGTTGCAAGAATCTGAATAGTTAAGAGAATGTTTTTAAATTCTTAATTTAATTTTTGGGGGTATGCAGAAGTTGGCGAAGAGACCGAATATGACTGAACTGTGTTATGCTGTAACTTGTGGTTCTAAAAATGATTATCTCACGCACTTATTTATTTATAAACACGACGTGTATGTACAAAGTTTTATTATTATTTTATACTTATTCGAATTTGATAATTTGCTTTATTACCCATTACATAATCTGAAGCATTTAACATGATGTGATACAATTACGCTTTTTAAGGAGAATATTTTATAACTTTTATTTTAAATTTCTTTTCACACGTGAAATAAAACTGTCCAATTAACCAGTCTCTGGTCCGCAACTATTCTCACTCCATGGAATTTCAGGCAAACTAATCAGCGTAACATTCCGCTTAAACTCCCACATGGCACCCGATAAGTGCAAGTTCAACGTGTCTACATCTGAAAACTGGGCAATCATGTCCACAAAAACACCCGAATTAAAGTATATTTCTTGCACAAGATCTGTATCCCAATTTATAAGGAATCCATTCGGTACGTCAGGATAAGTTGTCAAATAACCAGTCGCCCATTCTCCATATCTCATGTATAGCGTGCCGTTCGGATTTGTTATCTCTAGTTCTCCTTCAAGCAGTTGTAAGAAAGAATTCAGATTTATAAAATCAAAGACTGAAATGGCAACCTCTTACCTTCCACAGCGTGCCCGAATATACCAGGAAGTGTCCCCTGATCGAGAGCCTTCACATCTTTATCACAACGTGACAAGTTTGTTTTCTTAGGTTTAGGTACAAAATTCCCACTTGGTTTTTGATACGGTTCATTTTTAGATTGTCCTAGAAAAACAAAATGTACTTTGTGTAAGAATGCATATGCATTTTGAAATTTACATATGCAAAAAATGCAAATTTTACATACCCCCTGTAACAATTCGCACAATCTCCTCATGCAAAAACGGATGTCCAAAAGGCGACGGGTACAAATTGACGGGTCCATTGTTAACAGAAAATGTCCCCAATCCAATTTCCGGATATACTCTCATTTCACACATGAAGGGTGTGAATTGCCCACTGTGCGCCATATAAGCATAACCATTCACTGCCCCCAGTTGAAATCCGGTCCCCAAAGCATATACTCCTTGGACTAGGTTGGATTCTGGAGTTTTGAAGGTCATGCCGTCAAGTGAATAAGCCGATTGACGCATCCATTTCATCGCTTCCTAAAATAAATATTAATGTTAATTTGTGGTAAATAGACAAATAAATTCGTAGTTAAATATAACACACTTCAGGAATAACTTGAGTCTCTCCTACTTTCCCCAGATTTAGATGGAACGACATATATTTTGCCATATCATTCGCAGTTGTTATAATTCCACCGGCGGAGGGTGCCAAGAAAATTCGACTGAAATAGAGAATAAATTAATGTGCATATTCATATTCCATATTATTAAATGGATCAAATAAATAATTGTTTAGCACTAACTTAATTAGTGACATGTTATACTTCAGAACTTCACCATCCTTGAGATAATACCCTTTCGCCATTCCCAGCAATGACTCATAGTCGCCCGTCTTGGTCACAAAGGTGCTCTCAGTCATTCCAATGTCAGCAAATAGGTTTTGCAGCTAAAATTCAATACAAGAATTGTCTATTACATATGCATTAACTTTATAATTTGCATTTTTGATCATGGAGAAATTAGTACCAAAGTTTCATATCTCATCTCTGCAATTTCAGCCAGAATATTTCCCAGAAGAACATAAAAAGTGTTGCTATACTCGGGATAAGCTCTGAATGGTCCTACTTCTTTTGCATAACGGCTGCGACTATAGAAATACAGTACATGGAATAAAAGTTCTAAAAATTAATGGAGACAAATTTATTGAATTCATACTAAATATATTCTTCGATATCCGGATAAGCACCAGCAGATGAGCCCAAACTTTCCGTAGCAACGCCATGCCGATGACTTAATAAATCTCGAAATGACATGGACTCTGATCGATAACTAAATATATTATTAAAGAGTTTATATAACTGATTAAAATTATTTATAAAAAATAAATTAACTAATTACCGATCACTAAAAGTGAAATTTCCAGTTGGATGTAATTGTTTGATTGGTACGTCCAAAGCACGGGAACCTAACTCTGGAAATTTTTCACTTAATACTTTCATAAGCAAGGTAGCTCCAAATGTCTGCGAAAAACGTTACACAAATTAAATTAAATAAGTGCATACTCAAAAAAATAAAATTATGTCCTATTAATTTACCTTTGAAATAGAAGCAATGCAAAACTTTGTCCTGCTATTCGCCGGAATTCCACTTTCCATGTCTTGAAACCCATACCCTTTGACGTAAATAGTTGCCCCTCTATTCTCCACAATTGTTAAACCCACGCCTGGAATTCTGTTGTAGTCCATGAAAACGGATTCAACCAACTCATCAACTTCTATTTGTTGAGCGGGGGTCAACGACAAAGAAATGTCCACAAAAGTGGCCACTACAGATATTAGCAGTAAAATTGTGATTTTCATTTTGCTTTTTTTTTTTTTACTAAACACTTATGTAAGTATTTACGGTATTTGAATGCGAATTAGAGGTGTGTGTGTTTGCAAATAAAGTGTAATATGTATGCAATGAAAAAAATGGAGCAGAGTCACCTCAATTTAAATGATTCCATTATCACCATTTTATTGTTAAAACGCGTCCGCCAATCTGACAAGCTACAAGCTTATAAATAGTGACATGATTTTATAACAAGGATGACTAATCGTATTAATTTGAATAACATGTTACATAGCAGGTGCAGTATCACGATACTGGAATAAATAAACTTTAGTTAAATGTGATGACTAATATTAAGTTAATGATTAGTGACAACTGTGACAAGTTAATTAATTAATTGATTAAAATTCAATTTAACTTCGTACCGACAAGCAAAAAAATTATTAAATTCCCAACCCAGCTTTCAAAGCTTTTAGCAGAGGATACTCTCCAGCCCCACAAAAGCCACCGTTAAAATCATCCAAATCAATTGCCCAAACCATAGCCCCAGCCAATCCTTGTTGCATAATAAATCCCGTCTTATCGCCAATGATCTGTGTGTTATCAAACGATGCCCACTGAGTCCCTCGAAACCCATACGGCCCGACTTGGGGGACATGGGTGAAAGGGGCGAGGTTCATGCAAAGTTCGAAATATGCTAGAAATCCAGCTTCTCCAGTATATTCGCCAGGAGCCCCGTTACTCGCTGGTGCTCCGACGCCATTATTATTGGGGTTTGACAACGTAAATGAGCGACCGTACAAGGGGACGCCGACCACTAATTTTGCAGCGGTTGCACCATTCTGAAGCCAATAGGTGATGGTGTCTACCGTGTTGGGGGATGCCCCTCGGAAGGGAGAATTGTGTCCTGTGACACCGTCCCATCCTGTATTAACATTTACATCAATGATGAGTCAATAATTATACAATTAGTTGAGTTAATCAATAAGTGATTATTTACCTCCATGCATATCATACGTCATCAAGCCAATCCAGTCCAATTGTGAGTTTAGTGTCGGAATATCGTACGCTCTGGCAGCAATGGATGATGATGCCGAAACAGCGGCCGAGAGAAGGAAACCATGTGGCAAAAATGCTGTCCTTAATTCACGGAGTAAATTGGCGAAATTTTGCTTATCCGATGCCGGCGTATCACCACACGCCCCTTGGGGACAACTGGGGTACTCCCAATCAAGGTCCAATCTTGACCAAGGTCAACCAATTTAATAATAATTATTAAATATAATTATTAAATATAAGTATTAAATACCCATCAAAATTGTATCGTCTTATAAATTCAACCGCTTTGGTGACAAAATTTGCTCTGGAGGCAGGATTCGTGACCATTCGAGAATATTTGTCCCCTTCAGAGTCATTCCATCCTCCAATGGCGATTAATACTTTGACGCCTTGGGATTTTAAGCTTGTCACCTATTTACGTACATAACCATTTAAAAATGTCGCAAATAGTTATAATGTAAATGATCAAGAAAAGTGGCTGGGATTGACTCGCCTGCTCATAGAAACCTTGATTAATATCCGTCTCTGTGTCTTGCACCACCATTTCTAACGACGTGGCGTCCAAAATAGAAAAGCTGTAGATGATATGGGTACATAACGAGGCGTCAATGTCGCTTGGGAAAAATGCAGAATTTCCAGATCGAGATGATGACCAGTTTGTATAATAACAGACTAGTTTTTTTGTTCCTATTTTTCCAGGTAATTAACTAATTAGAGATTCAAAAATCAAAATTTGCATTGTTTTAATACCTTGTCTCTCCCCGTCCACTGGGGACGCTGCCCCCAGATGGAAAGTTGCCAAAGAAAGGAGGCAAATACTCGTTAAAAAGAGCCCCATTTTGATTCAGTACAGTTTTGAGATGCGTTATGCGTTGGTGTAACAAGCAGGATAAATTTAATTCTCGTTCGAAATGCATTTTATAGTGGCATCATTACCCGAAATTTATGTAAAAAGTGATTGATAATTTCTGATAGTGTCACCTCATCCTTTATCTGAACTACATTCTTAAGCCATCAAACCGATGTATCATGTTCATTGTGACATATTTAAGTGTGTAGTTTGCACCCCACCCACATACCAACAGTGGTAAAATACGTTGTGCATATTTGACGAGCACGCAGCATTCGCCTGACATCTTAATAAACAAAACGTACTTATTTTTAAACGTAAAATTCGCAATCAATCAGTTTATGTAATTTGACAGTATCAGAAGTTGTAACAGTTTTAAGTGTGTTAATGGATTGCTGTAACACTTGAAGTGATTATTTCACCGCTGTTACAAGGATGACTTCATAGGTTAGTTTGATAATTATGTAAATGATTGAGTGAGAGTGAGTCAAAATATGCAGGTCACTTTTCACCCATGATAAGCTGATGATGTGAGGCATATTGAGACAGTCTAAATACATGGACAATCTCGTCTCAAATGGTACAAAGACAAGACAAGACACGAAAACAAGCAGCAAACAAACATCCTCAAATGATTGCCCGAATAAAACAAAATCTGCTGCCTGCATGGTTATTTTTGTATTAAATAATAATTTATTTTATTTTATTTTTGTTTGACAAAATAAGTGGATTCATAAATTTCTTGGTAGGATTGGTTAATTCTGTTGTTTTTCTATTGACATATAAAGTCAAATCGTAATTAATTTTCTCTCATTGTTTACATTCACGCAGTTGTAACATCACACAAAAAATTGGTAAATTTATCCCTCGGCCCTCCCCCTTCATAATACCCTACATACAATGGAAGCTGAATTACTATCAAAATTGAAGGCTGGACATGTGACTGATTTTTGGACCTGGTTGAGCAAACAGCCGACAAAGCCGTTAAACAAAATCTTTATTACTGGTCAAGTTGCATTATCAAATTACCGACCATCGTGTGATGTCCCCCACTTATTTGCTCTTGTTCATCTCCTGACTGAATCTGGCACGTCGGCTGAAGAGGTGAGAGAGAGTTATCATTGTTATTCTGTATCATTATATATCCATCATTTATTGTTAAAATTTTATTTTACAGGAAGAAAATGTCAAGTGCATCTTCAAGAAATATATTCAAGCTGGGTGCAACATAAATCAAACTACCGACACCCTACCATCCACCAAGAGATCGAGGAAAGGATTCACCCCACTTCTCCTCGCAATCGAACAAAGAAAATGTCTGGTCACTAAGGTCCTTATCGAATTAGGGGCAGATGTCAACATTTCGGATTTCGTGGGTTATTCGCCGCTCTATTGGGTAGCACTGGTTGCCTCGAATGTAGAAATGATGAAATGTTTGTTGGACAACGGGGCCGAAATCGTGAATGACGGTCACGGGGATGTTCGTCCTCTTCTTCATGTTGCGGTCGATGAAGGTAATTAATTAATTAATTAATTAATTAATTCGTCAGTTCTGCATTTGAAATATTACTTTTATTATTATTTAACAGGCCGTGTCGTCATAGTGGATTATCTCCTCGGAATCGGCTTAAATGTCAACACTCCGTCGGTGTACGCCGTTTTGCAAGAGCAATACTGGTGTGCGTGTGACACCAAATCCCGTTATGACTGTGGAGTTTTGAATCAGTATCGTCGCGATTTAGCAATCACGCCTCTTGGTCGAGCAGTCCGTATGAAAAAACTTGACGTTCTCAGTGTCCTTTTGCGTCATCCAGACTCGATAGTTTCATTGGATGACCTTCACTACTGTATTCTCGAAGGGGATTCCCAAATGGCTAATATGATCATGCCGAAAGTGGAAAAGAAATTGTTAAAATGTGATAAAGTTCAGGGAACCGACATACTCATTCTACATCAACTCGGATCTCGAGCATTTGACTTTGAATGTAATGAAACGAAACAGCTAATTCAAACTTATGTGGAGCATGGATTTGATATCAATTCTACAAGTACGATCAAAGAAGATTTGTCCTTCATCGAAAGTACTCTCCTTTTGAGTGCAATTAAAAACAATCCAATGAATTTTGAATTAATGCATTTCTTGGTTACTCTTGGAGCTGACCCTTTCATAAAAATCGGGCCGAAAAGTGCCTTCAACATCGCAACGTCACGAAATGACATCAAAATGGCAGAGGTCTTCATGAATGCCAGAATGGACATTTCAAATCGGATGAAAGAATTTGAAGATATTTTCCAAATGCGCGTAAATGATAAAATGTCTCAACTAAATTATATCAAGACGTTCGTGCCAAATGTTCAACTGGATTGCAAACATTTATTCAAATCAACGGAAAGCGGAAATGAATTTTTAGTAGAGTTTATATTGCAAATGATGCCAAAAGATTCGTCCCTTTTCATGAGACAGAATTATTCCAAATTAATCGGTAATTTGGAAACTGAAGAGGAAATGCCCACGTTACTCGAAAACTTTGTGGAAAAAAGCCTCGGAAATTGGGAAACTATAGAATACGTTTGCCTGCCGTCTGTAATGCAAGTTGTTCGTGGGTTCCTCACTCGTGGATATGATCTTTACCAAAACCAGACGAAGCCATTAACCAGCACAATAGTTAATGCTACTCTATATCTACCAAGTTCCCAACATGACGACGCCCTCATTTTATTTAAGGAGTTACTGTCATTTCCAAAAATTAATTGGGCTCCAAAACCTAGTAGAGCATATCCTCTACCAATCAACGGAGTAATTCAAAAACTGTCTGTCTGTCCACTTGCAGTTCGCCTAGGTCAGCAGAACAATCTTGCATTATTTCGTGAAACTGGAGATGATGATCAAGACTTGCATTTTGATGATGAATACTCTCCAATTTATCCAAGAATGTACTCCTCACGTTGCATCGAACCTGAGTCTACCGGAGTCGTAATCTTGGAGAGTTTACTGGACAATGGGGTATATGCGGATCATATCAATTTGACAAACTTGTTAAAATGTCACCCTTGCTTAATCCAATATTTGCAAGTTTTAAAGAAATTGTGGTGGGCGGGTGGAGAGATGGATTTTTATGAAATTGAAAACTTATTTGATGACGCCGTTCTGCAGCTGATTGGAAAAGAGGAGTTGGTATTGAATTTTAGGGAATGGATGAAAATTGGGAAACAAAAGAATTGTACACTTCAACGTTTTGTGGGGTGAGCGGATTTTTATATATGACATTTATTTCGTAATCAACAAAGATTATAGTGTAATTAATGTATGCATTAATGTATGTATTGCAGGATATGTATCCGAAAATCGATGAAATATCATAATATGGATAATCTGATGTGCCATGTCCTTCCTACAAGAGCAATAAAAGAGCTAATGACCTCACCCGACTGAATTCTGCAACGAAGCATTTTTGGTTAAAGATTCGTTAATTATTTCTACCATATAATATTTTCTAATTGTTTTGATATTACATATTCAATCAGTCAATTAATATTTTTTTTAACTAATGCAATAGTAGTAAAACTCATAGTGTGTAGCCAAAGTTTGGTTGTTATTAATAAAATAATAGAGGTGGGTAGCACCCCTACAACCTTTTTGATTTTTTCGACAGATTTTGCTCATCTTCGAAGTCGATTTGATAAGCTACTGATTACGAGCGTAATCAATAGACAGACAGACAGATAAGCCCTCACTCGGCTAAAAATAGTACTAACAAATTTATTTGTACGTAAGTTTGGTATTTGGTGTTAATCTAAAATAATATAGGTATTAAAATAACACTATTTTAGGTAATTTTAAAAATGACTTGTTGTCTAATTTATAAGTCGTAAAAAAATAAAATTACATTGATCACGATTTTCATCAGTTTTACGATAGGTTACAAGTTGCATAGGAATTGATGTCAAACGTTTCTTCTTATTTTTCAAGATTACGGTGTACATCTTCAGAATTTCACCGTTCAAACCAAAAATGTATGTTTATTTACGACATCATAAATTAAATTCACAATCGGTTTCTGTATTTGCTTATTCGTGATTCGAGAAAGCACTTGGCATGACGATTAGGCTTGTAATTGGGCTCCGATTCTTAAAAAAACAGGTAATCCCTTGGCTTGAGTAAACATACGTTTCTATGAGTTACATAATGCCACATTTTTATTAAACTGCGTGACTATGATAAACAATAACTATGTGTTCCTTTATCTTAATAGTTCAGAAACTAAATAACGACATAAATTTACTCAAATTCGAACGAACATAGCGTGAGAACCTTAATTACGTAATTTGCCATAAAGATGTTACTTTGACCCTTTCCTGTTCCAAACTAAGGCCTAAGTAGGGCTATGACGTACCTGTTAACTCCTGTAAAACTAATGCACTTCTCATGAAAATTTAAACTGCATAATAACTTCGGACTTTATCATTAAGTATATATGCAGGCATTAAAGGCATTGAGGTAGAAGTAATAAATAGTATAAAATAAAACCAATTGAAAGATGCATTGAAAAATAGCGTGTAAAGTATGCAAGTATGTGTACATATGTATGAATGTACACCGTATAAGTATGTATTTGATTGAGATTGGACCATTGCACTCTCCTCTCGCGTACTTATATGACACTTTGACATTGAATAAATACTACTCTTCAATGTGAATGTATCTCACGTACATTGTGTACGAATGCATATTAAGATATCCATTATGATAAGCCAACATAATATAACATAATAACAACCCAGCCATCTATTTAATTGATGCTGATACCACAGCACTTATAAATATGTAGCTGATTGAAAGCTGCAATTTTGCTTTCCTCGTTCCTTAATTAAATAGACGTGTACATATATTTATAACTCGCAGTTTGTTATTGGCCATCAAATCCTCATCATATTTCAAATTGTTTCACCAACGGTATAATAAGCACATTTTTTAAAAATCTACTTAACGCAGATCTTGTTTAAAAATATATCTCATTTCCAATTATTAGAGCAAAAATGCCTCCCAACACCCACTCCACGCCTACAAAGTCTTCTCCGAAAAAAGTTGGACGCACCACCCACAGCAAATTTTTCCAGGAATTGCTCCAAGAAGGTTCAGTAACGGATGGAAACAGCCCCACGTTAATTGAGCCGCACGAAATTCCTTGGATAGATTACGACCTCCTCGCCAAGGGACGAGAATTCGTGAAACAAAACTACGCCGTGGTCTTGACCACAATGATGCTCGCGGATACGATAGGGTTCATCTCAAAGCAAATTGCATCCACCGTTTTCAAGAGCTTTTATCCCAACAATATTTGCGGAGGACGATTCCTCTCCACCTTTCGAACCACGATGTGCCAATGGCTTTTGTCCGACTTCAGCAGCGGAGCTAATTCCGAATTTGTCCAGGCTATTCAACGTGTCCGCAAATTGCACAAGATCCTGGGTCGCCCAGCCGTGAAACCGATCGTTCCACCGGAAGGAATCCAGTACCCCGCAGAGTACAAGGAACTTCTCGCCTGCATCAGAGAAGACATGAAATCTGTGGACACCACGGACTACCCATCCCACTTGATATCCTGGACGCCATCAATGTATTTTACCCAGCTAGACGTGACCCTGGTCGCTTTTGGGATGTATGCACCGTTCATCGTGTACCCAAACAAGGTAGGACTTTACACCACGTTCCAAGAAGATGAAGGACTTCGAGGGTACGTCCACATTTGGGCAGTGATTGGCAAAATGTTGGGAGTTCAGGACAGATACAACTTAGCTCTTCACCCCGATCGGGATTTGTATATGGAAATTGTTACGAAATTAGGAAAGCCAGGTCTGAAAATGGCTGATGAATCTGTAATTTTTTCCATTGAAAAAATGATTGAAGGTTTGGTGAACACTACGATTCCGTATTCTCTTACGGCAAAGTCACTGATCTTTCAAGCCATGGAATTGGCAGATATTAAGGGAGAGAAAGTTTGGGGGATGATGAATTGGCATGATAAGTGGACTTATTATAATAGCAAGGTTTCGATTTATTGTATGAGATTTAGCTTGGTGAGGATTTCGGCCAATTTTTTTGTTTGGGGGATGTTGACGCTTTATATTAAGCTTTTCTTTAAGGTGCATAAGGGGAAATGATTTATCGACATGACGGAATGAGAAAAGGGTTGATATTCAAATTACGAAATTGTTAATGATAGAATGAGTTTGGGTTTAAATAAATATTATATTATGCATTCAAACTGATTTTTTTCGAAATTTGTCTGTGTACGTGGACTTATTTAAGTGACCAAAGTACGGGCATTGTCCGTATACAACACACATCACATGATGATTTTAAGATCGCAGTATCCAAGTTCAACGAGTTCGTAAGTAAATATGCAATCGCCAATGTCATCAGATATACACTTCAAACACTAATCGCTCAACGATATACGTACATATTTACGATTTATATACGAACAAGTAAAATATCAATAACAAAATTGATGAGCTTGAAGTATTTAGTTTATTAATCAATCAATTTGATTTATAAATTTGTATTTTCCAAGTGCAGATATGTATTACACAATATAAGTTTCAGTGCAAAAGCTGAAAAAGTGGGGAGCAAAGTAGTCGGATATTTACAAATACATATGTCATATGCATGGAAAATCAATTTTCGAATAGGCATAAAATTAATATTATTACTCGTAATTGGACCAATTTGTCATAAGTCTTAGGATCATGAAAAAAATTGCTGTGTCCGGATTGATTTGTATCCGTTGCATAATACATATGTACAATATATTCACCCTCAGCAGAGTTCACGATAGTTGTGCTTGTGGCATATCTTGTTTGTGTTTCTCTGTTCCTCTATTCATCTCTGTCCCTGTGCCCTGTGTTTGGGGCTGGGCTTGCAAGCCCAAGCGCTTGGTAGCTTATTTCTATTGAATGCGATCGTCAATTCTTTAATTTCCTATTAAAATGAACTTCCGTGCACGTTTCGGAGAATTGTAAACCCAAAAAGAACTTCTATATCGTTCTTCACTTTCTGCAAATTCACCATTTTTTATACAATTAGCCTAAAATATCATTATTTTCATTGCCAAGAAATAAAGTCAGTACTGATAAAATTGTTAAGTATTTCTCTTCGATAAGCTGTCTATTGAATCCATTATAGCCCAATCGTGCCATTATTATTGTGATCTGTCACATACAAATTTGAGATACGTTCAGTGGGATTTCACTTAACATATATTAAGATGTTGTGTGTGCAAATGTAAATATATATTCATGTACATATTTGTTCCATTACGTACTTATTTACGCACTTAAATGCAATAAACCGTCACAACGAATGTAACCAAGGGGTGAAAGAAGTGTGTTATCCGTATTTCAATTCAAATTGATGCATGTATGCAATTTGACCTTTAAATGACATTTCATGACCTTTTGACCTTGATGGGTGTGACCTACAGTGCCCATCTTCGAACTCGTCCTCTCTATTGACGTTAGGAGTTTACGTTCAAAATTTCAAGTGTCTATGTCTTTTCGTTCAAAAGTTATCGGAGCTACGGACAGACAGACGGACGGACGGACGGACGGACGGACAGACAGACGGACATAACGATCTTATAAAGGGCTTTCACCCCTTAATAATGGGCACATTTTTCAGTACGGATATATTCAACCCGATGCGCATCATTTTATTAATATACTCATCTAAATATGTACTGGTTAAGGATGTTATTCTGAAGAGGGAAATGATAATGCAGCAATTTATTGGACCATACAATTGTGTGACATTCAGAGGTCAACAATTGTATATGTGCACTGTATTTCAATCAATATGATAACATTTGTAGACCTTTCTCAATCGAGTATATAGTAAGTATTCAATATTGATAATGTATATCTGACTTACCTGATACTAAATTAAATTCTAATTATGTATAGGTTTAGATCATCATAAGTGATAAGTGCCACCACAAAATGACATTCTTTTCTCTTTATTTAGCTTATAAATATGTGTAATTAAATAAACTTATTAGCTAATCAATCAGCTTCGTCATCCTCAAAAAAGTTCCCAATCCATTATTTACCTCTTTGGTTATATTCAGAATCAGTAGAACAGCCGACGGGGACATTCATTTCGAAGAAAGCCACCCTGAAATTGAATGGTTCGCCATATTCTCGTCGGAAAAGCAAATAAATTCGCTGGAGAAAAAAGTTATGCTTTAATTAGTAGCAAATTATGTTAGGTTCTCAGGAAACTAATTTGCAGCTGTGTTCTTGAAAAACCAAACATATGCACGTCGCCTCTTTTCTATTTCTTTCCACATATGTACATACATACATATGTATGTGTTTACATACTGCAGCAGACTTTCGAAATCCAACTCCACAAAATTTACGCGAGTTGCGAATTCAAAAGTGAAACATAAGTAATTCCACCAGAGAAAAACTAGAAGCTATGTATTCTCCAGTAAGTATTAGAATTAATCCGTTCAGATTCCTAACGTCCCACCTCGTGACCTGGCAACCGCACAAATATTTTAGCGAGTTAGAATTAGCGACAGGTCCGATTTCACCATTTCTAATTTGTCCAGAATTGCTGGACTTCGTAAGTATTTACCACCTGCGAAGTAGATGAAGGTCCGACTTTGAAGATATTTTCATGTGTGAGCCGTGGGCGAGTGGGCAGCAATCTGGAGGATGCTTGAAGTCTTCTTCGAGATAAATTTAATTAAGATCCACATGCCGATCGTGACCTTTATTGAGAATTTGTCGATAGCCTTGGACTTTCTAGTTGGAAAATGAAAGATGAAACTCTTATTTTAACATTGTTAACTTTAGCAGAGGGCATTACGAATGCGATAAAACTTACATATGTGCTTGGTACATGGGGATTACTGCGCAATCACAAATGCTTATGGCACGATTAGTCCTTCACCTTAAAATTTAGTATTTAGCAACTTTTAGCTCTTTTTGTGGTTTATTCAACGATGATTTTTAAAGTGATGGTTATTTTTTAATGATTATTTTACTTCATATTTCATCTTATTTTTTCCTATGCATGAGTTATTCTGTGATATGCATAATAATTGTATTAAATACGTATAGATCAAATTCAAATAAGCTTAAATATATGCATATATGTACATATGTATTGCTCAAATCGTGAAAAATGCTGTACACATGAACAATCTCACATTCTCACTTTGACTTTCTCTTTTGGATTTCCACCAACCTTGAAGTTGTTGTCCAGTTTACGTAACGTCTCATTTTTCTCTAGAAATCAGTCATGCCCTGTTGTATCGCTTTTTCTCTGAGGGAAAGCCTCCCCCGAAATCAATCACGCTTCACCCTCGTTTACACAAAAAAAGACAGATCACAGAAGCCTCCTTACCTGTAATTTCATGCCGTTTATGCATGTATGAATGTATCTGTAGATAGAAAAACGCCACCCACCAACAAATTACAAAAAAGCAGATATATATTTTTCTCACGTATATAAATAGCCCCCGAAATCTCACTTTCACCTCTCACACGACCGTGGACCACGGTCTGACCTGGGCATCATTAAGAACATCCACGATGGAGAAACAAACAATGGCGCTCATCATGATTGCAATTGTTTCACTAATTCTCAATTTGACAATTATTGGTTTCGTGGGAAAATGGAAGAGCAACAAAAGGTCACGGTAAGGTCAATACTGGAATTTTTAAGAAAATACAATTTTTTTAATCCCATAATTTTAGGAGACTGGTTTACCTCCTGTGCAACTTATGCATCGCGTTCGTGTTTGGATCAGTTTCTGCCATCATAGGCTTCTCGGGTGCGGATAAAATGCTTAACGAAAAACTTGCATGTTCATTGGGATCGTACATGATAAGTAAGACATTAATTTCACACCATTTTTTGTCAATTTTTCCATATTTTATTTGACATCACAAATAATTTCATTCTATTTGAATAGATTTCAACATCAGCATAATATCTCTGACCGTATTACTCATCAGTTGTGAATGTCGCAAAAAATTTAAAAAGGACAACTCATCTGATAAGGACATATTCCTGTCAATTGCGGTGATTTGGTGCGTCGCTGGAGTTTCTGCTATTCCGACGTGGTTTACAACTGGATATGAGGACGAATCGGAGTGCTGTGTCAAGGTGGTTTAAATACATATGTTTTACTTACTGAAGCAATCATGCCCAACTAATTAAAATATTTTATGATAGAAAATACTGATGAATTCGCTAATAACTGAGATAATACAAGAAATCGTGAGATGCATCATCTTTCATGTGACCATACCTGTATTGGTTGGATGGGGTAAGTGAGAATAATATCTCGTAGTGATTAAACTATTAATCTCAACTCGCCCCTTGATATTTAGAACTGTATAAAATACGGTCAAAATTTAAGCTGTGCTACAAACTGAAGGTATGAAATAATTAAAACAAATTCCTTTCGACATAAGCATTCAAACTAATTCATTACAGGCCAAAACCACCTCACTAAAAATGATGAAAACTGTTCAAAATGTCCGATTCATGTACACGCACTCTGCCATATTCATCTTGCTCTGGTTTCCCATCGGGATCCTGATCTCATATTACAGAATTTTCGAAATGCCAGGAATTACTAATTGCCTGAATCCGGATAACACTAATCACCCAATTTACTACGCTGTTGGGATAGCATTCTGCATTTACATCATAATCTGTCCCGTACTCATTTACTCGATGAGTGGAATGTTTTACGTCAAGAAGACACCGATGCGATTGGTTTCGCCACAAATTCGAAGATGCAGGTCGTGTAACAAGGTGGCTCAGGTAATGGGTGGTAAGCCTGTAAGTATTTCGACATGGTGTGAGGATAACGGGTCAATGAGGCGAAGGAGTATGGAAATGATGGACTATGGGAAAATAAATGGTGCTGATGTTGTCATTTTTATTGGGTACGACATGAAAATTAAGAAAGAGGGAGATGATATCGTGTTTGATTTCGCGAGTGAGACTGGGGGTAGAAAAGAGACGTTGATCTAAATTTTAAAAAAATTTGGAAATATGGGAAGAATTTCTCATGCGTTGGTTGGTATTATTTTATGAGATTGAAAAATGAATGATATGAAAGCTATGTACCTCGCACAGTAAATTTGCAGTACCTGGTTTTGGAGACCCTTAGTCGTCTTGGGCTATAATTATTTATGTATCTCTGATTGGATATGTTACGTTGTAGTATGCAGATAAATGATGGAAATCGTTGCAATTTTGGTTTGTTGTATTGAAAAGAAAAAAAATACCTGAGTAATTTAATTGTTTGGATTGAAAATTCGAATTACTATATAAATATAAATATATAAATATCTCACTCAAAATGTCGAAAGATAGAGTAAAAACAAACTTTTCTTTCGAATTTCCACTAAATCTCTGTGTATTCCAATTTGTTTGAATTGATTGAAAGAAGTGGGGAGAAAGTATATGTTGAATTTTGCTGTTTAATGTATTTATGTGTACATATATATGTAGTACGCACTTCAAATAGTAGAGACTTAGCTGCAAATGACACCCTTAAATCATAGAATTGTGGTACCTGTGTTTATGGACTCGGAATTATAAGTACTTTAAAAATACAAATCTCAAGTTCCCCATGGATTGATAGATTGGTGGAGAACAATAGTTAAAGTAGTTGGTATTCGTATAATCTTTGAATTACAAATCCATTGAATCTCAATTAGTACAAGAAGTACAAAAGTTTCAACTACTTACAAATCTATGTACAAATTTGCTTCAGAAACTTTCACCAAGTTGCGTCAGTTTGGTAAGTAAAAATATTTTGATGACAAAGGGAAAGATTATACGTAGTACAAAAAAACAGTACACTAGAAGATTCAACTACATGTAAATATGTACATATATAATATTAACTAAAATTAAAAATGTAATTGTTAAGTCAATACAAAATGCTGCGCAGCACAATGAGTTGTAAATACACACAATGATGAATTAGTGAATATCAGTAGTATACAAAAATAGGTTACATGTGATGGATTTTCGTAGAATTTTGATCTCCACCCCCTCGTGTGACCTATGTATTTTCCCCATGTTATAATTAACATGGAAAAGATAGAATGCTGTGACCTTTACCCCTCAAATCGATCACATGCTTTTTGAACAGTCCCTACTTGATAGTTTACCAAGTCAAGAAATTAATTCGACAACCAACACAACTTTATGTTATAGAAATACGAAATAGATTTATGCATGATTGTCAACACCTTAAAAACATGTTCGTTTAGCTCAACTAGAAAAAAACATGAAAGATGAAACTGTGCATATGTACATCTGCATGTAAAAAAACTGTTACATAAGCCCCTCCATCGCAACTTTTACTTCATGTTCAACAATCACTCTTAAATTATTTTTCTTGTCTAATATTAAAATGTTGTATTATTTGATTTCTTGGAATTGGCAAAAATAAAAATTGAAGGTTAACCTAACCTTGAAAATGAAAGAGGCAATTATGTCCTAGTGCGCATTGAAATTGCAAATATTTCTCAAACTATTCCAATAATCAGTTTTCAATGTCATGTTCGCAGGCAATTTATGTAAAGGTGAACTAATACAATGGGCGAGCTTGATTTGCGTCACGTATCATCGCAACCACATCAACAAGAGTTGAAGTACAAGAAAATTCGAGAGAATGGTGAAAGTTGAAGTTCTTTCTTACATTTTCACCTTCTCGCACGTAGCCTCATTTCACATCCTTGAGAATGGGGTGCATGGTAAAGCTTATGGGAAATGTGAGAATAAAGTCAAGTGGACTCCTTCAAGTTGTGGCTTCAGTTGTGAGGAATTAATTTACTTTTTGGGTGAAGGTGACACAACAATTTGAGATTAGAATTTAACGTCCATAGCAAAAGTCATATTTTATTCTTAGCCAAATAAATAAATAACCAAGTAGATAATCGCTAATTAACTTATCCAAAAACCTCCACCATATTCCTCGTCATCGCATGATTGCCATAAAATATTTCATAAATCCAACAAATAATTCCAGAACTTACAAGCACTCCGCAGATTGCAAAAATCTGTGCAAATTTTTCAGTTAGCTTCATACCTTTTATAGGCGGCCAATAATCTTTGGAATATTTTGCGAAAACAAGGGCCGATTGGTTCAATTTCATAAATCTTCGCATACTTATTATCCTTTTGTACCACTTGTAATTTCTGAAAATGGAAAAAGTAAATAATTTTTTGCATAGTAATTAATTAGAAAAATACATTTCTTCCGATGTCACTACTCACTTTACCCACATCCTCTCTAGCCCAACTTCTCTTAACAAGTGAAAAAATCTAATAAAACTCCAAAATTTGTATCCCCGTATATGCATAGAATAATGCCGCTTAAAGAAAGGTTCTACGGCAAAATGGCAATGCCGACCATTTTTGAATGCAGCAATTCCAAAATATAAGATTTCCATTGTTTTATCCGAAGAAGGGATATCCGTCGCAAGTTTGTTGGTCTTATTTGCCAAGCAATCCATTTTACTTGCTGATTTAGAATCTTTTCCCTGTGAAAATTTTACAATAGTTGTTTCAATCTGCCACTTACCTACAAAATATAAATTACTCACTTGGATATTTGGATAAAAAATTTCGATTCCATATTTTTCGAATCCACTTTTAAACTCGTTCAGGTCGTAAAATATGAGGTCTCTTGTATCGAGAATAGGAAATAACAATTTGAAACCTTTCCCAAAAATTAATTCCTTCAAATCCTTCGCCACTAAAGGTGGTGGTGGGATCGTTATTTGACTCGTTAGCACACTCTCGTCTTGCAAACTAATACAGAGGAAGCATAAGGTTAATAAAACGTGTAACATGTAAAATCTGTCCATATTTCCCATCGGTTCACGAAGTATTATTGCCAGTGAGTCCAACAATCGTGGGGTGAGATCCTAAATGAGAAAGTTTTAGGGTTACAATAAATGTATTTTCCAATTACTGAAATTACATGAAAAATTACTTTCATCTTAAACCGAGCTCCTACGATGGCCACAAATCCAGCAGTGAAAATAACCAACATCCAAGTGAACAAATCAATAGGATTCGTCCAATGCGAATACGAAGATCCCATCGTTTTCCACTCATTTTCACAATAAAGTAAATAATAATCTTCCGTGTCTCTGATGTAAGGTGCATAATTCACACCCACACTTCTGTACCATTCTAGATAACTTTCTTTCCCAATGAAAACCGAGTGCAACTTATTTTCATCTTCCACATGGTTCATGCTATCACCATTTTTGTATAAAAACAGAGAAAAATTAAAAATTTGTTTAGCCACCAATACGGAACGAAATGTCGCTTGGCAAGTCAACTTGTCGCAAAAGTCATATTGAGTTCCTTCCATTGCTGCTAATACTTTAGGAAATTGTTTACTTTCAGGTTGTTTGTTAAAGAGAAAGGTTTCGCTTAATGGTGTTGGTTCTAAAATGTTTTGATTTTGTTGACAGTAATTACAAACGAAATAAGTTGATCTGTTTTGTAAAGTTTGTGTAAAAAATGTGAAAACTATTTTTGCAGAGTACAAAAAAAGTTTGAATGATTGTTTGAGATTTGATTGATCCGAGTTTTTTAGGATGATGAGAAATATGACACTTTCCTTAAATCCAGATCCTGTACTACTAATTAGTCCCACAATGTCACCAATTTTAGGCTCGGATACGATCCAAAGAGTGAATGTAACATTTCGAAGGCGAGGATAATTCAATGGGATTCTAAATTGTGAAGAATCAAGAAAATATCGTGTAATCGGAGAATTATTGTTAAGAGTTATGTTAATTGGGGACGCATTTTCCTGTTCGTAATTATTATACGATATGAAATACAAATCTAATTCAACGTTTGTTTTAGTAAGGTCCAAATTTGTAAATGTTTTATTAATTAATACTAAGATCAAGTAAATAGTGGGCAAACTTGCTTTAAACATTTTAAAGGTCGTAGAGCAACGTACAAAACAACTATGTTTACATGTACAAAATTATACGGAATATGCAAGTATTTTACAATTAGAATATATACAATATCGCTCTCTAGTTCCATGGAAAAGTATTTTTTTAGTTGTTGATCTACCTACATACATATTCATGGTATTGGGGTGGTCATATTTATATATAATAATTACACCACGCACACAAAACTAATTATGCACAACGGTAACAAAATAATAAGTAGTACATAAATATGCACACGCCATAAGCAAACTTAATACACAACTATTTCCGATTGCAATAGCACATGAAACAAAATTTCGATAAACAGGCACACAAAAGAAGCCCCCACAGCAACCCCACAAATTATAAAAAGTTGCACAAATTTCTTGGAAAGATCCATCGGCTTTGCTTGACCCCACTTATTTTTCGAATATATGTCCAGAACGGTCGTGAAATTACCCACTTTCATCATGTTTCTCATTCTCCAATTCGCATTTGACCAACTCCATGTCCTAACACATAAGTGAGTAATTAGACCAGTTCGTGTTGTTATTAAAGAACGTCCGGGAATGAATGGGAATGCGCGCTCTAGCGAGTATATTGACAAATCAATAAACCCGCGAACTATAATAATTTAAATTTCTGAAAGCCCACTTCATTAGGGTCAATTTGGTATATCACTCTTAAATTTCAAAAATGGATAAGGGTAGAAGAAGCTTGTTTGAAAGGGAGCTGTTAGCAAAACGAGTGATGGAGTTCTACAACACGACAGCCAACCGAGACTCCAAGGTGACCTGGAACTTTTTTAAGCAGGAAGGAATTCCAAGTTCAAATGTCTATTCCTACATAAAAAAGTTCAAGGATTCCGAAAATGTGCAATTCAAGAAGCCAGCTGGTCGTCCGGCGAAGCTAGCGACCACTCGAGTGAAAAATAGAATTGAAAAAATTTTCAAAACCAAGCCATCAACGTCAGTAGCTGTAGCTGCCAGGAAAGTCAAAATTTCCAAAAGCTACCTGGGGGAAATTAAGGTCCATAAATTAGGAATCAAAGCAAGGACCAAAAAACCTGCACCAAATTACAAGCCCGTACAAGAAAGTCGGATCAAGGATTGCTGTCAAAAATTGTTGAAGAAAATGCGTGGAAAAGTAGTGATCCTGGATGACGAAACGTATGTTCCGGTTGACCCATCAAATCTTCCAGGGCGTCATTTTTTTCATAGCTCGGATCCCTCTGAAGTGGCTTATGAAGAAAAAGTACGAAAAAAAGGCAAATTTCCAAAGAAATATTGCATTTGGCAATGCATCTCCAGTCACGGACATGTATCAGACCCGGTAGTTCTCGAAGGGAATATCAATCAAGATATTTATCTGAAAAATTGCGTCAAGGCTGGATTGGAAGCATTTATTAATAGGTTTCACAAAAATGATAAAGTTTTGTTTTGGCCTGACCTCGCCACTTGTCACTATGCAAAGAAAGTGACCGAGTACCTCAGAAAGAAAAATATTGATTTCGTACCAAAAGATATCAACCCACCTAATGTACCCCAACTCCGCCCAATCGAAAAATTCTGGGCACGTTCTAAGTCAGTATACTCCCGGCTTCAAGATGTGCCTGACACCTTTCGAAAATTCAAAGGACGATGGAAGAAAATCACCTCGGAAGTGGCAAAAACTTCGGGAAAAAATTTAATGAAAAATCTTCGCAAGAAAATCGAACTAGTCGCCAACGGGGGTGTGGCGGCCTTAGCTATTAATTAAATTATGTAGGTACGTATTTGGTATTATACATATGCAAAAAGTTTAAAATTCCGATAACTCATTGTGATTTTATGACCACATTTTCAGACCATTCCCATTCATTCCCGGACGTTCTTTACCATCAAATAATATCCACACTACATTCTGACCGACCAATGTTTCATCCGTTACCTAAACCATTTCACCTCAAGTCCAACTTGTCGTAACCTTCCGAAAAAAAAAAGAAGCCTCAAAACCCCATGCCCTTTGAAGTATGTCGCATGCATCCGTTGGAAGAATGGCTCCTTGGTTACGTGACAAAACCGATTATTTTTATAACAAGGTAGTCCATAGTCCAAAACTTGCAATTCTTTCTCCGAGTACGGTACATCAGTCCCAAGTTTATTTGTTCGATTAGCAAAGGCTGCCATTTTCCGTGGGCTCGGAGAATCGTATCCCTGCACGTAATCACATTTTTCTGTTATCTGAATATTGCTATTTTATTTATCTATACACAAAAAGTCGTACCTGTAACTTGCTCCAAAAGACATGAGTCAAATTGTATTTCTCAAATCCACTCTTAAATTCGTGTAAATCATATCGATGTATTTCGCTGAGATCATAAATCGGGAAAAATATTTTGTATCCGTTATTTATCAATTCCTTCAAGTTTTTGAGCACCCGTGGAGGTTCAGGGACAGTAATTTTGCTCGTTATCGCACTCTCATACTCGACACATACGAAGGTAAATGACAATGAAAAAATAAAATGTAAGAGATAAAATCCTACCCGATTGGACAATGGTTGCCGTAAAATTAATGAAATTATTTCAAATAATTTACAAATAACTGTCGTCACTCGAAATTTGGCCAAAATTAATGAAGTTACCACTGAAAATGAGGAGACAAGGAGCCAAACCAAGCTATGAAATGGAGACGTCCAATGCGAATATGAATACTCTTCAGTTATCCATCCATTTTCGCAGTATAAAATATGGTAAAATTCTTTAGTTCGGAGATATGGAACGGTATTTTCACTCGTACTGCGTTGCCATTCGAGATAAGTGTCTCGACCAATGTATAACGAATGGGGGTCATTTCTGTCGTCAATTTTGTGCGGTGGAAATCCTCGCGAGTGACATTTTAGAGTAAAATTGAAATAAGAACGTGCTAAAAAGATGTAACGTAGGGTTGGATGGCAGTAAATGTGGTCATCACAAACGGAATGGTAATGACAGTCAACAGCGGTTATGATTCTGGTGAAGATATTCTGTTTTTTAGACCAGTGACTAGAAAATGAGTTTTTATTGGAGAATTGTACTAATTTGTTTGGCGATGATTCCCATTTTTGTCGTTGACAATAATTACAGACAAAGATATGATCAGATACTGTGTTATTTGTAAATATAAAGTGAATCTGGGCATTGTAAAGGGTTAATTTCAAATATTTTTCTATCGAGGGTTTCGCTATTGATGGTAATAAGAAAATTAGGATGGCGTTTTCCTGGAAATTTAACATTTTTCGGCTATTATGAATAGTTCATGTAATGAGATGGTGAACTATTACCTTAAACCCGTCATAATTGTAAAGTGCGAATTCACAGTCACTGAAACTTGGATCATATAAAAGATAAATGTTGTGACGTGGTATTTTTCGAAATTTGATAAAGGTCTTTTTTCGAGTAAATAAATAATGAACCATTTTTGTATTCCGTGTAAATGTTATTCCATTATTTACGGTATCATAAAGAAATTCAAAATTCTTTCGAAAATTACTACTCGATCCGTAAAAGACGTAATGTAAATCAAATTGGCTATCGTTCTCGACAAGATTTGTTATGTTAAGAATATAAATTGATGTTGAATAACCAATATGGAACAACAAGACGTGGAAAAATACGAAATATGGCAATGCAAATATTCTCATTTTCGCATTTTTCTAGGTATATCACCTAAAGTATTGGCTAAGGCCAAACTCAAGCCGTACAAATCTGGAGTCCCTAAAATATATAAAAAATATCCAGCAGAGTAATGAAAGTTTTATTACGTTTTGATGTTCAAAAGGCAAAACTTTCACTCCGAGAAAACTTTATTAAATTAAAAGTTCCTTTACATACTCAAATGTCATTTATCACGTAATTTGTTCTTTTATTTATTGAATGACATTTTGTCGTAGTATTCAATTTATTTGGCACTCATTGCATAAAATATTATGATAATTCATACAAGGTTTGATAGAGTAAAAAGTTTGAAGTTGTCCATTCCTAATAAAAATGATGCGTAGAAACGAACGGGGTATTTAATATGCAGTATTTTTGAGTCCAACGAGCACATATTTATGAACCAGAAATATGTTTGTACGTATGTGGTTTTTTAACTGATAATTATGTTTAGGTAGTGGAAGGTCAAGAATTTATTCAGTTCATCACAATACATGATGCATACATACGCAATCAATACGCAACTTTTACCATAATATCCCAATTATCGTAAATAAAACTGCACTTTATTCACATTGCAATCAATACCAACAATTTTCCATGTAGATAGCTCAACCACTAAGCAAACCAGTGAAAGACAAACGCAATACCCACAAATGACGAATAACTGGACAGTTTTTTCCGACAGATTGACAGCATCTTCACCACTGAAATGTTGTGTCTTGGAGTAAATTGCAAGAACTTTGTCAGCATTTTTATGACTCATGATTCTCGTCCTACTTCTAAATGTGTCCCACCAAAGGGAAGTTCTGCAAATAATTATTGAGAATTAGTTAATAATGCATCAAAGGATAACGTAACATTCTGTATTTATGTACCTGTACCACAACCCCTCAAGTCCATTCTCCCTCAAATTAATAAAATGCGAAATCAACCTTTCTGTTCCATGTCCTTTAACTCGAGAAGTGTAAATCCTTTGGAAAAAAGGTTCCTTTGTCACATGGCAAAAACGTTGATTATGAAATACTTCCAAGCCAATTTCTAATACTGCAGTTTCCACGTGATTTTCTCTCACGTCAGTTCCCATACGATTTGTTCGATTGGCTAACCCACCTGTTTTCGATGCGCCACGGTAGTCGTAGCCCTACAATAATTTATCTATAAATATTTGTATTCCAATTATCCCACGTTAATTATCTATGTACATATGTAATTGGCACCTGAAAACTCTTCCAAAACACCTTACTCAAATTATACTTTTCAAACCCGTTCTGAAATTCGTGCAGGTCATATCCTTCCATATGACTGATTTCATCGACGGGAAAAAACATTTTAAATTTATCATCCGAAATTAACTCTCGCAAATTTTTCGCAATTTTTGGTGGTGGTGGGATCGTAATTTCAGAAGTGAGGACGCTCTCATATTCCAATGTCAAGACGAGGAAACTTATCGCTGCGATGGCACTCAGCATCAAAACGTTTCCATGCCGCCCAACCGACTGGCGAAAGATGAGTGCGACCGTTACAATGAGGCTGTCCAGGAAGTTCTATTACAGTTATAAACCCAGTTTTACAAGGGTGAATGGGTAAAAATAAATATCTGTACGTCGACTTACAAAAAATTTGCATTTGCAATTAGTAAGTGTAATTAAGATCGCGAAACCGAACGTCATACTCCACACGAACCCATCGAACGGTGAGGTCCAATGCGAATAAGAAGATTCCACGATAACCCAACCATTCTCGCAGTAAAGTATGTAGTACTGTTCTGTATCTCGAATATATGGGACTGAATTTATACTCCGACGTCGCAATTCTTCACCATAGGATTCTCCTGTGACGGCCAGTGCATGGGGATTCCTTAGGTCGTCAACCCACCCCAAATCGAAATCATAGGGATGAAAACTTAAACTGAAATTAAAACGAATTTGTGCCGTTGCTATGAATCTATATGATGGGTCACATTGTACTCCGTGGTCACATATTTCCTGGTGAGCTTCAACGGAGGCTAAAATTCGAGTGAATTTGTCTTGATGTTTATGCCAGTGTTGGGAAAAAGAGTGATGTTTTTGGGTAGGATATGGCTCCAGTAAGTATGGATTTAATATTTTACCTAGGGAACAATAATTACAAACGAAAAAGTGGTGTGAAGATTGATGGTAGGAAAATACAAAATGGATTTGTGCATTGAAAAGGGTGAATTTCATGTAGGATTCTAATCTAGGTTTTGTTCCTAGTGGGAGAAGAATGATGAATATTGTGGTTTCCTGGAAATATGAAGTCATGGTTTAATTATTAATTTAGCAAAAGTTGAAGTGTCTTATTGTTACCACAAATCCATGGTAAGTGTTTAGAGCTCTGGTAAGCTCTGGACCGTTTGGAAATGGCTCATGCAATAAGATGATAGAGCCATGAAGGGATCTTAATCTTCCAATTTGCGAAGGTTTGAGGGGACCATGAAATCTTATGCTTGTTGAATATGTAGATGGCAACGGGGCTGCGTCCCAAATAATGTCAACTCGTTGATTTGTTCTCCATCTGTGCTTGTAAATGATATGATGAACGTCACTTGGTACATAATCGGTGCCAATAATTGAAGTCAAATTGATGACATAACTAGTTGTAAGTCTGTTTAGAAATAAGATGCAAAAATATATTAGTTTCTGAGCAGAATTATGCATCACAATTAAGGAACCAAGTGAGGCACAGTATATACTTATGCACTTACTCTAAAATTTACAACAGAGTTACAAATGACACATGCAGGGAGGATAAAGTTCAATAAATTAAATATTTATTGTTAAAACTTCTTTGCATGACTGGCCTTTGCAAATTGAAGATGAATGCTTCTTGTTTAGTTTCAATAGTTGAGTCCTGTATTGTATGCAGTCTTTTGATAATTCTTTTGTGCACAAAAAAAAATGTTTAGGTATTACAATAGCCAAAATTTAATAGATTGATATAAGTATATACTGTTATTAAAATTGCTAGCTTTATAAGCACCAACAAGTTATCAATTTAACACGCTCAGAGAACGTGACATATTTATAAATGTTTGTCAAACTTTGTCTAATTTTCCAGGTACAGAAAACCTATCTAAATATTTAATAGTAATTACAATAATGTTTTTAGATATAAAATATCTTGATTTGCATACATAAATATATTGCTCAATGATAAACTTGTGTATCAAAACTACTAAATTAGTTAATACAGATATTTTTTAACTGGTTAGGCTACCCATTAGTCAAGTCAGAGTTGGTAGTACAGATATAAATTAAGTATGTAGAAATAGTACAAGGCAAGTTGTGTGGTGCTGCGGTCTTAAATTTTACAGGTATTTTGTAATACAATTGTCATGGAATAGAGAATTTAAGTTTATGCGTAATTAGACGGTTTGAAGTCTTCCATTTCTTGAATTTCGGTACTATTTGTATACGAAATAGTTCTCCTCGTGTCTGCATCACTTTACAAATTGACATTCCCTAAGAACAAAATATTCATAAAATAAATTATGAACATCTCCATAGAATTATTATGCATAGGTATGTTTATTACCCATTAATGTAGAGAAGTCCATTATTTTCTCTATTCGGGCGCTTAGTATTCATCCAGCTCGATAGCACAAAAAAGGGATAGATCCAAAATGTAGCAACCATTAGGAAGACCACCCATCCCACTAAATTCATGCAAAACACGAAGGATAACCAGGCCGATAAGAGCTCCATTTCTGAAAAAAATGCAAACACTGACATTTAGAAATCCGACGTGCAGTTATTAAAACAGAAATGTGTACGTGTATTTCTGCATTCAAAGCAACAATCACTGCACAACTCGCATTTCACTTTCATACGGTAATTTCTCTCGCAGAGATAAAAATAGAAATGAAAACGGGGTCGATATTCAGTCAATGCAGTGCTTGATTTAATATGCGGTTTAAGTACGTCTTTTAATAGATATTGAGGACAAAGCATTGTTGTTGTTCGCAATATCTGTTATCTGTTATCGGTGGGGATATGAACTCAACTCGTAAATACAATTAAATATTTAAATGACTGCAAATCGTTATTTTCCACCAATTAAGCAATTTAAACCCTCTTCCTGAATTTTGATTAGCAAATTTTGGACTCACTTGCTCGTAAAAATTCCACACTTCGCTTATGACAGTCAAAGATGTAAATGTCTCCTACATAAAGATTTACCTGTGTGCCTGCGACTGCAACGAGAATCAAACTAAAACTCAACGCTGAAGGCTATTTTGCAGTAGAAAAGATGAGACGACACAAGGCCAGCGTTGGTTGAGAGAGTTTACCCAACAATGAAACGAAGCCAAGTCACGTTGAATGGAGATAAGTACGATATTTTAACTGGTGTATGTACGTAAGTAGATACATGGAGTCAGGTAGCCAAAAATTATGAGAGAATTAAACGCTCGTAACGATGTTTCGTATATATATTTCCTTACATGAAGCTCCTCCTCTGGAACTAAACTGGATTCTGGACTAGCAAAAAATCAGCTATAATGTTCTAAGCCAAGATGTACTGGTCCATTCCCAAAAGTACATAAAGCTTGTTAAATAATTGATGCAAAAATGTTATGGGATTTCCACCAGCACCATTTTCTCTTTAACTCTTTTGCCTATTTGTAAAAATTTAAACCAAGAATTGCATTACAGCTCAAACTCTCCACTGCAGAAGTATGTATGTATTATTGGTTGCGTAAAATGTTTATCTTCACGCTACGCTAATTCATAAAATTAGGCGTTTTGTATTAAGATTTTATACAACTGCATATTTTTATAACTCGATTGAATACGTGCATTGCGGCAATTTGTGAATCAAAATTTCACCACAATGTGTCTGCTGTTGTAAATATGTGCATGTACGTATCTCGCTGTTTAACCTTACGCATGGGTCAAGTCCTAATAAAGCAGTAAACCACGATTAATTTGAGTGTCGTCATACTTAATCTTCCATTGTCAAGAAGAGAGAGAGAGAAGAAGAAGGACCATATCGTCGTTTAAAATGCTAATGATTTTGTATTAGTGGAAGTAATACAAAAAGGCTTTGTCACTTTAAAGACTTATAATTAATGGTATGTACATCTCAGCAGAGATTCCAACACGTCGAACTAAAATCTTAGTAGAAGTTAATGGTATGACCACGGCACCACCGGCATTTAGCAGATTTCAGCGTTAAATATTTATTTTAGTGAAATCTACTACTGTTGAATGCAAATTTCAATGCTAAAAATCTCAAGTGATTATAAATACTTCATGAAATCAAATTAATAAATCATGAAACGCTATGTCGAATTTCGGGAGTTGTTTTTTTCTTGGATAAAATGCAAATCAAATTACGACTCCGGTAGTTGACCACCCAGAATAGCAAAAATAAGATTTGTGTTGCCGTGTTTCACTCACATTTACGAACCAATATTTGCCATGATGTCAATGTCGAATGAGTCAATCGAGTCAACTACCGCTAACATTTTTGCATTGCACTTGTCGCAAGGATATATATGTGCATGCAATTTCTCTCGTTTTATTACTCTCCAGCAAATAATGATGTAGCATAGCACAATACGATTTGTACTATTACCTGTCAAATGTACGCAATAACGGTGTATGGCGATTTTCCCTGCATATGCAAACCTTCGGGTATGTGTTTGTCAATATTTCGAGTGTGAGAAATGGGCACGAACTCGAGCTTAATAAATAAACTCACGGGACTTTGTCCATGGTATTACCCATTCTTCACCAATTGCTTTATTACATAGGCTTATGAGTTAAATTTATTGATTACATACATATCGCTTTATCAGCTGGATTGAATGGGAGTTTCATACATATGTACATACACATTCACACGGCGTATGTAAATGTGACGTGTAGTACGAGTACAAAAAGTAAATATGTGCTCGGTCATTCTAGTTGCCTACAAATTATCTACGTGTATTTGAACTGGCAGCTAAACGTTGACAATAACGTGATCAGTTACAGATGGAAATATAGCTACATATATCCGTTACAAAAGTTATCAATTATTCTACATTTTATTTCCCACGCCCCCAAAAATGGATCCCATACTTGTGACAGCTCTTATGATTGTGACGATCTACATGATTCTATTCTACATAGAGAATCGGAAACCAAAAAGGTATCCAGCAGGTAGGATAGGTGCACTTACACAATTAGAGAACTTATTTAATTGACACGGTTAAGCACTCCAAATACATATCATAAAATTAATTAGAACAAATAAACATTGGAAAAATGGAATTATGTGAAGTAATTATTATTTGATAATCCATTTTTTCCAGGCCCCGTGAGGTTCCCATTCGTCGGAAACTTTCCGCAGCTTCTTTGGAAAAGATTGGTAAATAAACGGCTACGACATGAAATCTATCAAGATTATGCTAAAGACTATGGATCAATGTTCTCACTCAAGTTTGGACCGTACAAGTACTACTTTTTCTTAAAGGAGCTATAAAAGACAAATTAGTGATATGTACCATTTTTATAAAATTTTAACAGTTGTGTGGTGCTAAACGATCCCAAGTTGATAAAGGAGGCTTGGAATAACTACCAACTTTGTGGTCGACCTAAACTATCTGGTTCCAGTGTCAGGACGGGTGGTACTGTTAGAGGTACAAATGACCATTTTCATAATTAAGTATGTTTAATATGATTCATAATTTGTCCCATTTTTTCAGGAATTTTATTCCAAGATGGATTAGAATGGATTGAGCAGCGTCGTTTTGCACTTCGTCACCTGCGAGATTTTGGATTCGGAAAGAAATCCATGGAGCATTTAGTTCTCGACGAAATTTCTGAACTCGTAGAAAACTTGAAAAAAGATGCAGGACGGCCAATCTCAACGCAAAATAGGTTTAACATTGCCGTTCTTAATTCTCTGTGGAGGATTGTGTCAGGACAAAGGTTTTCACATGATGATAAGCAACTCGGAAATATTATGGAGTCGATTAACAACTCACTTAATGCACCGGTATGAAAATTTTGGTAAAATTATTAGCGGTTTTTTGAGGACTTTTATCTATTTTGCAGGCCATGGGCTTAATGTTTTTCTTCCCATGGATAAAAGATTTTGCACCAAATGTTATCGGGTGGAATAAATATGTCGAAGTGGTTTTAGTCGCGACAAATTTTGTATCCAAATATGTCAAAGAAAGATTACAAGTTTTAACTGTGCAGGAAGAACCACAAGATTTTATAGATGTTTACATTAATGAAATTAAGACTACAGGAGATGCTCACTCGAGTTTTTATGGAAAACGGGGAGGTATTTACCACTTTATTTGGCAACAATTAAATTTAAGATACAGTTTTTAATTCTGAACTTAAAGAGGAAACGATGGTGGGGACCTTGTTGGACCTTTTCGTCGCTGGGGCAGAAACTACCTCAACAACGCTTACGTATTTCTTCCTGTACATGGCTCTCTTTCCGGAGAAGCAGGGAAAAGTTGCGGAGGAAATTGAAAGAATTGTGGGCTCTCGTCATCCTATGCTGAACGATAGAGATTCGTATGCTAAAATTAGTTATATGCCGAATTAGGTCTTAATGCAATTACTTATCGCATTGTTTATCTTGTTCAGAATGCCATACACTGAAGCCACGATAATGGAGACATTAAGATTTTCGTCAATGGTTCCGCTTGGAATTTTTCACAGAGCATTGGAAGACACGGAACTGGGAAATCAAGTCATTCCAAAGGTGCAGTAAATAATTGAATGGTTTTAAATGACTAATATCATTAATCATAATTCATATGTAAATATTTACGCATGTTTTAAGGACACATTCGTCGTGGCCAACTTTGCCACAGTTCATCGTTCCCCGGAGATTTGGAGTGACCCAGACAACTTCCGACCGGAACGATTCTTGTCAGAAGATGGACTTGGAGTTATTAAAAATGATTCACTGATGCCGTTCTCGTACGGGAAGCGACTCTGTTTGGGAGAGTCGTTAGCTAAAGACGAACTATTTCTGTTTACCACATCATTACTGCAGCAATTTAGCGTTGGCCCTGATCCTACTTGTGCTACACCGTTAACTTCGGAGCAAATTTGTGCTAATATTATTTCACATCCTAAACCTCATAATTTGGTTTTTAGTCTGAGGAATTGATGAATTAATGATTGTAAGAGTTGTGTTCCTGGTTGCTGTAGAGTTTTGTTGGATGTTCTCGTACATATAGTCTGAAATTATTAAAAAGATTCAAAAGCCTTTTTATTAATCATATAAGTTTTGTTGTGTTTTTAAATATTATGCGGATTTCGCCTCCTAATCTGACACGCCTCATACATATAATGCCTTACACATGTATTTAAAGAGGGGTTTGGTTTGAGTGTCTGTCGTCTCATCCCTTTTCAAATACAATGGCGAACTTTCCCTTCCAAAAATAAATATTTGCACATATTTGCTACGTACATACGTGGCATTTTATTGACAGCACGTCCCTCACACAAAGATGTGATGCGGAAATCCTATATGGTGTGCAGGTAATAATAATAATACAAGTGGTCACCTACCTATGTATATCCACGTGGGAAGATAATCTTTCACAATACTTTGACATTTTTAATACATAGGCGCATGCATAAATGAGTTGGTTCCAATGATTATCGTCATTGCACTATTGTTTCATTTTGATAAAAATTTGTTTCACCAGGTATAAGTAATTGGCACTGTGTAGCTCACAGTTGCCAATTTTAATCATTAGTTACATTACATACATACTTGCCTTTACGAGTAATGTGGAGTATATAGGTATGTATGTATATATGTACTTATTCTGCAATGCCTGCCGTAACCATCGTACGATAGATGGGACAACCGTAACTTCAATACCAGTTGATAATGAACGTTTGTTTTCTACAATGGTGAACAGCATGTTGGCATTTTGGGCATAAAATGTAAACACTGATAACAAAATATTCCATGAATTGTCGGATAAAAGTATGCATACGATTTAATTAGAATCACCAGGATCCATCAAATCAGGGAATATGATTCATTCAAAGCTCGTGTTGGAAGATCGAATGATCAACTCGTGCGTATTAATTTTCTACTTAACAAGAAAACTCAAAATGATTCGCATTCAGTTTTCATATTCATCTGGAGTGTGAGAGGTCTACCAGGCCAGAAATTAAGCACTACATATTTTGTGATTTTAAGCAACTGAAGCTTTGGAGAGTTATCATGGGAAAAGAAAAAGTGCAGTACGAAAGCTTACCGGGATACAAGTATAAAGCTCCGTGTCTGGGTTTCTTCCTCCAAGGCGGCGTGAAAGCATTAGCCATCGTGGATGTCGTAAGCGAATACATACGTAAATACGTAAAAATGTTACTTTAATTTAATAAAATGCTTGAATATAGGGTGTCGAAATCGCTACAATGACCGTGCTCAGCATTGGACTTTCCGGTTTCATTTCCGACTGGTGGTCCATGCATGGGCGAGGAGAATATGCCAAATTTTATTGTGAGTCTGTCTAAAACTGCACATTTTGGAATTTATTTCGTATAATTTTTATTATCTGGAATCGTGCGTCATTGAATTTTTAGTTCGCTTCGTACACTGGACATACAGTTACTTATACAATATTATCTGCATCGTGTTATCAAAGCGGCTTTTCGTAGCTGCGTCACAGGTAGATAAATGTCCACTCATGTAAATCCGAGTTCCAATAATTTGCATGAAAACATTATTATTTTGCAGCGAGAGAAGTCAGCTTTAACGACATGGCTTATTCTTTCAATCTGTCTTTATCTTCCACTCCTCTCATTATTCTTGGTCCACACCTTTTGGGCAAAGTGGGCTCATACGTCAGGTGGGGCTGCCTTTGGGGTGCACGTAGCCTACAAGCTGTACCTTTTTTGGGTGGTATTTTGCTTCATTCGGGAAATTAAATACTATTCAAGAATCAATTTTGCCCTGAGGAAACTTTCCGATCAAGATATTGAAGAATTTGTTTATGGAAATCCTGCCATTCCGCCGGAAGATGAGGACGATGGTGAAAAATTTGCCGGTATAAGATTTGACTTCATGTTATGCGACAATTTTTGAAAACATCATTTCTAAATGCTTTTAGATAAGCCTTACAAACCGGAATTTGAAATTCCACTAAACCGCCTTCAAATTGACGATTCGAATCCACTAGGACGAGGCGCTTTCGGTTTGGTATTAAAAGCTCGTCTGTTTAAGGAGGATGGTGATCCATTTTGTCAAAACCAATTTGAAACTGTTGCCGTAAAAACGGTTGACAAAGATGCAGACGACGTTTATTTTAGGGCTCTGCTTTCCGAACTTAAAATTTTAGTCTACATTGGACGCCATGAAAATATTGTGAACCTAATTGGTGCATGCACTTCAGAGCTGAAAGAACGTAAGACATTCAAACGAAATATGTAATTATGCATATTTTGTAATAGATCTTGATAGATTTTGGCATTTTTAGGAAAATTGTACGTTCTAGTCGAATTTTGTGCATTGGGAAGTATGCTGAATTACATTCGGGCAAATAAGGGGCTGTTTGTGAATGAGATATCACAAAGCAGAAATGAATGGGAAAGAAGGTGAGCTACAATTATGGAGAGGCTAATTTTTATACATAAGTACGTGCATTACTTACATGCTCTTTAAATGCTTATCTTTAGCTGCTCATCATACATTACGACATCAGAATTGTATTCGTTTTCAACAACAGATTTGATCAAGTGGTCAATGGAGACTGCTGCTGGCATGGAATTTCTAGCTGGCAAGAAGGTAAGGTTAATTTTGGTTTAGTTCCTGCATAAATCGCTAAATTTGATATTTTAAACTTCAAACAGGTAATTCATGGGGATTTGGCAGCCCGAAATATTTTATTAACCATCGAGAAAACAGTAAAGCTCGCGGATTTCGGTTTATCACACCAATTGTATCATTACAGCTCGTACGTTGCACGAAAAGAGGTAAGCATTTCACGCCAAGGTACCAAAATGAATGCAATAAAATTTGCATTGAAAACCCTTCTTATGCAGAAACCGATGCCATTTAGATGGATGTCGGTAGAATCACTAACAGAGCGAAAATTGTCATCTCTCTCGGACGTTTGGTCGTTCGGGGTCACAATTTGGGAGTTTTTCACTCATGGTGCAACTCCTTTTGGAAGGTGGTCGTATTCTGATGATTTTGTCGATTTACTAAAATCGGGAAGTCTCCGATTGGAAAAACCAATATTTGCAGATAGTAAAATGTACGTGCTTCGAAAAAAATGCAGATAAACGACAATAATTAATTATGCAATGATTTATTTTACATTTTGCAGATATGACAAGTTGTTGCAATGCTGGCATCTCGAGCCGAGGTGCCGTCCATCCTTTTCCGAGCTCAAAATATTCTTTTCAGAGATTTTGAAACACAATCATGTTCAGACATTGCAACCCATGGCATTCGTACCCCCTGTGGAATATGTTGCAATTGGGATATTTGGCAACGAAATGGTTTGAATATTTTTCATAAATATTGACTGGTGAAAGAAAACCCAATATATTTCTGACTGTATAATGTTCGTTATTGCTCTTTGGTAAAAGTAATCGTTTTATATGCATGACAGAAAGAGAAAAGAAAGATTACTATTTTGAGTTTAGAGAGAGCGAGAGACTGATGTAATTTGTGACTCGAAAATATTTTCCTCATCCGAGCTGATAATGTAATACAAATCAACTTTATATTACAATTTGCTCGTTAAAGCAGTACAAATACGTGAGATAAGGTAAAACAGATACACGTCGTGATGTTACTCCTCAAAAACATTTATTTGATGTGACTCAACTTATATATTTTTACGCTCAATTAATAAATTTTGTCGAATAAGTCTCCACCAAATTGAATAAATATTTTGAAAATGAGACATAAATAAATCTGTCTATTCATCCTGCAATGCAAGCAAAGCTGCAATCGTGGAATCCGCAATGAATGCATCATACTCGCAAAGAAATTGTGCATTCACCGGAAGTAGATTTGTGGTCCAAACGCCCATGAAAATGTGAATTGGTCGCATTGCAGCCACTCGTCTTCCATGCAGTTTATGCACACCCCAGGCCACCAGAATTGGGTCAGTCTTCCAGAGACGAAGCATATTTTGTGTTATGCGCTCATAATAGGACACGAACTTCAGCACCGTGTTCAGAATTATGATGAGAAGAACCGAGAAGAACGGACCCATCAGGTAGATGTTCAACGGCAACTGGTCATGCATAGTGACGGACATTATGTTTAACACGATAATTACCAAGGCACAGCCAACCAGCATGAACAAGGTCGCTGACGCCTGAGGAGCCGCGACACCGGTGATAATTAAAATGACTCGATTATACAAGACGACAAAGACGCTGAAATTTTATTCATAATTTCATAAGTATGATATTTAACAATTAAGGTGGTAGACATTAGTTAAATATATGTTGTATTTACATACCTCAGTTCTTTTGGGCACGCAGAGAGCAGTTTTGTCCTCACTTTATAATCCTCATCAATGAGTCGCACACAGCGTAGCACTGTCCAAACAGACATGACCAGCACGTATCCACATCCGAGAAGGATTTACCCCGCAGAGATTGCAGACAGGGTCAGAGTTACGAATGAAACGAGTCGAATACCGAATCTGATAGTGAATGATAGCCGATGGTATGATAACCAATGCAGTAAAAAGTAGACAGGGTCCAATTTCGCGAGCAATGCAAAAACGACCATAGCTGGAGCCATGTATACAACGAACATGGGAGCAAGACAAAGCATATTTACGAATATTTTCTTACGCAGGGTGTATTTTACAGACCGTTTTTTAGTTGTGGTCAGTTTGTCTGTGTTTCCATTCAGTTTAGTTGATTTGCCTAATGTGAAAATAGCATTATTTTTTCTGAACAACTTTACCTGAAATTTTTAAGACTGATTACCTCGTTGGGTGAGATGTTCTTCTAGAATGAGGAGTTGATTTAATAGCGTGCTGATTTGTTTACTGCAAAGGTATGCAAACAATGAAATGAGAATTCCTCCACCTGAGCCAATTGATATCACAGCGATGGACAGAAGTTGCATGGGTGAGGCGAATGGTTCTTCAGTCGAAGAGGGAAAGTGTCCAATTTTCACGGTCCGGATTATGAGATAGGCAGCCTGGAGGAGTTTAATCCCTTCGCTAAGGCCCATGGTGAAGATGCAACTTAGAATCCATCCAGTTAGAGCTCGTGGCTCAGTTATCGAGACCAAACGGTGGGTCTTGGGACTCCAAGTGATAGCGATGGGTGGCCAGCGATTATAAATCCGCGCATAAGAGTCAATAATCCGAAACATAGCGTCCGTCATGGTTGCGGGTCTTGGTTTTGTTAGTCTTGCAAAGCTACATAAACTGAGGATGAAGGCTGAAGAAGAAAATGTTTAAATTTAATTCAAGCTAAAATGCCATTGTGCATTATTTTCAGAAGGAGAAATACTGATTTATTAATTATGCGGAGTTTCATATTCAGGGAGAATTTGGGTTTCCCAGAAAAGCCAGGTAGATAGATTGGAATTGTCTGGTTTAAAAATTAACTTAAGTTTATTATTTGTTAAGCCTACAATTTTTAAAAAACAGACTACTTTTATATTGACATTATAGATTATAGATTGTACTATAAAGTATGTGTATGAGCATGCTATCATAAATACATATGCTAGAAAGTTATTGTTATTTTATAGTTAAGGTCAATTCTAGTGGATGTTAACATAACATTGTTAAGTACGGTATTGGCAAAATTATGGCAATTCAAATTAAATATGTATGTAATATGTAAATGATATTCACAAATATAAAAGCCACTACATTCACATGTATGTTTATGTATTACTGCAAAATTTGGCTCAAGAAATGACCTGTTTACTGTTTTTTTCTGGTGGCATTTAGTCAGTATTGTGATTAGAAATATATATTTCATATTTAAATACATACATATATATATAGTCTAACTAAGGAATTGATTTGAAAAACTATTGTTAGATACCTTAGAAAACTGCTGGCACTTTGCACTCGTGGTCATGCATAAGTTGTTAAAGGTTTCGATATTACATTGATTGTACTTGTATGAAATATCTTAACAATAAATGGATGAATTTAATTGCAAAGTTCCAAGTAAATACATAGTCGCATACAACATACACCTACAATGTATGTATTTCTCGTATTGGGTGCACATCTGTAAATAAGTATTAGATTTTCAAACATCGAGTATATTTATATAGATACATAAGTGGCAAGGTGGGGTGCACCATGTTATGGAACATCCATTAACTAAATTGAAGTTGGTATCACTCAGCACTCTACACGTTTACATGTCTTCTACACGTTATGCACATTGACGAACATAAATTTTAAGCATTGTAGGCCAAGTTTTTTTTAATTCGCCCAGAAAATGCTAAAATTCTTTCAAATTCAATACTTTCTCCTCATTCAGTTACTTACAGTAAAGACAATTATTTGTTTCGCAATTTCCCATGACATAAACCATCAAGAACAAGATCATCAAATTGTAAATTTTGAGGAATTTCTAACTCCATTTAAAAACTGTCTTATAATTTTAAACCAATTTTCGACAGAAATACAAATCAAAATTTTAACATTTCCAATAATACTTGCAAAAATACCCCAAGCATCATTTGAAGAATTATCTTTTTACGGTTTCAAAACGAGTAGAAGACCAAAATTTACTACGCTTACGTGTTCAGTAGAATTTATTTTATTTCCACCACTACATCCGAAAAAATTGGCTGAAAGCGTCTCCCAGCTAACTTTACTCGACTCGTTTCACTACCCGCAAGGACAACGTAGCGGAATTTTACTTACAGACACGTACCGGCTTCGACTTCAAAAATCACACGCAGTGTTCCGATCTTGGGAAACTTTATTTCGAATTCTGGTCACCGACTCGAACCAAGTGAAAGATTGGGCTCGATGGGCAGCTGTGCTAGACGCCGAGAAAAGATATCAACGCGTCTCAAACTCACATCTTGCAGTTCTTGAAGTAATTTTGCTTAACCATGTTATAAAAGTGCAGGAATTTTACATTATTTGCGCAGTTTGTTCACCATGTCACTTGTTATATTATCCTGTTACAAAACGTTATGCAAATTTACAATCGCTATTACATGAAACTGAACTAATCTACCATCAAGTCGTCATTCACAGTAGTTGGACTGTTAAACACAGTTTATTAGACGATAAAAAAGTGAAACAACTCGAGTCGTCAATCTTTGCCCCGGAAAAAATTCAGATCAATGACAACGTACCAATTGAATTTCTAATTTTCAAGACATCATTTCCAAATTCTTCTACTTCTTATGTGAACCCGCGTTGTAACAACAAGCCCACGGTGCCCAAAGGGTTCGAAAAGCTTAAAAGTTCCGTAATCCGGTCCCAGAAGCCAGAATCTACGAATGGTCGATACGGAAATGGAGCAGTTGGGCCTTTCGTTTACTTAGATATCGACTGGGCTTATCTCGTAAATATGCGCGTTGAAGGGTTAGAATTTGTGACGTGTGCTTGCAGGGAATGCAATTCCAATGCGATCTTGACACTAGAGCGACTAAAAGTTTTGACCTCATTTCTCGCCCTTGATGTAGAAACATGGAGACTAATCTGCATTTTTGGTCTAACGTTATCGATCATCTATGCGCTCGGAACAATGAAACGGTCAAACGTATGGAAATGTTTTCTATACGTAATTGCCGGGTCTCTTGTAGAACAAAGTAATCGATATGCCCAAAATAATCAAAGTCGTGGGAAAAATAATTTTGCCAATTTTCTTTGTGGGTCTTGGCTATTGGCAGGAATAGTGATTTCTACATCGTACAAAAGTGACTATATTAGAAAATTGGTGGTAATCTCAACTCCAAAAACTTTTACGCTATTTGAGCAATTAACAGCGAGGAATTTCACACTGTATTCCACGCCGCATGACACAAATAGATTTTTTGAACTGATCAACAGTAGGACTGCGAATTTGAGCGAAAAAACAAAAGCAGGTCTTTTTAAGAGGTTCGCCCTCGCCAAGGCGTATCTTTCTCTTATCGAAGAGCCAAGAATTATCGGTGAGGCGACCAGTAGGGAAAGATCAGAACGACATCAAAAATTGGAATCGATCGGGAAACAGGCAATTATTCCGGGGGAATATTTTCAAATTTATAACGGATTTTACTCGTATGGAGAATTAATTTCGAGACGGGAAGACCTTAATCAAGTGGCATTCGCATCATGGTCTACAGAGGTTGACATAGTTGAACGGCAACTTGCGTTGCTTTGTTGGAATGAAACTGTAAGTCGGAGTAAAGAGCCGTTTTATCCGGTGTGGAAAGGATGGTCGGTGTTTAACTGGGGTGGGAGGAGTGTTTTGAGGAGAATGTGGATTCTAAGAGATTCTGGAATTGGTGAAATGTGGTGGAATTTGAAAAGAAGAAGAAGAATTAGTGGGACGAAGGGAAAAAAGGAGAATTCAAAGAACATGGGACAATTTTATAACGTGTTTGTAGCATTAATTTTGGGGTGCTTTACCAGTTTGGTTTTGTTCGGGGTAGAATTTGTGTGTGGCATGATATGCAACTTTACGTCAAGTGGTTTAGCGTGGAAAATTTTTATTTACTTTCCACTTTTGATGTCGGACATATTCAAGTTAAAATTAAATTAGCCACAAATTATGTACTACAAAAATTTAGAGGACACCAATGATACCACATGCAATCCTGGGGCCGGAATTTCCATTCATACGACTCTCCGGATTCGATCCTCTGCCAAGATCATCTTCTTTTTCATGAATTGCAAAACCTCTCCCAACAATAGAATTAACTCCGTTAAGTGAAATCAGAGAATCCCAGATGTTCACGGTAGCCTGACCAGTGGCGTCTGCTTTGATATTTCCCAAGTCGCCGACGTGTCTTGCATAATCCCACGGTCCACCGTGGGATTGCTAAGATAGATACATACTTTTTAAAGTGAGTATTTTTTTTTGTATTGTTAAGCCCATCAGATTGTTTCACGTACATTCCAGGGGTTGAAATGACCTCCAAGAGAATCGCACCCTTGCCTAACGTCGCCAAATTGATGTACATGAAATCCGTGAACTGTGTTTGGCTGTAATCCAGATATTTGACCAGTAATATAAACTGCTGATCCGGAAGGATCTTGATAAATTTCCAGGACACCGTTAACCCCACTTTTCTCATTTCCGATATTGAAACATGCTACGGCTTTGGTAATCTGCTTCGTTTCATATGATTTTAGTTGTAATCAATGTTTCAATGTTTCCTTAAAAATGTACATAGGTATGTATACCTGCTGAGGCGGCTGCCCTTGTGATTGGTGAATTAAAAGAATTCCAACAACCAGGATTTTTGGAATCATTGATAAAGGTGTTATGTGGGCTTTTTTGTACGATAAGTTCTGCGATGCACACGAAAAGTAAATTATTAAGAAAGATATGAATTATGTAGGAATATGTGTCATGTTGTGCATAAGTGCATAATTATTGCATATTGCGGATTGATGTGCATTATGGCCAGGCGCTCGTGTAACCCAACAGTATATTTACATTGATCACAAGTATCGGTTGTGTACATTTGTCATTATTGTGTTGGATAGGTTATTGAACTACTTAATTGGATACCGTATCTTGTGATGCATGCGTATGCATTTGAATTAATGCATATGTATTTAAATCCTTGCAAATAATAACTGTTTAGTGTTGCAATGTCAAACTAAATATATAATTTCAGATTAAAATTGTATCGAGATTATTAAACACATTTCTTAACTCTTCATGAAATTAACACAAATATGGAATAATTATACATTGACTTATTTGCAACCATATTCATGAAGAAATCCCCACAATACCACAGGCCACCCTGCTCCCAGCATTTCCAGTTTTCAATGATCCTTCATTTCCTCCTTTGCCTAGATCATCTTCTTTCTCGTGAATTACAAATGCTCGTCCAATGATTGAATGTTCGCCACTCAATGAAATCATCGTATACCATATGTTCACCACTGCGGTTCCATTGCAATCAACTTGAATATTTCCGAGATCACCGACATGTCGATGATAACTGGAAGGAGATCCGTGATTTTGCTACAAAGGAATCATGGCAATTATGATAATTATGTAAATCTACGATAATTACCAAGTTAAATAAGTACATATGCATCTCAAAATAAGCGAATATCTTACCTGATGCGGATTGAAATGGCTCAATGTTGAATTACACCCGTCTCTAACGTCTCCTGATTCATGAACATGAAAGCCCTGCTTCATATTTGGGTTCAGTCCGTATATCACACCGCTAATGGAGACGAATGATTTTGGCGACCTTTGTGTAAGTTCAAGAGATCCGTGAATCAAATTGCTTCCAACATTGAAAACTACAATGGCCTTTTTCACTAGTGCTCGCTCAAAGGAAAGCACAAGTGACATGTAGCAAGCCAAGAAGAATACGGTGACAAAAAACGATCTCATCATTTTCATTTGAAGATGTAACGAATAGCTAAATTAGAATAATAAGACTAACCAACTGAAGGAAAATCATGCTATGAATTGTGCACCTTGTAGTGCATGAAACGAGAATAAGACTTCAACTAATTTTTGCCGGATTAGCTTATATAAAAAAATTGATAATGATGATAATTGGTAATTATGTACATATGTCTGTCTCCCAAAACAGTTGTTGCTCGTGTTTTTTGTAATATTTCTGTTAAATGTGACCTTCAAAACAGAGTGTGGAGTCTAATCGATTAGTTTACAAATTAAACTACTTTCCGGGAAGGCTGAAAATAAGTAAATCAATTGAGGTAGTAATGATTACTTTTTTCAAATTTATGGAGTAAATACGTCAATTCTTGTGGCTCCTCGATTAGGTTGTGGTTGATTTTGCATTATTCCGAGAATAGTTAAATGCAATTCAGTTATACATATCATAAATCTCCAAAAATTTATGAATTACGTACATATTCGTAGAATTTCTCTAAACAGGATCTAATTATTGTCGTTGTATATAAAAATCACGATGAACCTTTGCCTTAAAATATGTACATTACATTCAATAATTTATTAATTGCGTAAACAAAAATACATACATCAAACAATTTGATCTGGTAAAGAAAACAACAAGTTGGCACTAATGCTTAGGTTGTGTCTTAATAATCTGTTGCGTCTGAATCGTATGATACGGACTGCCCACATTTCCAGGCTTTCCAACGTATTTGCAAGCATGGCACACTTGGACGCAGCAACAGCCGAGAAAGACGCCAAGAAGGTAATTTGTACAACATGCAGATCCCGTTCCTTCCTTCATCCACACGAAACCGCAAGGAAAACAGCAAGCCATCAGTTTCTCCCATTTCTCTAAATCTTCGTGAGCCGACATCTGCATAAATATAAAATTAGTAAAAAATGAAAGGTCGCAATAATGTGAGAAACGATGAAATGAACCTACCTTTCGCAGGAATTCGTCAAGTTTTGAGTCAAAAATTAGTTTGCAGCAAAAGTTCGTGATCGAAAGCAAAAGTTCAACTACGCTTTATTCAACGAAACAGCTTACTTGTTATATTTAGATTTTTGCATACGTCTCGGTTTTAATTGAATCAATTATCGTCAGCAAAGTGGACGTGTTGAATTTTGTATTACTGTTACTATTTATATTGAAAACTTACAAATATATTCATAAAACACGTATGTATTGCGTGTGTATGCACATCCTGTGTAGATTATAACAATCTTTTTGATATCTAAAACTGTAGTACTTGAACAGCGGAAATATCGTGATTAACGAATTTTGAATGGGATGATAACAAATTACATGCATTGCTAAACCATTTCAGATGAATTCTGCGGTCATTTGTATGTATATTCACGTCTAATTTATAACCTGCTAAATTTTATCAAATTATTTTGCAAATTTTTTTAAAATTAAAAAACCCCGTGACTTGCAAATTTTGTAACAATGCAATGTATATATTTATTAGAAACTATTAAGTCCAATATATGTACATAACCAAGGATTAAGAACATGCAAATTATGGAAAATATTTTAATAAACCTGATTTAAGGGCTAGGACACCACTAAATATAGTAAGCAAAATTCAAAGGACAAGCTTTGTACAATGTTTTAATGCATTAGTTAAGTGTGAAGTGCGTTCCACAGGATACATATGGCGTCAATTTGTATCTGATGATGATTACAAATTGTTGTTCTGAGATGATAATGTGGAGTGCTAAATATTTTTTAATCTAAAGCATGAATTTCGTTCCTTGCGTAGTATTCGTGGATCTAAAACTAATGGGTCGTCCCCTCCTTTTATGTAATATTTCAAAAACCAACAATATAATGCCCACTACACCTCCAAACCACGGGAAGCTAAAAATCCAAAGTAAATTAACCAACTTCATCTTCCGTTTTGATTCAGCCCTGATTTCTCCAGTAGACATTTTGACTCCTAAAAGCCCCCTCTCTACAATCAATGGTTGAGAAAATATGCCCTCCACAATTTGCCCCTTCAAAATTGAACTTGCTATCAATTTTTGATGATTATGAAGGATTTGAAAAATTCCGAAATCTCGCATCCAATTTAATGGCTGTTGGATCTGAAATAATTATAGTCTCTTAATTTATGAGTACCACTGATTAAATTTTGACAGTAAATAATAAAATATATTACCAAACTTGACGATACGGCAATCGCTTCAAAATTTTCAATAACTTCGTCTGAAATTTCATACAAGCGTTTCCCAAAACTAAGCTCGACTGCATTGCAAAACTGCTCCAACAAATTCGCTTGCTGGTCAAAAATGACTATTTTTCCAGAAACCAATCCATCAACCAAATCGTCTACTAATTCACCCGAAATATCATTCAACGATTCAGAATATCGCTTCAAAATGAAAGAAAAGTCATTTTTCCTAGTTTCCGAGACTACCAGTTCTGATAAAAATATGCTCTTGATCTGATTCACTATAAAGGAATTTTCATTAACTGGAAGAACTCGTAAGTCTCCTCTTATTCGTAATTCTGTTGCCAATTCATGAAAATTTTCATAAAAATTGCATCCTCTGGTTTGGTAAGTAATGCAACGAGTGCTGAACGGTAAACCCCATTAATCGTGACGCAACAAAACATCCACAAGGAAAAAATGAGACGAATATGACAATTTTTTGGAATCTGTGACGACGTCAAAGATTGTTCAACTAGAAGTTTTAATATCCATTTACCGTCAATATTTTCAGATAATTTTGCAAAATGGTTTAAAACAAGTACAACCACGATAATACTGATGGCCACGAGAATTGCATAAAATATCAGGTCATGCGATACTACAGCCTGTTTTATTTTTTGTAAAGTTTTCTGACTTTGAATTTCTGACGACATAAACCTCAAGATTGATTTATACCCTGAGTAAAATAGGTTAAATTTCTCTTCAACTTTTGCAAGTTTTTCTACAGTATCTTCAATTTTGAAGTAGACAGCGAACTTTGTCGTTAAGTTTGAATCCTGATTACAAAAGGTGAGATTTAAATATTCTGAAAGGTATCGAGATATTAATGCTTCCTTGAACATGGCGAGATTACCATCGCTATTTGGGGATGCTAACTTTTTGTAATGTGAAATAATTATGCTGTCAGAGATGCTGTAATTACTCGCATAGGCGACTGTCTCGGGTGCGAAGAAGTTGTTAATCCCTGTTATTTTTAGACAGTGATTTTCTAATGGGTTTGGTGTGGTATAGTATATTAAATGGACAAATAATAGGAAATGTGATAGAAAATATGCCATTTTTAAGTTTTGCATTTTTTTGGCAGTTCAACGTGATGGCAGGATGACAAATTGCAATTGGCAATTGATAAACCGAAAAAACGGACTGGAGAATTTTACAATTTATTTTTTCTGGTGGCTGATTGTGAAGGTTAATGATAGTGATAGTGATTACTGCAATTTTTCTAATTTTATATTGCTATTTAATTTCTTACAAGTTGATAACATGATAAGTACAAATAAATATTAATTGCTTCATATTGTTTTTTGTTTCCTTCCAGTATAAAGTTGCAACAAAAATAATGACAAGACAAGAAACTACTTATTTATAAACTGTCTCTGGTTCCTTCCAACAACTCCACTCCATTTATTTCACGTTGACGCGAGAAGTTTTCGCAATCCATTACACATGTAATTCCCAACTAATTCAGTTACCAAAAACTTTGTAACTAATTTGATGCCAATATTTATAATTGTACAAACTAATAAATTGCACACGATACAAAGCTACCAGTAATGATAGAGTAATGATATAAGCAGGTAAATAAATAATTCATACAAATAATTTCATGCCAAAACTCCAGCCGTGGTTGATCTGAATTGAGTGAAGACAATAAGAAATGTGATGGTGGAACTCAGCATCTGCAAAATGAAATGTATTACATATCTTCATCTGCTCAATACATTTATATATATATGTAGGCACTAATTTCTCTCATCGTAAAATGCAAATTGAGACGAACATACGTACTGAAATAATTAATTTACGACTGACTGTGAAAAATCCGCATGCATCCAACTCAAACCGATTTTCACTAACTAGGCGTCGTAAGATATCAAGCTGTACTGCAAACTCGGGAAATTTTGCTAAACTTGTGTTATCCAAATTTTCCAAACTCCATTGAAATTCGTCACCCTATTTAAGAAAATTAGCTAATATTTATTGTAGTCCCTTTAATGTAATAATTAAATACTCACCGCCATTTCAATTAGATCTCCCAAGTAGACAAAAATTCCCAACCTTACCAAAGTGAAACCAACAAAGACAATGATTGCAAAGGTTCCCGTCTTCAACAATTCCCTGTCCTCGATTAATGACTTCTCCCCAAAATCATTAGGGATGGGTGGGTCCAATACATAAACAATTAAAAGGTGCAGAGCAACAAGCAGCAAAAATTGAGACATTCCAGCAAAACAGAGCAAAAATCCACCAGAACATTCACCAATACTTTTTGAAATACGAAACAATTCTCTTAATCTTGTCGAGAAGATTTCAATAGATTTCAAATTTTCAAATTTTGACAATTCCAACTGTATGGAAACTACTCGAAATTTTAAACATTTTATATAATAAAATAAAACCGAGACAAAAAACACGAATGCTAACTCACAAATTCCATGTGAAACGAAAGTTGCCCCCAAAACTAGATGAATATTAGTGACAGAAATTCCAAAAAGATAAAAGTTGTCATTGCTCTTGGGTCCAAATATCTTTTGGAAATCTTTGGATCCAGCGGCTATGTTTCCAATAATATTGGTCATCGCCCCAGCACTGAGAAAATAAAATAATGGGGAAAACGGTGTTGGTAATTTCCTATTTTCTCGGACGACGGCATTACTGCAAGGGAAATTAGTATCGTATTTCTGAAAACTTTGCAACAATTCGTAAATAGAACGTGCTTTCCACAACGTTATGAAAAAACAGATTAGTCGTAAAATATATATCGTAGAAATGAAACCAAAGAAAGCAAATTGATCGGTAGGATTGGATACGTGTCGAAACCAAACATTTTGTCTAATGTAGTTTGGAGCGAGTTGCAAAACGTGGAATGCTACCGAGAAAAAGATGATATAACAAAATAATATACTCCGTTTTATGCTATTTTTATTATTGGAGTGGAACGTTGGAAATATTCCGATTAGGCGAAATAATTTGGAAAATTTATTAAACTCGGTGATGACCGAGTGACCCACAATTTTTGTCATTGCACAAAGATTAGAGGTAGCTGATTGATAATCATGATATTTGCTTAGTTTTAGCGTTTTCTGCGATAATTGGAATAGTTTTTGTGATGGTATGCATGACTAGTGTCAAATTGCTTCATAAATAAAAATGCCACGCCTACGAATCTAATTAATAACGCATGACACTAATTAGCTAATTAATTCGTATGTGCAAATACTTCATACGAATTAATACGTTTGTCTCTAATCCACCACCGATGAACTAATTGACGACTTTTTTCCTTACATGCCTATGTGTTCAGAAGTAAGAAAATTGGACAAACAATCATAATTGCTATACGAAAATATTTGTTCCTTGAAAACTTGTTATTGCAAAGTCCACTTTAGCAACGTGATACTAATTGAGGTAGACAACATGACGAAGCTGTGTGGTGGTACAAAGTCCAAGAAATTTGCATTGTGCTGAAAAAATTTTAAAACTGTTGTGGATTATTCATATCTCTTTTGTTCTAAATTTAAACCTGGTCGGCCGACTCCCACTCAATAAATTTTTATCTAGTGCTAAGAATATCCCGATCAATTAGTGCTTGTCGTTTTACGAGTACGCCTTGAGAAAAAATCTGCTTATAACTGGTGCTATTATTATAATTAAAGCCACATGTGCATGAGTAATTGTTTGTTTGTTGGAGGCATGTCCCATGATATTCCGACTAAATATAAATAATTTATACGTTTGTGTGTCCTCCGTTTTAAATAAATTCCACTCGCAAACTTCCTTTAAATAAATATCCGACTTTTGTACTTTGGATCTGTTGTTCAATACAAGTTTAAACGAAATCATTTGCTCATGCGGTGTCCCTCACGGAGTCGTAATTTTCCATGATATGCATGTATAAGTAGGTATGCAATATCGTATGTAATGCAGCCTGTTCACACAATATTAATTAGCATCACAATGTTATATGAGCTATAAATAGCTTGATAGGTTCATTCACTAATTGTTGAACTGTCTGCTTTTAGCAGAAGTCAATTTTGTTCTACGTCGGAATATCATTATGTAAAACGGGTTTGGTGGTTGATCAGTAGGAAGTTTGACTATTTAAATCTGTTCATCTTTTTCAACAGGTGCTATTTGTAAAGAAGCAGTGCTCCGAATAGAACAGAATTTCATCATTCTCCCAAACACAATTAAAAGTTAAAAATGCTGTTCATTCAGCAAATGACGAAAAATAAGTTTGAAGTTGCAGAGGTAATTTTCATAAATTCAATTCCCGAATAAGCTAAAATTCTAACTTGTAACCTTCATTTTTTTACAGTCAGAGAAAGTGATGCACTACTCAACAAAGTCCAAAAACAAGCAGAAGAGGGCAATTCATCACAAAATCTCACAAGTACGTTTCAAAAATAAATTTCCGACGAGTGACTAACAACCCTCGCTAAAAGGCTTAATACCAAATTCTTAGTAGATTTATGTATTGTCCAACAGATCCTGGGACTGCATTTGACGAAAACAAAGTCGGAATTAGTGGAAATTCCGAAAGAAAAATATAAGCTTTTCAATCCAAGTGAAAACCGGGATGTGCAAAATCCTGACCTCGTCGAGGACAATAGACGCGTTCCGTCACTGTCAGGGCAGACTGATCATGGACTTGAGACTTCGGTACAACCATCATCCAGTTCCGGTCCCCGTCAACGAAAGCTTACCCCGCCACCACTCCCACCACATATATTTTCTGCGTTTCCATCTACACAATCGAATAGGAAAGGAAAAAATGGAGATGGTGGGAAAACTGGGAATAATGCCCCAGTCAAAAAGGAGGCTGTAAAGGGTCCACATGTGCCTAAAGATTCCTGTATCAACGTAAGAATAGGAAGGTTGGTTTACAGAAAATATATTCCGAGATTGCGAATTATTGTAGAAGAAGACCCGATTGAAAGCTAGTTAAAAGTCGTTTGTAAATATGTATATACTAAAAATGTAAATACTAAAACTGTAATATTTAATTGTATTTATTTTTTATATGAAAAGAAAGAATAAAGATTTGAAGATCATTATACGTAAGTACATAAATGTTGTTTATCGTATTTATATTAAATCATGTCCAGAAAATGGAAATGGTGATGACTTCCAGTATATTCCAGTTTGATTTGATTTATTTGGAATACATTTTTATGAGGAGTTGAGAGGTGACTACATCTCGTATTCCCTCTTTGGCGTTAAATACATACTTATGTGTCAATCGTCATATGTATTTAGTCCTCGTAAATATCATTGATTAACTTACTCTATAGGGTAGAATATGGTTCGCTATTGTGAAAGCAAAAGCAATACAACTACACACATTAATTCATAATTGTAACAACAATTGACACCTGCAAATAAATAGTATTAATTCTTCTACTTTCCTCGTCACGTAGTCCCCTTGCATTGAACTATGTACATATGCATGCGTGACTTCCATGATTCGAATGCATATACTGGTAATATGTACAAATAATGTATCACATTATTACTTTTTACGACTTGCCAATAAAATATCGAGTGATACCATTGTTGGCTCTCGGAAATTAAAAGTCTTCTTCCTTTTTCATGCGAAATCGATAACCAATTTTAACATAGAGACCTATGTATGCATGAAGGATAGCAATCATTTGCAGATTGAAAGTCGTAGAGTTTTTATCTCGGTACACCTCACATTGTAAAAACTTGTGAAAAATGGAATCCCCCGTGTCTTCCGCCCTGAAACCCATTTACAAGGTGGGCAAGTACTTTGGGCTGCTCCCAATACCTCCAAAATTTTTATCCCCATCTCCTCCCACTACCACCGTCCCCACAACCACCATCCCCACCACGACCATTGTCTCTCGTCACTCCCATCTCCTCCTCCCCCTCTACTCAGCCTACGTCCTTGTGTCCAACTTGACAGTGTTGGGATTTGCTATCGTCATCTTTTTTAGAGAATTGTCCTCTCCCGATCGAAATTTGGTAGAACAGTTTCTCGACATGGTGTACCATTCGCATATTTTGATCACCATCACCGTTTGCATACACCAGTCAAGGCACAACATTTCCGAAAATCTGGCCGATTGGAATAAACTCGAAGTACTTTTTGAAACTTTTGAAAATTGTGGAAATAGCAATCCTCGCGAAAGCGTGTCATTTAGAAAATCAATAAATCTACCAACATCGTTTGCCGACTTGATCGAAATTCTCCCCCGAAACGATCAGAAAAAGCATAACAAATTTATCACCCTGTCAAAATGGCTGACAGTGATATACGTTGGGGTCATCTTTGTCGGAGCGGTGTCATATTTCATTACAATTTCTATTAATGAAAATACATCGTCGATCAGTTCCTATTTGGACGAGGCAGCCAAGATCTATGTGATTGAAGAATGGTGCACTTGGTGGAGTGGAATTTATGTCATTTTTATCGGTATGCGTCATCTCATCATTGTTAAAATGAGATTAAAGTTTCGCTGTTCCATAATAATTATTTGACGTCTAGGTCACACAATGGAGTTAATTTGGGCCTATGGCGACATGCTGTTGGTTCTATTTTCGCTATGCATGTCCTACCAATTCAAGAGATTCAACCGGATTGTGGAGAAAGCATGTACGAGACAGAAAATCGGGAATATTCATCCCAGAGATATCGAAGACTTGAGACTGTTTCATTGGGAAATTGCTAAAGTTATCAAGGTGATGAATGCATGCATATTTTTTCATGATGAAATACATATTCACCTAAAAATTGATTTGATTCTTCTTGGCTCTCATTGTTCCAGAAAACCAATAAAATTCTCTCCGTGTTAACCAGCACGGTCTTCACGTGCAACATTTTGTACTTGTTCTCTCGAGTGTTTAATGGAATCGAGGCAGATCTCAAGCATCCGAGTTGGTTTATAAACTTTGAGGCTTCCTACGCTTTCACATATTTAATATTGAGGATATTTCTGACAGCCATAATTGCGACAAAGTTTTCGTCTGAGACTACAAAAAGTTTTAAAGTACTGGATGCAAAAGGAGACGTCACTAATTCAGAAACTGAGTATTTATTGGTATTTACATAATAAATCACTTATTATGGTTTAGAAAATTATGCAAAATAATATTTTTAATTTAGATGGATCGTTTCTGTATTCAAGTGCTAACATCCAATTTAGCCATATCAGGGAGCGGGTACTTTCAACTGAATCGTGGATTCATAGCTACAGTATGTACAATTAACCTTAATAATAGTGCGTATTAAAATTTTAGAATACAAATTTGCCTTTCTGTTGCAGTTAGTGAGCGCTCTGATAACTTATGAAGTCGTAATTCTCCAATTTTCTGTTGCATCGAGAGTAAAATTGTCCAAATCAGGAGTACTAAATACAACAATGATGCCTGTAATACAATTTCTTAATAATGTGAATGAAACGTATTCTCGGTAAATATGTACTAATTAATTTAATAGGCATTTAATAATGCCTTCTCCACAAGAATATTTTTCCAACCTGCTAGCTCAGAGCTCTACAAGTAAAATGAAATGTCATCGTGATTACGCTAACAATGCACATGTCAGACATGTTTCGCACGGATCTTCTTGAAACCAGCACTAAAATCTCAAGGAACTAAACACAAACAATAGTTAGTATGAAACTCAAGCACTTCTGCAGAATTCAAAAAGTTATGAAGGTTTTAATTTTGCGAAAACGCGCATTTTCACCATGCGAAACTATACAGAGTTCACCTCTCCGCTGTCCCATTTTCTCCTGCGCTTCTCTTCACTAGGTCATACGTTTTCACTCAAAATTTAATTGATTAATTTCCTAACCAAGTTCTCATCCGATTTTTTATATTTGGCTTTTACATAATTTTTTAACACTTTTGAATATTTAAAATAAAAATTAAGTTGTTATCAGTGGAATTTTTTAAGGATTTGTTCAGAATAGGATCGATTTTCATTTAAATTTCTTTCACATTGCATATTTATATTTGTAAACTTATTTGACAATAAAAAAACCAAACATACCAAGTTCCCTGTGTGATAAGGGCCAGCATCACACAAAGTCATAAGATTTTTGTCTTTATATCTCTTTAAATCTTGTCTTGTCTTGACTCTTGTCTTTAAATCTTTAAAGACCCTCAACGCGAAAGAAATAAAAATCCATTATTCTGACTGAACCAATTTTGAAAAATAATTTCACTTATAAGAAGTTAGTTGAATCCATTTTAAACATTAATAAGTGTTAAAAAATTATGTAAAAGCCAAATATAAAAAATCGGATGAGAACTTGGTTAGGAAATTAATTAATCAAATTTTGAGTGCAAACCTATGACCTAGTGAAGAGAAGCGCAGGAGAAAATCGGACAGCAGAGAGGTGAACTCTGTATAGTTTCGCATGGTGAAAATACGCGTTTTCGCAAACTTAAAACCTTCATAACCTTTTGAATTCTGCAGAAGTGCTCAAATTTCATACTAACTATTGTTTGTGTTTAGTTCCTTGAGATTTTAGTGCTAGTATCATGAAGATCCGTGCGAAACATGTCTGACATGTGCATTGTAAGTATGTGTGTGTGTATTATATGTATGCACTATATGTATTTATGTCAACTTGCTATTTAGTTTGGCAAAGCTACACAATATTTTGCTTATCACTTCATTAAATATAATCAAAGAATTCATAAATAATGTAATGCCGTTCGCTAATGTTAGGGTTATACGATTTTAATACCATATTGTCTTGCTGGATACATTGTAAACACAATACCGAGGTCCACATGTTTATTTAGCCCAATCTACGTATGCATGCAATTATATTTAAAAATACATATGCAAACTTGTGTATACGTATATGTGCAAAGTCGACCAAACAAAAAATCATCATGCCTCATTATTATCACGCAAACGTTGTGTGCTATACATACGTGGCTTGAAGAGCTACCTCATGACAGTGACATAGCAATTTTGCAATAAAACTCGTCCACAACAGCCACAGAGCTGTACACATCCCACATAAAACAATAGTACATAAAAGCGTGTAACACTGATTCATGTTCAATCACTTTGCATTCATTCGTCTTTTGTACGACTACTTTCTTCCTATGTAATTCATAAACTCTGGCAATATATTTCCATAAATAATCCAAAATGCTTTGTTGTCTATCGGGTTGGTTGTGCTCAACCCTGTTTTATTTCGCCATCCTCCCAGCAGCAGTTTTGCTGGGAACAAAGCTGATAATTAAAAAACTTCGGGGAAAGGTCGACCCTACAAATGAAGTCGATATCCAAGGAAAAACCGTGATCGTTACGGGAGCCTCGGACGGCATTGGGAAAGTGACGGCGGAGGAGTTTGCGATCCGTGGGGCTCGAGTCATCATGGCGTGCAGGAATTTGCAGAAGGCGGAAAAATGTGTGGAAGATATCCGGAAGAAAACGTCAAATGGAGAACTGGTACATATATAAAGTGTAAACATCAGTATATATTTCTGTAAAGTGTGATTCATTTAAATTTTATTCGCCAGATTGTTATGGAACTCGACCTCTCAAAATTATCATCCGTGCGAAAATTTGCGTCTGAATTTCTGCAAAAATACGGTGGTGACAGTAACCCAGGTGGGCTTTCTATTCTCGTTAACAATGCGGGAATCGTTAATCCGCTTGGGGTCAGGAAAGTGACGGAGGACGGATTTGAGGAAACTTTTGGAGTCAACCACTTGGGTCACTTTCTCCTCACAAACCTCCTCTTACCCGAGATTGAGAAAGCCGGTAACAAGTCTAGTGACCCAAGCCGTATCGTCATCGTCAGTTCTGGAGCGCACAACTGGGGTCAACTAAACTTTGATGATTTGATGTTTGAGAAAACTCCATTTGAAGATTTTAAAATCCTTCCAAAATTATATTGCAATTCCAAATTGGCAAATAACCTGTTTAACCTTGAGCTCGCGAAGAAGTTAAGGGCCAAGAAAGTCAACGTTAATTGTTACGCATTGTGTCCCGGATTTGTTTTAACCAATATTGAGACGGATGCTTTAAGAGAAACCCCTCCGCATTGGTTAATTCTTAACGTTATTCGACCCATCCTAAAATTTGTGATGCTTAAGAATGCGAAAGAGGTAAACAAATTAAGGGGAAATCCAGAACGGTTTTTGCATGTTAAATGTAACTAACTAAATTTAATACGCTTTTGTTTTGCAGGGCACAGAGACGACGATATATTGTTCCCTGAGCAAGTACTTGACCCATCATAGTGGCGAAATGTACAGGAATAGTGAATTTTGGGATTACAGCAAGAGACCAAAACTGAGCGAAAAGGATGCAGCCAAGCTTTGGGAAATGAGTGAAAAGCTCGTGAAGCTGAATTAAATAAATGTTACGACTTTTACTCTTTTACTTGTAAAGTGAAAATATGGTTATATGAAATATTCAAATTAAATACACAAAATTTTAAAAGTCATTGAGGGTATTGTCGATTAGTTCGCACCTTGAGAAACTTTAAAAAAATTCACAAGGAGGTAAAAATTTTGTTTGCGAACTTTTGGATCTCCATACCCAATATCGACGTGCATAAACATATTCAGTGCCCACAAATTGTTTACATATAAGTATGAGTTTCTTTATTCCCTATAACACATATGCATTCCAATAAGTTTTATCATTTATTCATTTTTTCCGTCTGGGAAAATTAGCGACATTTCATAAAATGAATTAATGAGTCAATTGAGTAGTACTTAAGAACATATATATTTAAATATTTATTAACTCCAATTACAGTTCTCAATATTCTGTTAATTAAGCTTCACAAGCTTTTCACTCATTTCCCAAAGCTTTGCTGCATCCTTCTCGCTCAATTTGGGTCTCTTACTGTAATCCCAAAATTCGGAATTCTTGTACATTTCGCCACTATGGTAGGTCAAATACTTGCTCAAAGAGCAATATATCGTCGTCTCAGCACCCTGCAAGATAAAAATATGTAAACTCTATGTCGCTTAAAAACAAATGTTAACTAAACCACGAACCTCTTTAGCATTCTTAATCATGACTATCTTGAGAATGGGAGCAATCACATTCATCATGATCCAATTCGGGGGCTGATCCTTTTGAGCCTCTGTCCCAATATTGGTCTCAACAAATCCTGGACACAGTGCGTACGAATTTACGTTGACCTTCTTTGCCCTCAATCTCTTGGCGAGCTCAAGATTAAAAAGATTATTTGCTAATTTGGAATTTGAATAAAACTTGGAAATCACTTTCCAATCTTCAAATGGCGTTTTCTCATACATCAAATCATCAAAGTTTAGCTGGCCCCAGGTGTGTGCGAGAGAACTGACGATGACGATACGGCTTGGGTCACTAGACTTGTTACCGGCTTTCTCAATCTCGGGTAAGAGGAGGTTTGTGAGGAGGAAGTGACCCAAGTGGTTGACTCCGAAAGTTTCCTCAAATCCGTCCTCCGTTACTTTCCTGACCCCAAGCGGATTAACGATACCCGCATTGTTTACGAGAATTGAAAGTCCACCTGGGTTACTGTCACCACCGTACTTTTGCAGAAATTCAGACGCAAATTTTCGCACGGATGATAATTTTGAGAGGTCGAGTTCCATAACAATCTGGCGAATAAAATTTAAATTATGCACTCTTTGCAAAAATGCATACTGATTTTTACACTTTATATATGTACCAGTTCTCCATTCGACGTTTTCTTCCGGATATCCTCTACGCATTTTTCCGCCTTCTGCAAATTCCTGCACGCCATGATAACTCGAGCCCCACGGATCGCAAACTCCTCCGCCGTAGCTTTCCCAATTCCATCCGACGCTCCCGTAACAATCACGGTTTTTCCTTGGATATCGACTTCATTTGTAGGGTCGACCTTTCCCCGAAGCTTCCTAACTATTAGCCTTGCCCCAAGCAAAATTGCTGCTGGGAGGATGGCGAAATAAAACAGGGTTGAGCACAACCAACCCGATAGACAACAGAACATTCTGGATTATTCGTTGAAATATATGTATAACTAATCGTTTTTAAAGTTAAAATTCTGACAGCAACTGAGATCAAACCACAGATGAAGATGAATGTCGAATGAGATCGTCTTGAGAAGAAAAGTCACTTTTATGTGGTTGGATTGATGACGATGCGTGATTCAAGTATACGTTTTTCACGTGTGTAGCTGTATTGCACCGTCATCATCCCCACGAGTTTTTTCTGTAAAGACCACGTATGTATGTATGTAAGTTGTAGGCGATAATGAAATTAAGTTTTTTTCGGAGTTTTTGTTATCACCGGCCTTGTGATATAATTGAGATTTGATATGTCATGCTTATACATACTCGTAGGTATATAAAATATAGATATTTTTGAGCATTCCAATGGTGCATGTTAGGCACGAGACACAAATCTGCCAGGCTACCCATGAAGTTATGAGAAGTGGACAAGATTGCAATCCCAGATATAAATACGAGTATGCACAGTTGAGAATGATGAGCAGATCAGCGATTAGAATATTGTCAGAATGGAATTGACAATGGCATTTATCCATTTACAACGTACTTTTGTGTATCGTACTAACCACAGTCAACAATTGGAAGAGCATGTTTGGATTTTTCCTTTCATCCATAAATTTCATGGATGAAAGATCGCATGGATGACATTTTACAGTGGTTGATGAAAACACGAACTTTGGAAAGACAACCGTTTCCTTTTTCAAGTCTAGTAGGTGAACAAGATAGGAGAATAAATAACAATATATTTGTTGGCAACAACTTGTCATTGACGTTTGGGTCATGGTGCTGGTGGAATTATCAGCCTTGTAGGAGAGAATACGTGGAATTTGGTGGTTGTAAAAGAGTGATAGATGTGAAGAAGGGCGGTTAGCCTAGTGGTATAAGGTGTCCGTCCGGTAAACGGGAGACGCGGGGTTCGATTCCTCGCACTACTCTTCAAAACATATTTTTGCTCTCTTTCGCGTATTACAACTACCAAAAATTGTAGGAGAGAATACGTGGAATTTGGTAGTTGTAAAAGAGAGTGATAGATGTGAAGAAGGGCGGTTAGCCTAGTGGTAAAGGTGTCCGTCCGGGAAACGGGAGACGCGGGGTTCGATTCCTCGCACCACTCTTCAAAACATATTTTTGCTCTCTTTCGCGTATTACAACTACCAAAAATCCCACATGTGGTGGAACAGCTGTTCGATCTCGATCCCTCTCAAAGTTAAACGGAAGCCCAACCCCCAAAAATCCCCAAACCCCAATTTCCGTCCATGCAGTGAGCTCCTCGCGCAGGGCATGAGACGTCATCCCCTTTCTGTCCACCACCGCTAGATCAGCATGCGTTGCCTCAGCTGAGCAGTCGGTGGTGCAAGTATATTCTCTCCCATATATCCCCTTATAGAGTGGGGACCACTCTAAACTATTTCCAGGCAACTGTAGGAGAGAATACGTGGAATTTGGTAGTTGTAAAAGAGAGTGATAGATGTGAAGAAGGGCGGTTAGCCTAGTGGTAAAGGTGTCCGTCCGGGAAACGGGAGACGCGGGGTTCGATTCCTCGCACCACTCTTCAAAACATATTTTTGCTCTCTTTCGCGTATTACAACTACCAAAAATCCCACAAAATCCCACAGCCTTAAGGGAAGCCGAACTCCAGGTACTATCTGGCAGATAGTATTGGTGGCTATATACTTGAAGTGTTTCTGATAAATATAATGCTTCCTAAAATTACCTATATATAAATTAGCTAAGCACTATGGACATGCATAGCAGCTTTTTATTTTATTTTATTGGTAGATATCTATCTTGCGTGACATTTTCGAAATAAATTCATTACACCTTACACCACGACCAGGTTATCAGTGCACGTTCTAATATAAAAATCACAATGCATAAACAATACATTCCACCAGTAACAATAAAAATGAGACTAAATTTCTAAATGAAATGTAATCTGCTTGACTGACCCCACCAAATTTGTCATTGCTGATGGTATTTTTCACCACATTATCACCACCCTTTCTCCAATACAACTTGCTGATATCATTCTTGAACCACAAATTACGCCAATCTACCCACACATTCTGCAACCCACTTTCTCGGAAACGTTGCAAAATCCACATTGCTTTCTCTGCAACTTGAAAGTTTAGAATATCTACGTAATAGCTCATTCCCAGCAAATCGTTAACATTTGTACACTGATATTTTCCTTGTAGCACTATATTCTCCATATATTTGACGTTGTGCACTTTCTGCACTGTGGAAATATGACTCCCACCTGAACCTAGGATCACAGTTTTTCCATTGTTTTCTTTAACTTGACCAAGCACTTGAACCCAATCATTTGTAGTGGCTTCAACAAGAGTTTGATTTTGCTTGTCCAACTTGCCAATCTGCTCAAAGTCGCTTTCTAATTCGGCGTGCAACGAATTGTAACCCTTGGCCCTCTCCAGACCTACCAGTTTGTACTCATCGTCAACAAAATGAATCAATTTAGTGTGCCATTTCACCGGCTCGGGGACAATTAAATGGCATGTGATGTAAAACTCGTATACGAATTGAAGAGTCATGATAGCACTGAATATTATAAAGAAAAAGTAATTGTTGCTAAAATGAGACCAGGATTGACGAAGTAATAGCGCAGTCATATCTAGAAGGATTGAAGATATTGATAAGCTGCTAGTTCTCTGAGCTGCAGCTATCGACACGAACACGGATAAGCAGATCGAGATAAGTAGCGAAATCCAAACATTCCTTCGAAACGGGGCAACCCACGCTACGAACGAGATTTGTTCCACTCTGGGCGAAAAATTGCAATAATACGCCGTCAAACCAGCATGATATACACAGGTGACCTTTGTGCTGGATTCGAACCCCACCCAGTGATCAAATGTGATTCGTACATTGTAATAACCGAACAGGTTGGATTGCATGGATTCATAGCTCACATCGCGGACGAAAGTGACATTGAGTAATTTTCCTAAAATATCAAGTAGAAATTTTATTGAACTACATATTTTTTTCTATAAAACTTTCACTTCACTCACCAAGGGTATCTGCACTTCTGTGATCTGGCGAACATAAAGTTGAGTTTAATTCTCTCATTCCATTTCCACAATTATTTGGCACACCGATCTCTTTATATACATTGGCCAGTATTTCGACTTTTCCCCACATCGACTTAAAACTAAAGGGTGACATTGTGGGAATAGTTTGTTCCTCGGGGGACACAATGTTGATCCAGATATTTGAATATGGGTTGAAGTAAGCTAGCACACTTTGCGATACTATAAGTTTATTTGGCTCGGAAGTATGTCGCTTAATCGTGACGAGATTTAAAAATGTTCTAACCGTCCAAGAAAAGTCCATTCGATAAAAGACGCCAGCAAGTTGAAGAGGTTTGGTAATTAGAAGAATTACTGCGGAATATGCGAACCGGGAGCGTTTTACATTTGGTGAATTTGTGTACAAAAAGTATCTTCGTGATAAATCGGAATTATGGTCAAAGTTTACAACGACGGTTAAACTACACGTGTCTGTGAAGCTTATGTCGAGACGTTTGTTATAGCTCGAGTTGAATGTCTTGGTTGTTTGCGAATAATGTGACCCCTGAACGGAGTAAGGAATGGTTGCCGATCTCTTGGCATTGTCGTGAATGAATCGTTCGCTTAAGTCAATCGCAGAAAAATTGTGACTAAATCGTATAATTGTGATTGTGCAGGGACCAAAGAATTCCATACTGAGACTTATATCCGGTTGAGGAGGAAGCCGGTCTAATAAATAAAACATTGAATCTATTACATTTCTACATATTCAATACTCAGAATTGTATGTATGCATCTGATTTCTGAAATATGCAAATCTATCAATCAATCTGAAAAATATTTACCAGGCATAATGACAGGAATTTGTAAAATACTTATGACAATTGTAGAAAATTTCTTCATTCCATATGTATTTATTTATGAAAATGTATAAATTTTATTTTTGGAAGGGAAATGTCTGGAAAAATAAAATTCAACAAATACGCATATAAATATTGTGTACAAAAACACGATGGTGTATCTAACAAGACAGGAAGTAGTTTGGTCTAAATTTTATTCATTAATTCGGTATTGCAATATCCACATAATTCCATATCGATTTTCAGATTTGGGATGGATAATAGTAAAATTAAGACTGTTCTGGTAAACATTTCTCAATTCTACAACCATGGTCACAAAGTTCGTATATACGAACTCTGCAAGGTTTTCATAGTCTCGTGAATATGTAAAATACAAATATATACATGCCTGTATTTATGTACTTCGCGATAAATCTTGATTAGCCAGTCATAAATATTATTAATTAGGAATAATTACATAAGTATGTGGAATCTAAGTGCTTGCAAATATACATATGCGCTATAAGTACATATATGCATTAATTTGTAAATATATGGAATCAGTGCACTAAATGTCTAAATTCACTAAATATGTATCACCGAGCAGAAAACACACTGAAGAGCAAAATGGAAAATTGAACTGAACCATGCATAATCCACAATTTCATCATCTAAATATGTCCAGCGATACTAAATATTCCAAAGCCAAAGAAGGTTGTTTTACACGTATCAATCATGTCTAAGGATGTCGAAAAAACATATTTGCACTTTACAAGTATCATCAACTACATCTCATCTAGTAACAACCCGACTTAAGAATTGGTAACTTTAAAGCTAGAGATTTTACAGTTTGACAATTTAAAACTGTGTAAATTACACAAAATATCGAAATGGCATTTACTCCAGTTAATCCGTATCAACTTCAAACGGTTCTTTGCACCATGGAAAAACGACTTCCGAAATCCGCAAAGGTTAGTTTGGCAACATCTAAAATATAAATGTGTATTGCACGGTGTCGATATCTACATACATATAAGCTGATACATATCTAATAGTATGTAAGTAGTTCATGAAAAGTATAAAGGTATGTAAATTCACCTAATCCAAAACTCTATAAACTAGCTGCGATCAATCTCACACTTTAAATACATAAATATGTATGTAAATATGTATCTTTCTTTAATCCATCTCCTCTGATCATTAAATTGATTCACATAGCGTAAAATATACATATGTACATACTATGCATATCAAGTCAGCTTATGTACATTTGCATCCACTCCGAAATTTTGTATTCTCAATTTTCGACTCAGAATATTATTTCATTTTTACAGGAATACAACTTGGTCAAAATGTCACTTCGAGGTTTTTTCCCACCATCGGTCACGAATCGTATTTTTGCCTACAAGGACATTATCGAGGAAGATGTCCCTTGGTCGACCGCATTTATTGTGATTATCCAATATCGGAAAGTACATATGTAAATAAAAATTAATAGCGTGCGTATTAAAAATCATGTTCATACAAATCGTTTCTTACCAAATTTTCAGATATATGACGATAACGCAGTCATCCTTTCCATTCCTTCCTCTCCAACTGACACCATGTTAGAGGCCTTAGAATCCATAATTAATTGGAATGGTCCCATCACATTTGCAGAAATTGAGGACAAATATACTCCCACTATTCTACACATGAGTGCGAAATATGGTACTTCCGTAGTAGGATGCAGTTGCCAATTTTCCTCTATTATGGAAAAAGATGCCACTAAAATTACCAATATTTCTTCTGAACTTCCAAACAAGGTCCGTGTGACTCAGCTATCCGTCTCTGACACCAAATTTGTTTCGGAAAATCGTAAATTTTCGACATTTGAGTTTACGGCCGATGAAATACAGCATTTTGGTGGGGCTGGAGTTTATGTGGATTCGGAGTTAGTGAGTTGTGCCTTAATGAGTGGAATTGGTTCAATTAATGGATTATGGACCGACGTGAACGAGAGAGGGAAAGGATATGCTGAGCTGGCGATGCGTAAAGTGATCGAAATGGCGACCAAAAAAGGTCTCCTGCCAAATGTGCAGGTTGAGCCTTACAACTTAAGCTCGCAAAGGTTGATGGAAAAATTAGGATTTAAAGTCTCGCATTTGGTTGACATTATCTTTTTTAAGCCGTTTGAACTACAAATAAATAATTGTCCTAAGCATTACTGTGCAATTAATTACAATTAGTAATATTAGCATTGGTTGTTTTACGTAATAGGAACTTTGACAAATGCTTTAGACACAATTTATGTATAACTAAATATTTTTGCATCATTGTGTAATTCAGTTGAATTTGGATGGTGCGGTGATAAATAAAAGTGACTAATTATAAAATTATCTAAATGTTGACAAATAAATACATGAAGTTAATGGGATACAATTACCTTATGTCGGACTCGTTTGAATTTAAATTAACATAAAAAGATGAGAAGCAATTTGTTACTGCATTGCGTTTTCTTTGGAAGATGGGATGATACTTGCTATTTACATACATATATCTTTCATAGTAATTCGTTATTATCGTCAAGAACAACCCGAAGCGGTGGGAATTTGATCGTAAGGCTTTTTTGAATTTATGTAAGTTACATTCCTAATTGGTAAATTTTTAACATGTTACATAGATGAGGCTCGCTTTCCCCTTGGGCTGACCTATTTGTCCTACGCTAAAAAATTACCGTCCGGAAGGAATGTTAGGATGCCTTGATCTTTACCCCAGCTCAAATTCATCCCATGCTCAACCAATGGTCCCTCACGCAAAGTGTAAATCTAATGTGGTAAAATTTTCGCAATTATACTATTCGTGAGCAAATTACAATGGTTTATTCACAACAGAATCAGGTAAAGATGAAATTTACAACTAAATTAGTGCCTTCCTGCCAATTGTAAGTGTCGCAATTCTAAAAGAATATTTTTACCGTTGGAATTTATGAAGTGTCAGACACTTTTATTTTTGATAGTCGATTTTTTAAATTGAATTATTCTTCAAGTTTATTTTGTCGATATGATTTTCATAACAGTCAAAGCCTCCTCAGCGGTCGGTCTATTTTCCGGTTTTCGTTTCAGCATGGCTCTCAAGAGGTCATAAATTCGTGGATGGGTGATCACAACGTTTTCCAAGATTCGACTGTCACCATCTCTAACGACGTCCAACCCCCTCTCCAACTCTTTCTCGGTGCTGAACGGGTGTAACATGACGAGAACGATAAGCCCCACGGAAAAAATGTCCGTTTTGAAAGTGTAGTCTCTTTCACCTCGTTTCATTTCAGGGCTAGAGAAAAAAGCTCCCCCAACATGTCCGCTTAGGGTCGAGTCGACAGCGGGTACTTCTCTAGACAAACCGAAATCCCCGATTTTTACCGTAATTTCTTTTCCACGACGGTTGAGCAGGATGTTGTTGGGTTTTAGGTCGCGATGAATTATACCCTCCGCATGAATTGTAGCCAAACTCGCTAACATTTGCTTCGTGATCGTCACAGTTGTTTCAAAATTTCCGATTTTATCGGGATTTTGGTGATACCATTGAGCAAGGTTGATGTCCATTAGTTCCATTTTGATGTACATGAAGGTATTCTTTTCGTCGTCGGAAACACAGGTTTGAGGTCTCTGAAAGTGTCTAGTGCTACATTAAGTTGTAAATGCTGAATAAGGTGGTAACAAAATTGTCACTGCGTTCTCGACGTTGGAATAACCGTCAACCGTATGCGGCGACAATTTTGGAACTTCATAAAACTTACGGAAACTTCATTCATCGGGGAGATAGGGGGTGCCATCGCTGTTTAAAAAAACATTTATGACCTTTAAACGCCGTTAATTTTTAACGTATTATTAGGTGGGACTTAAAAAGTCTAATTAATTTTCGAATGACTATACATTCTGCATCAAAAAAATACTAGTGAGAAATAAAGAATAAACTGATTTTATGAACAATTTTATCCTGACCGGCTCAGTTAGTTGTGTATCTAATACATACACCTAAGGCGGATTCGAAAGAGGGGTGAGTTAAACACCGAGAAATGGTGCAAATTTTCTTACATTCCGATAGTTTCAACCATTCAGTAAATCTTTGTTGCAGAGGGCCTTCAAACCAGGCATCGTGACAAGTGACAATGTTTTCATGTCGAGGCAATTTCTTCATGATTACTACTTCTCTGACAAGTTTATGGAAGGCGTCCGCAGCTCCTGACGTTTTGGTAAGGAGGAGAAATTGGCCTACACAAATTCGTTTGACTGCGTATTCTCGGTTATCAATGGTGTCGCGGACTTTGAAAACGTCACTGAATGTACCGACATCGAGACGTGCAAGCACATCAAAGTCTCGTTTTGGCTGCATTCCATCAAATATTAGTTGGTTATTAGTTCGGGTGGAAATTATCATATGGATAGGTCGTTTAAAACCCTTCAGAAGATCCTTCAGAAGATCTATAAATATACAACTGTTTAAATAAAGTGACAATAATGGTGCAAGTTTTTAGAAAATTTAAAAAGTAAACTCTAATAAAAGAATTCAAGGAATACAAAGTTTTCATTTTTGAAGGAAATGACAAGTTATTTTTAATTAAAAATTTGGTGAACAATTTCATGTCAATTTCATATGTCTAACTAAAAAAGTTTCACTCGGCACGCAGGTTGTGTGAAATGGTTTCAGAAAATTTAAAAAGTTACTAAATAAGCTGGCGTGTAATGGAGCTATGGGAGGAAGGTTGATTTTTTGTGCTTAATTATGTACCTGCAGCATTTTGTAGACCTTCTTGCTCCAAAATGTTAATAAGATCTGGCACCAATTCTACCTGACTTCCCTTACGACCCTGCCAAATTATAAGCATATCTCGGATAACGACGTACATCGTTATACTTCCGTTTTTGAACCTATTGTCCAATGATAACCAATCCTTTGCTGGAATTTCTAGGGCGTCTTTCACTTGGATCAAGTTAGTAAGAAACGTTTCGTCTTGAAGGAGCGCTTTGACGCAATTTGACAACAGGACAAGATCCATAATATTTAGATAACTATTGGATATTGAGTTAAAATAAAATTGAATTTGTTAATTTGGTGGACGAATAATTGTGTTGAACGACGATGGTGGATTTTAATGTGGTGTTATTATGATTCGTGCACAGAAGAGTGGATGATTCACTATCAGTAACGTGAATCAATTCTACTATCTTGAAGCATTTGATAAGCCATTACATAGTTAGGATAAGTATGTGTCAAACTAATCATATTATTTAACCCTTCTTGACTTGATTAAAAATATCAAAACCTTCCGTTGAAGTGAATAATTTGGAGTCAGCGTCATGACTTACTTAAATTATAAAAATTTGATTTCCTAAAGTGCTTGTTTAAATTCGAATTTGATGAAATTTGAAAGGTAAAATATTTTTATAATTCGAATTTTATATTACCCAAGCCCCAGATCTCGGAATAGTAAGCAGAAATGGAATCATGTTGCTAAATTGCAGGCGGTTTGTAATATAATAATTTTATTAATTATTTCTACTGAATTCCAGTTTGACCAAGTTTAGACGAGTTTTGGTCAAAAATTAAGGGGTGGCAAAAAAGTCGCATGTTTTGTCTCATCTCAATAAATTGCACCCAATATTGTGACGTACGATTTATTTATTTACACTAAAAATTTCACAAATTTTGAGATATCACACATATGTACGTTACATCCAAATCGTTGGAGGCCGAAAATGGCACCTTATCATTGTACATAATGTAAACACGTACATAGTTTTCCATACTGCAGTTATGCCACAGGATTCCTTTGCATCATTGATTTTATTTCGTATTTATGCATGTACATACATAAGTCGCAGGTTGCTACATTGTACACAAGTTGTATATATAGTGAATAAATGAATACAATACATACAGCCTTGAATGATATGTCGTCATTGACTTACATATTCAAACATGAAAATTGGAAGTTACGCAAGCTGCACGTATGTACATCATTGTTCAAAGGGTACAAGATGTATGTGGCTTCGGGTACTTGAGCTTTACTGTATACATGTAAAATGCCCTTGACTGTGGACTTTTGAATCAGCATCGAACAGCATGTGGAAATTTGCATTACTCATTCTGCTTGAGATAAGTCTTTGTGACTCAAAGTATCTATTTAAAAGTAAACAAATAAAATAAGGATATTTATACATATGCACATTAGTGAAAATCACTGCAAAAAGTAATAATTGAAACTAATTTTTGTCAGTTTTCTTAAACTCGTCATTCATTCAGCTGCTGCTTGTAGGCTTATCATCAAGTGAAGTTGTTTCTGCTTATGAAGTAGCACGCACTTAATCTATAAATTTCCATTGATTAGTTAAGTAATAATTGAAACAAAGTTTGTACATTTTACTAAAGATGGCAAATACTAACTCTGACGGCAGACTGGTAGCACTAAATGAATTAAAATTGAAACTCGCAGGTATCCACATACATATTAAGCATGTTGTAAATGTGGCTAATAATTTATTTATAACGACTGGTTTTTTCACATCTGTATTAGAACACCAGAAATTAGCTAAGGCCAAGAATATTTTCGACGACGCGTGGCTAACTGGATTTCTTAACGGGACAAAGTACGATGTAGACGGTGCAATAAAATGCGTACGTCCGGTCTGGTGAATTATTGTAAACGATTGACTACTTTTTGTCTTTGTTAATTAATACAATTTATTTCAGTTGGAGCAATTTATCTACATTAGGACGAAAAAGTATAGACAATTTTCTGTAAAATATATGAACCCCTTAACGTTGACAGCATTGGATGTGGGTTGCATAAGAACTTTAAAATACTCGGATGAGAAGGGCAGGCGAATAGGTGTCGGACAATTCAGTAGGGAGTTTTCCACCTCTTTTTTCATTGCATCCCTTACGTAATTTATGTAAATTATTGTCTTTGCTCCTCTTTTAGCTTTTTGGGATGCCTCCAAATATAATGCGTACGAGGTCCTCGCGGAGTGTGTCCTCCACATGGACGAATCCATGCGGAGTTATTTGACAGGTTCGGTAGGAAACGAATGCATCGTAATCCTAGATTTGGCTGGACTTGGCATCCAGCACATTCGACAAGGGACGCCGAGTAAAATTGTGCAATATTTTGATTTTTTTCTGGTATGGAATAGTGTATCCTTAGTTCTAATTGAGTGCTATTCCCATATAAATTTATCTACTTTTTTATTCATCAGAACAATATTCCAGTCCGAATTGCAGGAATCCACTTGCTCAACATGTGCACCCTTGGAAAGTTTTTCTTATCCGTGTGCAAACGATGTTTGAAGGAAAAACTACGTAGCCGGGTAGGAAATTGAGCATAAATTAAAATCGATCTAGTTATGTTAAGCTTATTTTTGAACAGATTTACATCCACAATGATTTGGAGTCGTTTCATGGTTTGATCCCCACTTCCGCTCTACCTTTATCGCTTGGAGGTGATCTCAATGGCGAAGATGCTTATGAAAATGAGTTTGTTTCAAGAATTCGTGGTCAGCAAACGTTTTACAAAAGGATTGCAGATTTGGCAATGAATTCATAAGTAGTTCAGATAAGGTGGCATTGGGTGAAATGAATAATTTAATTGTGTCAATATTTATAACGATGTTCTTTGTTTCCTTAATGCAACATTTAATAAAATATATGTGAAGTCATTATTTTTTTAAACTACATAGAAGGGAGGTACGAATGTTCCATTTCAGTATTCATAAGTATGTACATACATATACATACATATGTACGCCATAACCTGTGACTCATAAGTACATACATACATTGTATCTGTAACTGTTATCATACTTTTTATGTGAACTTGGGCTAGATAAACTTACTGTAAGGAATTTTTGACTGGAAACAATGTAAATAAATCTGTACTTTTATTACATTTTTTAAAGATTAAGATTCTTTGCGTTACTTCAATCAGGTATTTTTTGGCATATGGAAGTACAAAAGAAGGAAATTTTGCCAACAAAAGTATTTACAAAAGCTGTGGACCATATCTGCGAACTTGAGGAATGTGTAATTCACAAGTCAGTTCATAATCTGATCTTCTGAGAAATTACAAGCTTTTTATTTATTCTTTATTTGTTTACTTTATATTATGCAAAAGTAAATTTGTAATTGTAATGCCATAGACAAATTTGTGAAATAAATATTCATGTCGTCATTGTGAATTAATTATGCAGGATACCGTTGACAACTTAGATTAACTTTTCATTACTTTTTTATGTTCCTTCCAAAGGTTTATTAATCTTAAAAACTCGTCTTCCAAATGTTTGTCCTCCATGGAAAATTTCCTCATCTCAAATCCATTGTCCAACTGAACTGCCCCAATTATTTTGGATATTCCCTTATAACACACAAAATAATGATTATTTTCTTCCACAGAAAAATTGCTCTCTTCCAAATTCAGAAGCCGTTTAAATTCATTCCACTCAAACTCGGTGAAACAATCGCGAAGCAAAACCCCCTCAAATTTGATATCCTTCCCAATCTCTGTCACAAATTTAGATTTTTCGCAACAATATTCCGTCATATTGTCGGGATATTTTTGGGCAAGTGACTTTTTAAGGTCGGCATACTTTTTGGCAACTTCCGGCTTCTCTCGGAGGTAATCTCTGTAGGCGAGATGTTGCTCAATTTCAGGGTTCCCTTCTTGATAAACGTGCAAATGAAAGAGACGTATCGTCCCGTCTGTGGGATCGTCTTTGAAAAAGAAGCGTCGAAATGGGAGACCATTTTCGCCCTTGGCGATATATCCTAGTTTCGACATGGCGTCAAGGGTGGTGGGACTGTCGACAGAAAGAATGTCTCTTACGACGGGGATCATATCGATTATGGATTTCGCGTCGAGGCCGGGGACGGATGTTGAGCCGATGTGATGGATGTGGAGACAGTTGGCAGGATCCAAAGCGGTCATAAGAAGGGTAGATTCCTTGGCGAATATGGAAGGCCAAATCGGGTTGTAGGGAACGATTTCGACTTTACTTCTTGTATTTGGTTTTGTCATGGCTCTGTATTGGTACAAGTTGGATGAAAGGCAACAATTAGTGATTTCTTGAATTTGAGTTATCGGTAATTCCAGTTAAGTTTTCTCTCAGAATTATTCCTCTGAATATTGACGGGCGTCTTTCTATCCGGTTTATGGCTGCGATCAACACAAACAGTTTGGACGGTTTGTATCTGAGCAATTATACAGATACGGATGAAACAATTAAGTAAGTTTTTGGAAATTAATGATCAATTCTAGATTTAAGATTTAATCACTTGCAGACGCATCGCCACAACTCAAATGCAAGCGTATCACGCAAGGCAATTATTTCCCTGTTTTGACGAACCCGGATTGAAAGCAGTTTTCAACTTGAAAATCATCCATAAAACGAACTACACCACTGTTTTGGGGAACAGTGACGTTGCTAATGTCACAGAATTGTAAAAATTTTACGAATTACATAAAAAATTTGAGTAACATGACGCTAACAAAATAATTTCTATCATTAGTGCGGATCTTGAAGGATGGAGTGTGACAACCTTTAACCCCACCGTCCCCATGGCAACGTACCTTTTTGCCATGGTCGTGTCTGACTTGGAATATGCTGAAGCTGACGGAGGTCTTTTTAAAGTGCCAGTTCGGGTAAGTGTGTCTCCATTTACATATTGTTGCAATTTGCATATTTAGTTGCAAATCCATCCTCAAGAGATTTTATGTTACATTCAGACATACGCACCACCTCCCGTAGTCGCAAGAAATGGGGCAACATACTCGGCTGACATTGCTGCAAAAATGTTAGCATATTTCGACACATATTTCGCAACAGATTATCCCATGCAAAAAATGGATTCCGTTCACATCCCTCACTTCAGTGCAGGTTAGAGAGTCAATTATTTACATTATGTACTCTATGCATAATATTCCAATGATTTGCATTATTCGGTTGACAATGAATTATTTAAAGCAACAAGAAAGGATTAAAATGTAATTTTAGTCCGTTATCTTATCACGCGCATGCATTGTTTGGTTACAGGAGCGATGGAAAACTGGGGATTGAATATTTACAGGCATGTCATTATTACATAACAGATGTAATAATTATGTAATCAATTATGTAGATGAAATGTGACTCATGATTCCTGGAATTTATAGGGAAGCTTACATAATCTATTATCCTGGAGAGAGTTTGGAAAGCTATAAAAATTTGTTGACAGTAAGCTCGACTAATCTTGAGAAAAAGAAAGCTCTAAAATTTGATTTTCATTTAAATTTGTTGAAATCTTATTACAGAGCGTCGTCTCTCATGAACTGGCTCATCAGAATTTTGGCAATCTCGTCACCTGCAAGTGGTGGAACGAGCTGGTGATTAGCTTAAATTATTTATTTATTGTTTGATTTATTATGAAACTTATTAGTTTATTATTTTTTCAATTCTAATTTCAAGTGGCTCAACGAGGGCTTCGCCACGTACATTTCGTATCTCGGGGTTGACGGCGTCCGACCAGAGTTTCGCCACAGGGAGTGGATCCTGAACGACGCCTTCCAATACTCGATGAGGGTCGACGTGTCGGCTCGATCGCATCCAATTGTGAACGACGCCGTCACTCCGGACGAGGTGGACTCTTATTTTACCGGAATTACGTATGAAAAGGGAGGTTCGGTCAACAGGATGACGGAGAAATTTTTGTCGGAAGCAACATACAAGAAGGGGCTGCAGTACTATTTGCATAACATGTCCTACCAAGGCGTCGTATCGGACGATTTGTTCCACTATCTCAACGTCGCTGCGCAGGAAGACGACAGACTTCCGGCTGGAGTCACCGTCAAGATGATCCTGGATTCGTGGACGTTGCAAAAGTCTCATCCTCTCGTTCGGGTTAGTGCGGAGGGACCAAATTCAGTCTACATTTCGCAGGAGAGGTATGCCGATCCAGCCAGCGTGGATTTGTGGTGGGTCCCTGTGACCGTGGTAACACAGGATGCGCCATCATTGGAAAATTGGGTGCCCAAATTGTGGTTGGAGAGGGATGTTCCGATCAAAAGTGTGGTGCATGATACGAGCAAGTGGATTATGATTAATCAGGATGCGACAGGTTGGTTTAAATTTGAATGAGTGATGGAGTTGTTTATGTGTATACAAGGATATTATGTAAATGATTGATTCTGTGCTATTTATGGACAGGTTATTACAGAGTGTTGTACGATGAAGGGCTAACACCTCTTATCGCTGATCAATTGCGCAGGAATGCTTCCGTAATTACGCCTCTGAGTAGGAGTCAGTTGTTGGATGATTACTTTAATTTGGCATATCGTGGTAAATACGCAAATATGTATATGGATTTAGGAAATGTGTCCGGGTGATAGTGGCAATGGCTTTAAATACACAAATGGCATAAACTATTTATTAGGAAATGTTGAAATTGAGGCGGCCTTGGAATTTACCAAATATCTGGAGCAGGAAGATCACTTCACGGTGTGGGAAGTTATCTTCACCCAATTAAGACAGGCTTACAATTTTGCCCAAACAGAGGATGAACATAGCGCTATTAGGGTACGCAATTATACAGGGGGAATTTTTAGATCAACTTTTAATTATGACTCATTATTGGCTTTGCAGAATTACCTGGCCCCAAAAATCCGCCCTGCCCTTGAAAAGATTGGGCTGGAACAAAATAACAATGTACATATCGGTGCTCTGGGAATCCTTAGGACAAAATTAATAGATTGGTCGTGCGCCTTAGGGGATTCATTCTGTGTTGATTATGCGAATAAATTATACACCGAGTGGGGACAGGATGTGAATAAGATGTAAGACTTATATACCTAAATACCTCACGATGCATAATCACAAAATATTGACCACTTTCAGCTTACCAATAGATATTCAGGCCTCAATTACTTGCGCCATTGTGGCAAATAACGGACAAGCCGGATTTGATTTTATGATGGCGAAATATATCGCAACTCCTATGCAAAATCCGTCAAAAGTACGCTACCTGAATGCATTAGGGTGCTCCAGGGATGCCGGAGTTCTTCAAACGTGAGTTGCCTAATTGTCCCTAATTTAGTTGCAAATTTAATTAAATATATATGTAAAATTTCAGCCTTTTGGGCATGACACTGGACACGAATTCACAACTAGTCCGTAGTCACGCACTCAGTGTTATTCAGCGCGTCGCCATGAATAAGCAAGGGAGACGTCTAGTCATTCAATTCCTCAAGGATCAGGTGGACAGAATCATTTCAATTCTTGGTTCTGGTAGTCCTTCCCCCGTGTCGAGTATTTTGAGCTCGTTGAGTAGTTACGTTTCCACTCAGGAAGAACTTGATGAGGTAATCGACGCCACAACTTTAAAGCTATTTCGGCATTTCAATAATGCACACGTATTTATTTGTAATTAAATTTTCATTTCTATTAAGGTCCTCAAGTTTGTGGCGGATCATGCCGCCAAATTTGGCGTAATTAACGGTTCGATTAACTCATACTTGACCACGATCCGGTCTAATATCGCCTGGAAGGTTACATTCGGAAAGCCAATCATTTCCTGGATGGGAGAAAATGTGTCGATTAATAATTCAGCTAGCTATGCCAATCCCTCGCTTGCAGTGTTCGTTTCACTGGTGACTGCGGTTCTTCGTTGTGTTAACTAATAATTTTATGTACACTTGTGCATCCTTATATCAACTTTTTTCCAGAAACAATAAATATTTTTTTAAAATAATAATTTATCGATTGAACATGGACTCATGGTTTTTGTAGACTTTTCGATTGCAGCCATGCTAACAATATGCACATATTTATTTATTTATTACTAATAAACTAAGATATTTATGGACGTATGGCCCCAGACTTCACGTCATAATCTGCTGCTTCGAATTCGATTTTTTGATTGGAACTTTTTATTGTCGTGGTAAGCCAATCAAAATATCGGATTGGGAACAGCATGTGTGTGACGATGACGTGAAGTCTGGGACTAGCTTATATAAAGCTAAAACCGGACTTACGATTAATTAGGTGATAATTTATTACATAGATTGAAAATATGACACCGAGTTGTATGTATATATTTGTAAATAATCGTTAACTTGCGACACATGAATACTCTTAACAATTCATTACATATTGACAACTCCACTTGAATCATACATATTGAATCCAGTAGTCTCGTATATACATGCACATTTGCATTGACTCGGAGCAAATATGTACACATATACTTGCTTAAACACACTTATTAGATACAATAATAAGCTCAATTAGAAATAATAGTAAAATAACAGTATTTTTTCATACTGATTGTTCTACCCGTTACATATTGAGTACATAAAATCGATAAGCACAGCACGTGCGGTAGATACTTATTACAAATTTCTCGGTATTTTGATGTCCCTCATTTCGCCAAGTCTTACATAACTCTGTAAAAATCATTCTCAAGAAACAATACATCACTTTTATGCATATATTTAGTTTCATAATATTTCTGAAGCTATTTCAAAACAGTAGAACTTTAAAATTAAATAAGTATGTTAGGTACTTAATTAAATATATATTTATCTAACAAGGGACCCTTAAGTACTGTCACATCTCGATTTCCTTTCGAATCGTCTTAATTGATAGATAATTTAGTGTAAATGAAACTTTGTCATGGAACATACGGTGCAAAATCACGTTTTTGAAAAACTTGAAAGAATTCATCTGAGAGGACCCTTCGGGGTCCCTCCACTATGGTATAAGTATAAGTATATAGTAAGTATAAGTATAAGTATAAGTATAAGTATACAGTATATAAGTATATACTTATACTCCATAGTGGAGGGACCCCGAAGGGTCCCTCTCAGATGAATTCTTTCAAGTTTTTCAAAAAGCTTAAAATCTTGAACGAGGCATGGAAAACTTATTTTGTTGAATATGTTAAAACCTGACGGCAGAAACTCCCAAAATTTATTACAACTTGCAAAAACAAATATAACCAACAATTTTGAAAAATACGTAAAATAAACTGGCATTAGTCATTATATCTTTTTTCATGAAAAAGTATGAGCTTCAATTTTGGAAAATTTTCGGCAATTTTGTTGCAATAAGAAAAATGATTGTTCTTTTAAAACTTTTTTGCAACGCTTAAATAAAAGAAGTTTAACATTTAAATTTGGTTAAAATTTCAAAAAACGACGGAATTATAATTTAGAAAATTTTGCAGATTTTCGCAATTTGAAAAAAATGGCCAATATTTGCATTTTTTGCATATTGGTGAGCAGGTTGAAATTATGGATAGGTATATACATAATTTATAAACTTCATTCCGAAGGCTGTTTTCTATGTTCAAAGCATTGGAAAAATGGCACGTTTTAGTGCAGCTTTCACCAAATATTTCGCAAAAACGTGATTTTGCACCGTATGTTCCATGACAAAGGTTCATTTACACTAAATTATCTATCAATTAAGACTATTCGAAAGGAAATCGAGATGTGACAGTACTTAAGGTTCCCTTGTAAGACTATAAGCTGGCAAAAATTACATGAAACATCACTTTATCCGAACGATTAGAATTTCATCTCATTTCTCATTAATATAGCATTTTATCTCAATTGTATTGTTCAATTTTGAACAAGTTCTCACACTTTAACCCACCAACATGACAGGAATAGTTTTTTAAAACCAGTTTGGTCCACTACTTTTTTATAAGTATGTACATATATAATACATAATTGCATAACTTCATTTATTAACATACCAGAATATTAGATGCAGGTTGAATCATGCAATTATAATTAAAGCAGTGCAGCGACACTTGCTCATAATTTTTTAATACAGCTAAAAGCGGCTGCGACGGGTTTGATAGCGTGTTCCATACGTTATGTAGGCATTGTCTGGAAATTATATAACAACTTGCATGACAAATACCTCACGATTGTCTGAACAAAGACTGGAGTTTATTTTAAGTTTTCCTGCAAGCGGCACGTGTGTGGCTAGTTGTTCTTCTGATCTGCAAGGTGAGTGAGTAATATTACTTCGTCATGGACAACAATGCATTTGAGAAAGAAGACGAGAATTCAAAGGTAAGAAATTCATATATGTTAAGGGACAATTGCTGCTTTTTAAATTTCTGAGATAAGTACCTACATATGTTTTAGTCAAGTAAATGCACATCGTTTTATTCATGCAAGGTCAATTCTGTTTATTGAGATACATACATAAACGCAAAAAATTTCAGCAAAATGGCAACAATACTATTCCAATACCCCAACCCCAACCGGAAATACCCCAATATCGAAGGGAAAGCTACCGACCTTCCGTAACCTGCATTACTACGAAACCACCTCTATCAAATGACAAAGGGGACCAATTGTTATACGGCCTCGATGATGTGCCTCCATGGTATATGTGTCTATTCCTGGGCTTTCAGGTTGCCTTAATAAATTTTCATGAGAAAAATATGCATGTAAATTTGCACTTCAAACTAATAAATCACATCAGCACTACCTCGAAATGATCGGTGCAACGGTGGCGTGTCCATTCCTCCTCACTCCGGCCCTATGCATGGAAGATGACGACCCGAACAAGGCTAATATCATCTCAACCCTGGTGTTCATGTCTGGCATCATCACCCTCCTCCAGAGCACCGTTGGGTCACGTTTGCCGATCGTGCAGGGAGGCTCCTTCTCATATCTTGTCCCTACCCTGGCAATCCTGAACTTGCCGCAGTGGAAATGCCCCGGAAGCGAGGTCATGGCCGGTTTGACCCTGGATGAGAAAACGGAACTCTGGCAAGTTCGGATGAGAGAGATTCAAGGCGCCATCATTTTCGCAGCCTTGTTCGAAACCGTGTTTGCAGCGACGGGTGGGTGTGGTTAAGGGGGAAATTTTTATTACTTCATAATTTATGTGTTATATGAATTGTGCAGGGTTTATCAGCTACTTGACAAACTTTATTACGCCGTTGACCGTTGCCCCAGCGATCAGTTTGATCGGATTGTCGCTCTTTAAAAATGTGACGGAACAGATTTCAAAAAATTGCATTGTTGCATTTGCGTGAGTGCTTGCGTAAGAAATTTACCGTTTGGGTGAAATGGATGTAAAATGATATATTCTTTTATGTCTCTATAGGATGGTTTTTCTACTTATCTTGTTCTCGCAGCACTTTAAGAATATCAAAATACCGACACCGTTTGGTAAATTGGGATCGAATGGGAAAAAGGAGAAATTTCCAGTATTTCAAGTTTTTCCTGTAAGTTTGATTGACAGGAAAACATAATATGAATATGCTAAATATCTAATTATCAAATTCGTAAATCAATAAATACATAGGTTCTACTATCTCTCACCATCGTTTGGGGCGTATGTGGCATCTTGACCGTGACGAATATTTTACCAGTGGGGGACCCTGCAAGAGCCGATTCAAAATTAAGAATACTACAGGGCTCACCGTGGTTCAGGGTTCCATATCCTTGTATGGTCCAAGTATTTTAATAGGAGAATTTAAAACTAAATGTTTGCAACTAATTTTATTTTTATTTAAAATCAGTCCAATGGGGTTGGCCAACAGTTTCAATTGGAGCAGTGATTGGCGTCCTGTGTGGCGTGATGACGTCCACAATCGAATCGATAGGGGACTATTATGCATGTGCTCAGATTGCAAGTTAGTCATTAATACTCATTAAAGTATTTTTTGTATGCCGTAATAATATCAAAATATGTAAATTATCCTAATTAGAAACACCTGTACCACCGGCACATTGCATGAATCGAGGAATCTTCGTCGAAGGGCTGGGCTGCGTTTTGAGCGGAATTTGGGGTTCTGGCAATGGCTCGACGTCCTACTCAAATAATATCGGCACCATCAGCGTCACCAAAGTGGCGTCTCGTCGTGTCATCCAGGTCGCCGGGGTTTACATGATAATTCTCTCGTTGGTGGGAAAAGCGGGCGCGATATTTATTGGGATCCCTGACCCCATTTTGGGCGGCATGTTCTTATTTATATTTCCACTCGTTATGGCTGTCGGACTTGGGACGCTGTCAGAAATCTGCTTAGAATCGTCAAGGAATATTTTCATTGTTTCATTTGCCATTTTTACTGGATTGGTACGTGCAGTTTGAATTTATAAAATGTACATATCTTAACATGACAGAAATTAACAAATTCGTTAGGCCGTCTCTCAATGGGCACAAGCAAATCCCACCATAATTGATACAGGGTCTCCGGAGTGGGACAGCATTATTCAGATTTTACTCAGTACTGGAATGTTTGTCAGCGGTGCTGTGGGGTTTATCTTGGACAACACGATTTCGGGTATATAGCCGAGGCATTTTTTGTTATTAAGAATAATTAATTTGGATATATTGGCTTTAAGGAACTGACGAGGAACGTGGCTTCACTAGACGACACGAGGCTGAACGTGAAGCGGAAACGAGTTTGGACACAACATATGAACTTCCAGTTGGAATGAACTTCATACGACGGTTTAAATTTTTCAAGTGGATTCCCATTTCGCCAACGTACAAAACACATCCAATCTCAAAACTGCCATTTTTTCGAGGAAATAAGGAATCTAGGAGAAATTCTCATCAGCTGAATACTATTTATGCGAATGGAGTCCATTTTAATGGAGAGAGAAAAAGTAGTGGAGTTTGATAAGGCAGTAATTTATAAGAGATAAATATTTAATTCTGAAATTACATCGTACATTAACTATTAAAAAACGGTCGCAACATTATGTTTTAGCTTAAAATTGTTTTTAGATTTGAAAAGTAACAAGTTTTTGACTAATTGTGCATACATAAATGCATGCATTATATCTAACAACTGTCAATTTATTTAAGTACTTTTGGATCCATTGATTTTGTCAGAATCCCTAAATTGGGTCATGACTATTAGTAGCGTCATCAGTACGGACACAATCTAAAATTATAAATAGATCAAAATCATTTAAATGCATAAATCCTGCCGTTATTCATTTTAATTACTGACTCACCGATAACATAAATCCTCGATCAAAGTTAAAAAATCCACCAGGACTAATAAATAACTCACAATTAGTGACTTTCTGCATTAAAAATTGTACCTAACAAAAGATAATTACGGTTTTCCATTAAAAATTTTCACTCATTGAAAAAAAAAATCATACAACAGACTTTTACCTTGACCCTTTCACTTTCCATCAAATCGTGAATTTTAATCCTGCTTAATATCCTAATTAAATCCAATCTCCCCTTTTTCAACTTTTCTCCCTCATTTCCGTACAAATAAAGTGTATGAATTGCCAAAAGTGCAGCACAAATGTTAGTTATACTACTTCCAATATTACCCACAGCCCAGGTAGCTATGTCAAAATACATACAACCCAAAATCCAAATTATGTTAATCACCACCTCAGTTACTAACCTGCTTCCCATAAATTGATTAAAATATTGAATCAAATCAGTTAAATTGTCGTATGCGTCTGAAACTCCGTCTAAAATGTTGAAATTGTCCTTGTAAAGCGAGAACATTCTAAATTTCTCAACTTCCCCGATTATCCATTCCAACAAAAGAATGTACAATTTAATAAAGAAAGTGACCCAGACACCAAAAAGGATATGTCCATAAGAAAAATATATACCGAATATTGAACTAATTGCACCAACAGCAGAGTTTTTTCTCTGTTCTTCGACCAAAGTTGGGCTTGAAACGCCTAAAATGTTAATTAAGACGAGCTCGTTAAGGATTACTGAGATGGCAGGAAGAAGCATGAGAATTATGCAACGAATAAACAAATGGCGAATTTGTCTTTTCAGGTTTCTAACTTGTTCACTCTGTTCGTAAAAACATGTCGAAATTTTCCCCAATTCGTAACAATGAAAGTTCCAAAACTTTTGGGTACCTCGCACATGCAGCAAACCATGAATCCGATTTGTGATCACGTTTGATAACCAGCAGCCTGTAAATATTCCCAAGATTATGAAATCAGAGGGGAATTTCCGAAATTTCTCAAATGCTCCAGACTCGTGGACATATTTTGTAAAAACGAATAGAAATACGATGCCAGCAGTGAAAATGAAAACATTTAACAAAAATGATGGCCCAAACCAGCGAAAGCGTAAAGTTTTAAACTTCCTGTGAGGACATTTATTAGACTGAGAGGAAATTTGTGTGTTTACGGACAAAGGCAAATATCCGAGAAACTGAACACTGAAAATTGGGTACTTCCCTAGCGATATTAGTAAATTCTCAATTATTTGTGTTTGGTGGTTATCCATTAGGTCACAGTGGTAGAATTCAGTAGTTGGAAAATACTGCAGGTCAACTAACTTGAAAAATTTACATTTTATGATGTCAAGCCGTTTCGTTATCATGGATTGAACTGTATTGATGAGCATAATTATTAATTTTGGTAAGTGCTTATGTACACAGGTACGTATGTACGTCTGTAAATATTTTATTACTAAAAGAATGAATATTTTCAAACAAGACTGACATTATAATTCTTATTGACGATAGGTGTGAAAGGCCAAGTAATTAGTGCAGACTGCTATTTAATTGGTTAGTGGTTACATTAAATCAACAAGTCAAGTGATGACTTTTTTACTCGTTAGGTACATATTTTAGCCCGAATTATTCAGCAGGAGAAAAGTTTATAATGTTTGAAAATTTGACGAAAAACAATTTTTAAAACGTTAAATGTGTCGCTATTTCATTACGAAGAAAGTCTCATCTTTTTCAACTTATTGAGACTAGTGGCGGCCCGGGCGGGCAAGCTAATTTGATTGAAAAAATTCGTTGGTGGATCTAGATTTCCTCTGACTTACTTATGAACTCAGAAAAATACTAAAACAATCCAAAAGAAGAATATTAAATTAATATTATTAATTGTTCTAACCAACCATAAAGTACAATCACTCATCCTTAGCCATGGATCTTAAATTACTGGACGTACTCTCCAAGGCAAATTGTCTCGAGTATTATCAACATTTTGCAGGTACAAAGTCGTAACTATTTGAGACAATAATAAATCAATATCTAATTTCTAATGCATAATAATTATGCTCGAATATTTTGAATCAAAATTTTTGATAACATTGTTCACATATCTACTTAAGTAAACAATCAATAAAACAGTACACACAATAATGATTATCCTAAATTAAATTTCAAATTTCAGCCTTGACAAAGGACGAGTTGACAGATATGGGGGGCAATGATCTGAAAATTAAATTGGCCGACGTTTTGCAACCAGTTATAACTAATCGAAGGCAAATCTGCGAGAAAATTATGGCAGAAATTTTGAGATATGACCCTAATGATGATAATGTAATAAAATACTTTTACTCTGTAAGATTTTACATTGAAATTGATGACATTTGTATTTTTGTTTTAGGATGACACTTTGCCAGTGCCGCGTTTGGATCTTGAAATCCTGCGAGTCTTGTCAAAATGCAATTCTCTCAAAAATTATACATACTTTGTTGGTAAATCGTATATATATCCAAATATGTATATTAGGATTATCCTTGTTTAAATCCGATCTTTCTTATCTTGCAGGACATACTAAAGAGGATTTAACTAAGGTGCCAATCAAACAATTAAACCCAAAATTGCGACACATCCTTCCAGTAGAACCCGATAGGGAAAACTTTATCCAAAATCTGTTGATTGAGTTGTTTAAAAATGACGATGCTGCGGAAGAGGAGCAACACCAGCAAGTAGATTCAACTGATAGTCAAGAAAATCCGGAAGCAGGATTGTTACAGATAAAGGTTGAAAAGCATATTGAGGAAACAGAAAAAGGTTCGAGTGCCCATACCAATGATGACGACGACGATGTACGCATTGTTTGCGCCAAGCTTTCTTCGGATAAGAGAGACATTCCAATAGTTTCTCTCGTCGATGAAGATGTCATCATTGATGAAAAAGACGAATCTGAGATAAATATGGATGAGGATATTTCAATTTCACCTGGACAACATAACCCATCTTCTCCAAAGGATGAAATGATGCTTTACCTTGAAGGAGAATCCCACGATGTGACTTCAGTGACAACGAAGTCTTTGAAAAGAAAGAAAACGCCAACAGAGGTACAACTCTGATGTAAAATTTAGTATCTATTCTTTGATTTTGCATAATGGTTGTTTTTATATTAGACATCAGCATCCACATCACGACGTCGTACCCCGCGTGTTCTCAAAACTCGTCAAAAAATTGGCATGGGACCGGTTTCTCTAAGACCGTCGGAGGCCTTAATTGAACTTCTCGACAAAAATGACGCTCCGCGTCATGTTGAATTGCGTGGGGATTGCAAAAGACAATATTTGTGGAAGAAGTGGAAGAGACTTTTCTCGCGGGTCGGTAGCGATATTGACCGGTTAGATTGTATTCATTGGACGTGGAAATCAGTTCAAGCGAGGTGTCCATTCAATTTGGTCTACATATTGAGCAAAGTATGCCCCCAACTGAAGCAATTGTCTATTTTATCGGAGTGTAATACCAAACCAGAAGTTTTGGTTTTTCCACGGCTTAATTTGGACAAACTGACCCATTTGAAGATTGATCACAACGGTCTTCTCAAATATCACGACCAACTCGCTGAGATTATCATAGCGACAAATGGAAATTTGGAAAGGATTGAGTTTGCATACCAGGATGAAGTCGCTCTCAATCGATTTCTAAACATTCTCGAAGCCATGGAGCCCAACATTTTGGCCAAACTAAAATATCTGTCGATTCAGCATCGTGATGGCGAGCATGTCGCCTTGTTGGACACAGAGGTTACAACATTGGGAAATATTAAAGCAGCCAAATTAGAAGAATTGGACCTGGGATTTGGATTTTGGGGGGACACTAAAGCTGCGCTGGAGGCATTGTTGAATAATTTTTGCACTCTCAAGAAACTTAAAGATCACGGATCCTTTATTACGACGGACAAAGAGGAGCCCAAGCTGATTATAAATTTCCCACGGATGCCACATCTCGAAATTTTAGACCTGGGGGGAAACTATGAGTTCGTGTCAGTCATCGAGTCAATCAATGAACGCCCAGCGAAACGAAAGTCGAAGAAGACGAGCAATATTAATTTTGAGCAAGGAAGGCATCCACCGACACCAGCTAAATTATTATCATCACAGGAGGAGGACCAAGAAGAGGACATTCTTGGCCAGTATTTCAGTGTTACCCTCAACCTACCAGAACTACCCAAGTTAAAATCTCTCATCCTGGGATCGTGCTATGATCTGAGTGACCTTCATTTTGCCAGAATGCCGCTTCTGGAAGTGTTTCGCGTCGCAAGTCCGTGGCATCTAATCGTTAGTTTCCCATCAGCGGAATCCAGACACAATGCGTATTCAAAGTTGAAGGAGCTCCAACTTCCCGACTTCTTTCAGGATTTTTCCTTCATTCCGAAAATCGCTAGATACTTCCCCTCCATCGAGAAATGTTACATCAATCTGCCCACCGTCAAAGTGATTCGAGCCTTCGCTAAGGTGATGGGTGGCGTGGAATCCTTTAAACATTTCGAGTTGAAAACAAGATTCGACTTTGAATCATCATTAAACTCCTGCTTCTTGAAAAATCCATGGCTCGAACCTCAATCTCGATTAGAAATGGATCAGGTTCGGATTTTGAAGGAGTACACATTTTGGAAGGAGTATGCCCAACTGAACAACATTGATGTGCCAGACTTTGATATTCAAGAGGAAGATGAAGCAACTTTCGCAGGTTTACATGAATTCAGAGATAAATTGG